GACCATACTGGCAACTGACAATGCTCTTTTTATATCTACTGGAAGATTGTTCCAAAAAATTAGCACCAAAGACACGCACAGATCTGATACCAGATTGCAAAATATCTTTTCGTTCTAGAAAATTTCATTTTTGTGGCTTGCGGTGTGCCAAATAAGTGAGCATTTGACACATATTCAAAAAAGTCATGACACAGACTCAAAACATGACATAACGACATTAGAACTGAAGTAAAACAGTAGATAAAATATAATTAATTACTCAAAGTCATGTGTCATAAATCATACTAATTGAAAATTTTATGGTCTTCTCTTCGCAAAAGGCATTTTTTAAGTTGCCCATCTGATTCAGAACAACTGGAGAAATCGTTATAATAACCTTTAAAAACTGTCTTCTCAAAATGTAACACTTAGACAAAAATAGAAAACCGTGTTATATTTCCAACGAGATCAGAAATTTTCCGACAAAATAGCTGTTTAGCTTTACAGGGGGTTTTTTGTCCCCCTGCCCCCTACATCTACGCAACTTCACACAAATAATTGAAAATTAAAAGGAACACCAAGACAGTATTTAGATTTTTCAATGTACAGTGTATGTCAGTCTAAAAAGCTATAAAAATGTTACAAGGGGCTGTTCTGGAAGAAACCATCGTGAAATATAATCATTTATAGCCTCCACAAGAGTTAGTCCCCCCCCCCCTTGATCAGGGCCTACCCCATGATTTGAAAGTGGGGGACCAAAGCTAGCAAATTTAGGGGGCAAGGCTTCTTTCCTCTTTTACTGCAGCTTTGAAACTACTTCCTGCGCCTTAGTCATTGACACACCCGAAAACGCACCCTCGAAAACGCCTCAGTCATTGACAAAGCACCCCTAAATGGCAAAAATCCTCGTTTTTTAGACAGAATACTTTCAAGGGGGTTTCATAAATTTGTTCGAAGTTACATTTGCTATACCTCAGCCTCACCCTTCTATTAATTTGCGTCACAGGCTTCTTCCATGTAAACAGTTTCAATTTCATATCTGGTTGAGTTCATAATGTTCATAATGAGAAAATGATCGGTTTACCCAGCAGATTTTGCATGCAAACCGCTTTGTAATGTTGCAAAATAATTTAAAAAGGAAGTTAAATCCAGCGAGCGCCAGTTTACTTGCCATAAAATGGATTACAACAAGAAACAATAGACGAACGATAAATAAACGCCAGATTTTTATACCACTGTTTATAGAGATCATGCTTAAAAGTCATGGGAAAGGTTGAGTGTTTAACTACACATTGTTAAAGTTTTGTTTAATTAAACATTTACTCTCATTTGGAAATTCTATGTCCAATAAAAAATCTCTTCCAGAAAAAGAGAACGGAATATCACATTCAGTTTTATTTTACTTTCAAGATAGGTTGTTTGAAAACATTGAATTCATGGAAAGAACTTGCTGCGTAAGTTCGGTAAATTAAATAATCTTATGATTTTTTCGGGCAACGCTTGAAAGTCACACTGAAAAGTCAGACTGTTTCAAGATATAGACTTTTTGTCTTAGCACTTTTATGTCTTAGATTTAGGCTAATGGACTAGAATTGGTTCATTGTTATAAATCATAGATCCTTTTAGTTAAATTGAATTTTGCCAAACATAACTAGTTTGGGTAAAAATCGAATTTAACGCCAAAGCATGAGCAAGACAAAGCTAAAAAACGGTAGAGTCATCCTAAGTCTGACATGAACACAGCAAATTAGATGCTTGAAGCGTCGGTTACCCAAAAGCTCATTTATACATTTCTCCAGCTATCAGTTAAGATAGAAAACATTGCCGTCGGAACGAAATTCGTATTGAGGGGGGATGCCCGTTGTTTTCCTTCTCTGTTCCTTCTTAGTTTAACAATTATTGGGGAGCTCCAGCCCCCACCCCCAGCCGCCCCCCGGTTCCGACGGGCCTGGAATGACGGTGGCTTGAAGTTATTTAAAAAATATCCTCCTTAGCTACACCAGTCTTAGAGCAAAACTTTTGTTACACAAAGGAAAAGACCATGTTCTGCTTATATTCGACAAAAGAATTTGTCAGCTAAAATGGAAATGAAAAAGAAACTGCATATCCTCAGAAAATATGTGGAATTTCATCGTAAATTACTGTATCCCCAGTTGTTTAATGTGTGAGATTTAAAGGTATCCATTTACCGAAAATTACTCCCGAGCAACCTCTGACACATGTTTAATTGTGACAAAATTCTATGTAAAAAAAGCATTAAAGATTTGTATAAAAACAATGAATGTGATGCGTCATACTTTAGCAATGATCATTTGTTGATCTTTGTTCCTTTCAGATTTTTCACTTCTAGTGACAATTCTAAAAGCCTTTTTAGAAGTCTATGTCCCAAATATGAAAAACACCATACCCTTTTGAGAGAAGGTAGGTAATGTGATATGAATAGGATGGGTGATAAATGATTTTTAGCTAATACTCCACAGTAAAACGTTGGAAAACAGGCGTTGGTTTATCCTTCACAACATTTTTACTTTATCAAGACCATGTACCTCTGTCCCCAACAAGAGAGATTTGCCAGCAAGGCTACTTTTAAATCATCAATTTGATACTTAGTGGCTTTCATGGAGAACATATCTTAAATAGTTGAAAAATTAAATACCACAAAGTAAATCCTTATATATCCACATTTCAACGTCTGGGATTATTACCAGATATGACAATTGTCAAGTTATTGCTTTACATATCAAAATTCCTGGTTGATAACATAAGACTTGCAATTTGCCAAAGAAACATTTTAAAGTAAGGCAATCTGGTCTTATCGAATTGCACGTCTCTGCATGTTGGAACAATTTGCTATATTTCAAGGTTTTGTTCAGAAACCACATGTTATCATTGCTGCTCATTGGTGAATATACAGGGATTCAATGATATTCTTTCATTAGCGGAGAGCTGATATTTTAAGTTTTCCCGAATTCCAAGCCTTGTAACCAGACAAAAGGAGGGTCAACAGAGAAAGTAGTTAACACGTATTTGGACTAAGGTGTGATTGCCCGATACTAGTCAATTATCAGTGGATATATTAGAATGGAGGCAACAGAGTGCTACAGTTATTAACTTTAAACTGTTTATTTTGGCGCATAAATTGAGAGTTTAGTTGAAGATTCGATGACAAAGAGTTGCCCAGATTTCACAAAGAAAGGATGTTTTGAAATGGATCAGGCTCGTCTGGCTGTTGTTGGTTTACTACATCCAACCTTATCCTATAAAGATGGTAGTAATTTTGTTTTCCATCACTCTAGCGAAATAATATTCCTGACTTAGATCAACCAAGCCCATGCAACAACAGTAACATCCACCAAGCTTTTGTAACATCTCCATGCTAAGTGTGTTGATGGCACTGTATATTTCGGAAACTTCAGCTGCTTTAGGCACTATCGTAAGATAGCTTAAGATCAGATATCTGATGATTGGAGGTTTGATGCCTTTAAAAAATGCATCATGATGATGATTACTTTATAGGAACACCCTTACAAGAATTCCAAGGTTTCGTAGGCTTTCACAAACCAAGGCCTGCATTTTAACCTCCCTAAGCAAACACCTTTGTTGCAACATGCTATATTTTAGGTGCTGCATATGGGATGTTCTTTTCAGTGCAAAAGACAGTTTGAAAAGTCCCTCTCGTTTCCTCTTTAAAGGGGAAAATAGAATGGAAGTAAAATTCAGGGTGATGCCGAAGCAACTTGACACCCTTTTTTTTAACAGGCAGTCGGAAATGTATAAGCTTGTCGGCAAAATTTAAATTTAAGATCTTGGCTTGTCGGCAACTGTGAAGTATTTTATCATTGATAATTGTAATACAGCTTGGTAATTAAATTTATATATATATCATTCATGGACTTAATTTGATGCTGCAATATGATTATGGAAATCTGTTACATATAGAACAAAGACTGACAAAATTAACTAAGCAGTTACATCAACAAGTAATTGAAAAACTGATAGAAATCTGGAAAAAACTCCTTGTGGCTATCGTACCATATACCCAAAGTGAGGAAATCTAGCTCGTTTGCACTTGAATTCGAATACAACAGTAATAGTCAATAGTGCCAAGATTGTAAGATAAAGTTAGAAATAAAAAGATTATGAAAATGATAGAAATAAACGAAAAGTAAAAAGGATGATTTACAAACTAACAGAAGCAGGAATTGATGATTGTCAATTCAAAACAATTATGAAATATAAAATTCAATTCTAGGTTAGCAACAAATACAGTAGACTTAGCCTTAGGTTGTAGTCACACCAAAAGCTGCTTGTGAAAATTGGTAAGAGAATGCGAAGTTTGACGGTTAACGGAGCGAAATTCTTTTTTATATTTGGGTCTGAATTTAATGTGACTTTACCCAGCAGTGTTACTTTAAGCGGAGTGACTGTAAGCAGAGCAGGGGGGAAGCCGAAAAAGTTTTCTGGAGGGGTACAGAAATGACTTTTGCCAACAAAAGACGTGTCTCACACTTTAAGGGTGTGGTCAGATGATGAATAATCTTATATGCTGCTTTCATTCGTCTCTACTTCAAAATTCATACTTTAGTACCATACCTTGCAAGTTCAACTGCTACAGAACTCAGTTCAAATTTTGCTAAAAAGACACAGAGAGGCTATATAGAAGCCCCTGGGTTAAAAGGGGGAAATGCAGATGATTTGGCAATTACGCCCCTTAGATTAGCTTAAATTCCGTTTCAGAACGATTTCTTGGAGTATTTCGAAACGTTAAGCGGTTGTCAATTATCCGACGAAAGCCTGAATTTTCCGACGAGATCGCTGATTGGGGGAGCTCGAGCCCCCCATACCCCCGTAATTTCCTCCACTGGGGTGCATGCCCCCATAGCTCCTAGAACAGTCTTACTTCAGAGCACGTCTTTGTGCACCTCAAATACGGTATTATCCAAACAAAACAATTGTACTGCTTGCATGGGCGCAAAAATAAATCAGATTTTTAAAGGAGTGTCAGAAAACTTACTATTAAGTTATTTTGTGTGGAAGGCATAAAACTCATGGGGACACAGACATACTCCGAAGACAGTCTGTGTTTAGGGTGTCCGGACTGATGCTCCACCCCTTCTAGGAAAATTTTTAATTTTAATGTGTCTCTTTGGCTCTGCTGTCCTTCAGAGACCTAAATAACAGACAATTTGGTTGTTTAATTGCTTCATCCTAGATTAGCCCGTCCGTCGTACAGTATTAGCTGCACAAGATATCAAAAAATAGCGCTAAAAAGTGCATTCAAAGCTAAAACATAATGAAACCAGCTCTTATTATCTTCAAAAAGGATAAATTAAACATATTACTTTTAACTCAAAACATTGACTTCATGTTTCTCAGGGACGCCGGGGAAGGGGGCTCAAGCGGTCAACTGCCCCTGTTGCCTTTTGATAGGATGGGCAAGGGGTGACAGAGTGCCCTTTTTATTTAAATGCCCTTGAAAACCGGCCATTTCTAATAATCAGATAGACTTATATTAAATTCTGGTTTTAGTGTCTAATTCATGACGACACTTTTAAAACTTGTGAATAAATTCTTTATGCTAAAAGATAGCTAATGTTCAAGATACGTACAGAAGATCGAAATAAAGTGGCAGATACGAAGGAATTAGTAGAAGCTGAGAATTATATTTCGAATGCCCGTTTATTCAAGCCTGCCCGGGTAAGGCCGCCACTGTCCGGTTCTTGTAGATTTTCGTCTTCTAGAAACTTTCCCATTATTTTTATTTTTCATAGGCAGATTAAAGATTCTTCTGACATTCAATATTTTACATTGAGAAATGAGATATGGTATCCATTGCGAATTTTCAATTAACCAGATTTGAAAGGTTTTAAACGTTACCACCTGCACTGCCAAATTACTACCATTGTAGTTGTTGTTGTTGACAACCAGATTGGTTTATTCAAGATGGAGACTTGACAACAAGAAGTACGTACAATAATGCGGTTAACGTCGCGGAGATAGTCTTTTGAAGCTTGTATGCTTTTCGAAATGCGAAGTACCACGATGCCAGTATTACTGAGATTTTCCATCACACTGTAATTGCCAGAAAAAGCGTTGTATTTCAAAAATCAAATCATGTATACAATGATGACGGTGAATTCGAAGCGACGACGAACGAAGGACATTGTATTGCAACATGTTTTCGTTCTTAAGTAGTTCTAAGCTTATTGCGTAAAACGAGTTAAAGAGAACATCAATATATTGTTTTAAATCATAAGATTGCTCATGACTACACAGGATGGTAGTGGGGGAGTCCGACTCCCACCTATTGGAGAGCTAGGCCTCAGGAGATTGCCACAGCTTGAGCATAAGCTGGAGTTATTGGTCGAAAAAGAAGCTAGAGAAAATCTTAGAAATGCTGATCTACAAAAAGGCTACCCCGGAGACTCGCAAAATGACGAACTTCAAAATAGTCATGATCTTGAGAGAAGAAGAGATCTGATTGACTCTGGACTAGAATCTCATAGTGAACATAAAGAAAAAAATGAGCAAACCAGGAGGGTAGCTACCAAAAGAAAAGACGCAAAGTCATCTGCACGAAGAGATATTAAAAAGAAAGTTAAGAAAAGAAACAAGTCATCTTTCAGTGATGATGAAGCGGGTCATGTGAAGGGTTTGTCATTGCCTCAAGGCAATGGAAAAAGTCTTGCAGTATGGGTCCCAGGAGAAGGGCCGGGCCAAATAGAACCTGCTAATTTGGGAGAAAAAAGTAGAAAGGAAGCATTTGCCACAAGTTGTTTAAATACTTCAAATTTGACAGAAGAAACCCTTGTATCAGAAAGTGATCATTCAAGGAATGATAATAAAGATAGTCACATTGAGATGTTTGCTGAAAACTCAGAAAACACAGCAAGGAATGATTATAGAGCACTTGCCATCAGGCTTGCAAATAGCTATTGTCGCCCAAAAACAGGGATTAAGAAGAGACAACATTTTGTTGATTACCTTTTAATTTTTGATGGAGATGATGACAATGAGTTCAACGAGAAACAGAGGGATGATTTTGAGAAATTATTGGTAAATGAAGGAATGGAGGTCACCAGAACTCATATTGGCAAAGAGGTGTTTGTTGAGCTTAGTTGCTCATTTAAAAGACTCTGTCAAGAAGCAGAATACATCTTTTTGGAAATGCCTCTAATTGGTGTAGGTGAAACTTAAATTTCATGCCATTAAAAGATCAGTATCTTTTAAGCCAAATTAAAAATCCTCTGATGCATTAGGAAATCAGTGTTGATATTTATTAGGCTTTTTTGTTTATTGTTCTTATTCTTACAAAATTATTCTTATTCCCTATTTATGCTTCATTTGCAAAGTTGGGTTTGACATATCAGTTAGTTAATACATTTTGTAACAAGGATTTTAGCACTCTAAATTATTTATCACAAAGTGTCATCTTTTCATCACATTATCTGTAGTCTTTTAAAATAATTTTTATATGCAAATGTTGTTATGATTTTATCAAGTTATTTTTAACTCTTAAAATATAATTTTGTTTAACTCCTTACATAATGTTAACATTTTTGTAAGGAAAACTTCTTTCTTCCTCTCTACTTTTGATAGAAATAAAACTTATTTCAAAAATATTTTTCTTAGCTGTCACTGCATCATGACAATTCAACAAAAAAATCAAGATGGAAACGTTTTGAAAGTGAGAAGGAAGGTCAGTTTTACATTTTTTAACACAAATACTAGATTATCAAGATCATATTTGTGACAAGCAATCATGTATGTGCTACTTGATCAAGAAGTTTTGTTTACAGGAAAATCTAGGTTCTGTGCAACAAGCAGCCTATGTCTTCTGATTTGTGACTTGTGAAGAGAAAGAGGAATATCTAGGTTGCCATACTGTTCTCCCTTATTTTTTTACACTAGAGTGTCTGCACAATCCATGCTCCAACAAAGACACAACAGGTTTTTTATTTGGATTTCACTCCATATACTGTACTCTATTATTTTTGCATAACACTGTAGCTCAGCAGCAACTATATCAAGTCATCTTTAGTTATGGTTGTACTTTAAGGGCTGTTTGTCACCAGCGGTTATGTTATTGAAGACTCATTGCTAACAATGGGCCTTTGCGAGCATGGCGACGATCCAAACAATGGCAGTAAACTTCTATGGATAAACCAAAATTAATTTCAGACTGTCTAGAAATGCATTATGGGATGCTTGCGTAGCGCAATGGCTCATAGTATCAGTAGAATCTGAATTACCTCAAAAAGACTTAAAGATTTTGTACTCAAATCCTTTAGTATTAAATCACAGGACCCTGTGGTTGCCCATCAAATTTTCCATTTGAAAATTCTTTCAAAAGAACTTTTGGGCAGGACAATTATGTGGTAGCTTTTATCTTCAACTGTTTTGCAATCCAGTCTTTGAAGTTCAAGTTCTATCTAAAACTAATTGTTTGCTTGGTCCAATTTCAATCCAGTTTTCATATATCTAAAACAGGTTTGTCTTTCTATCTTTTTTGATAACTTTATGCAATAATTAATAAGCATGGTCATAACCAAGGAGAATAGAGGGCACAACCAAAAACCTATGTGTCTGACTTTTAGGACCTTTTATCCTCCTTTGAATGCAAATCAAAACTTGTTGTATTAAATTACCTTGTTTTTTGTCTACCTCGCTAAATCTTGGGTTTCTGCGAAAGGGCCTGGCTAACCTATGTTTTATGTAAACAGTTTTGTTTGTTAGCAGCGAAGTTTACCCCCCCCCAGCCCCCCTCTCGAAAATCTGGTGAACACAGAAACCTAACAATATTTTGAGGCCTTCTCATGATGCCAGTTGATGTTTGAGAATATGCTCCTATCCTAAAATCGCTTGCACCTAAATGCTCCTATCCTAAGGTTTGACATTCTCCAAGTTCTCTTTTTATGGAGGAGAAATATTGTGGAAGATATAGAAAGAAGAGGGCAGAAGAGTCTATCAGGGGTTTGTCTGGGTTTTCAAACGCTGCAAAATGGGCATTAAACAAAAAGTGTCTCTCTTAAGCAAAACAAGAATCTCTATAATCTTTAAAATGTAATATTTTTCCTTTTTAATATTGTACTGAATGAGAATCAAAAAAGGACTGGTCCAATATTAATTTCGTTCCGACGCCACTGCAGATGATTTTATGTCTGGGGGCTTACCCCTGGAAATATTTTACGAATTACTCATTAGAGACTATGAACAATGATTTTAGAACCATTTTAAAAAGTCATTTTGGCTAACCAGTTGGGGGCAGATGAGACTGATTGTCGGAAATTTTATAAAGGGATAGCGATTGATTTGATGGAGAGCCTCTGCTAAGGGCGCTTTGCCCTGGAAAACGTTTACCATTTTCCCCACCCCCTTTATAATTTACTGCTTTGATGATCAGTGAATAAAAGATAAAGAAATCTTGATTTTTTATGAAATCTTCATCCCTCCTGGTGGTAGAACTAGCTGTTTCTGGCATGTTTTATTTTGTGAATAGATTTTCCAAGTAACAGCTTGAAAGTTAATTAAAACTATAGTCCTTTCAGTTTTTTGTAAATGTCTTGCGAACTACAACAGTTTGCCCATTGCAGGGTATCACACACACTCCTCTCACACAACCTCTGGTATTTCGACTCCTGATTCTGTTTTTCAAATCACCCTTTGGCCTGACTTGGCTCTCAACTGCCCCGTAGAGGTAGATGCAAAGCGTTGTTTCTAACTTTCTCTCGGATCAGCCTAATGTTTCAAATTACTGAGATGAAAAAGTTTTAAACAAGGAAGTTAGGGTGTTAATGGGATTGAGAGAATGCTGCAACAGAGAGGTTTTAGAATTGCCTAAAATATAAAGTCGATAGTGGCCGGTCTTCAGTCAACCCAGTACATTCCTCCAAAAAGCAACTTTTCATTTTTTTTTCAATTTCAGTTGATGACATTTGTATACCATTTTGCAATGCCACTAGAGATATATACGATGGGTTCAATGATAAAGAGAATTTCTTTCGACCAGGAATACGTTCGCTGTTGGTACGTTTTTGAAAGACTTTTATTTAAATTATAGACATTTTTGTTTCAAATGCTGAACGATTTTGAAATTCCTTTATTGGTAAAAAGAATTGAATTGAAGATCTTTAACTTTGGCGTTTTTAACGTTAGATAAAGAAAAGCGAGCTACGAAAGGGCCTTAGCGGCTAGAATGCAGGGTTGGCTGCTCTTATATATTTAAGGAAACATAGGCGCAATATTTGCACTACTCAAGGACACAGCTTCCTTCCAAAATCCTCGAAACCCTTTCAATGCTTCGTGCACTTAGATGTTTCACAGAAGAGGAACTAATTGCCCGAGAATCTGCTAGGGTTGTTTAAAGATCCCTGATTGGCCATGCATCGTCATATATGGGTGAAATGTTTAAAGTAGCAATTGCCTCTAAAATACGGTTTCTTAGAAATTCAGAGATGACCTAAGTTTCATTTTTCTAAGAACGGCCACCAGGCAAAAGCCCCTCTTACCGGGGTTAGAAACTTTTGAATGGTTTGGAATGGAATGGTTTATAAAGAGATTAGCCCGATTGGCAAAAATGAAGCCTATACGAGATTTAGAATCACCCATAAAATGGATCGGTTTTGAGATCAATTGACCAAGTTCAAAAGCAAGTGGCTTAAATAATTTTCCTTCGTTATTTTCAATATAATATAATTTTCTCACCATTGAGTTGAGCGACAGTTGAAATCGCCGGTGATCATAGCACAGAATGGGTTAACAGCATGTGTCTTGGATAGCAATTACTCGAAATTTATTATGTAGTTATCAAAATCTTTGTACCATGAGTAAAAAGATGCAATAAAAATTAACGAAAGTGTCCTACTTTTAAATCAAAGTGACAATTTATCATCTTGATTTATAAACCCCAATGGTTGTAAACAATATTCAACCCTATCAATATCCGTTAGACAGCTTGCTTTACTAACCAACCAACAGTATTCACTTAAGTAGCTTTAAAGTTTGAACTTCTCCAAACTGTACAGTATGCATTACATATTCCACAGTGCCCCTGAGTGTCTTTTCAAGAGGTATAGGCCTTTTAAAAAAGAATTCTCCATGCACTCCCATTTTTCCTTTAACATCTCATTAGATCTTTTTTCAACCTGACAAAGTTTCCTGCGAAATTTTTCATTTTGTCATCTCAATATTTCAATTACTTTAAAATTTGTAGGTACATCAAATTTTGAAAGATATAAAAATCGACGATACGGATTCAAATGAACATCATAACGTTGAAGGTAAGAAGAAGGTGCATCTTACAATCACTTAATGTTGTTGAATACTGCCAGGGTAGGGCCTTGGTAAGTTATGAATTTAGTTTTATTTTATATCTATAGAATTAAAAGATCTACAAAAGACCCAACGCTAGCACACAGCGACAAGATGTCCCTTCCTTGAAACTGTTTTGCCTTGCCATTGACCTGGGTTGAAAGGGAATTTTGCTGATACGAAAACAAGCAGCGTGCCAAAATAGCTTTGTTTTGCGTTAACGCAGCTTTCAAAACCATTTGCCTCAAAACGCCTGAAACCATTTAGAAATAGCAAATCTGAAAATCGGATTGCGGTTTGCAAAATTGTTTCTGCTGAGAAATGAATTATTTTTTGATAATTTTGTCCTAACAGGATTTGTAAATGAGCAATAACGTTTTCAAATGGATTTGAGAGTGGTAGAATTAATTGACTTAAGGTTGGCTTAAAATTTTATGTTGCATTAGTTAAATGGCCGTCCAGGTTTACAGGGAAATTTACAAAATGGGTCGTTTCCAAGGCATGAAGGCTAAAATAAAGAAATTATTGTTGTTTTCCATGCAGAATATCGGAAAGTATCTCACAAACAAACAACATTTCAACGTAACAGAAACTGTCATCGTTTTTTCAAGGAATTTGTCCGTAAAGCTATTATATTGCAAGTCCAATGGCATAAAGTCCGTTTGAAAAGTTAAGAATAACATCTTTCTCTTGATGCGTGACAGAGCGTATTTGTGTTTCATGCGAGATTTGAAATGTTTTGCTGTGTTGAATATCAAATTGACGTATTTTGCCAAAGGCAGTTCCTACTTGCATCGTTTTCGCTTAACTTTAGATGAGTCGATAGCGAATTCTTGATGTAATTATACTGTTCCTTTGCAATTTTAATGTCATATGACAGGTTTAGGGAACGGGTATTGTAATTGGAATGGTATGTTTTAAAGTCGCACAGGAAAATACCAGGGTATTTCCAGCTTATCATTTAAGGGAAGGCTTAAAACATATCTTATACTGGGTTATTTCTATAAATAGCTGCTTGAAGTGGATACCATCAAGTGGATACCGCTATTTTCATTCCTTCCCTCTCTACCTGTCTCTTTCAACCTAAGTCGATCATGCAGTCGCATCAAACATTTGCTCTTTTGTCTACTTCAGCATTGGCATCTTTGCTGCATTCTGATGTGTATACAGACGCATTCATTCTACACGAAAGGTCATCATTGGACCCCAGATTTCCGCTGTCTCCTTATAAAAACGATGGCAGTGGACTGTATCCACTAGAACCGAATGGGAAGTTGGAGACTGACAGGCGGAAGGACCTACATGAAACATGGCTGGCTAATTTCAAGTTTCAACCCCTGTGGAAGATTAGAAATTACTTTGGGGAAAAGATTGCACTGTATTTTGCTTGGCTTGGTGAGTAGATTTTTAGACGCAATGTAGCAACAGATAACTTTGTAAGAACAGAATAGCCAATGCACTTATAGAGTACAATAAACGCCAAAAGTTTTGGACAAAAAGTCTCGGTGGTTTTTCTGGAAATTTTGACGATTTTAAAAAATTTCAGACAAAAGCAAAAGCACACTTGATTTAACATGTTACCACGAGTCATCATAAGAAATTCCCATTCTCTCAATGGGGATGATTCCCGCCATTCTAGAAGCTCTTACATCTTACCACGATTGCTTCAAATCACCATAGCAAATGAAAAGTCAAAGTAATTGTCCACCATACAACATTAATTCGACGCTCCAACTGCCGAAATAATTAGCACCTGAAATTTCGGCTTTTATCTGCTTAGATTAACAGAGTTTACAAGATTGATTGCTTTTACATAACATTGCGTCTACGAAAATGTTTTTTGCTACTTTCAGCATTATGTAGAAAATAAATAGATTGTAAACTAATTGTACATTATTTCGTTGCAGGGGTCCTTATTACCTCTCTTTGGATACCAACTTTCCTAGGACTCGTCATTTTTATCTATGGCATAATTCTTTCGTAAGTGATACATTATTGTCTAATTTAATAAAAATATTTCAAGTCATTATTCATTAGTCATTTGTCATTATCACTATTATTTCAATTTCTGTTTTGATCTTTCGCTAATTTCAAAAAATAAGCAACGAATTGAAATATTTACAAAGTCGATTAAGTATAAGATTTAGCATGCAGTATCCATGTTTACTTGGCCTAGGAAGCAATGGAACAATTGTTTGCCTGTTAAAAGCATGCGAATTTTAAGTGTTTTGTTGTGTCTTCGGAAAAAGGAGGTTTCTCCCACCCTAGCTGCTATTGTTAAGGCTGCTGATCTTTAAGCCATAATTGGTCATTTTTGAAAAAAACACCCTCTAGGACTTTGTTTGAATCTCTTAGCAGCCACTTAGAGGTCCCTCAGCTAAATAGCAAAAGCTGTAGAGTAATGACGGTACACAAGTTGGTACTCTACGCCGGACCTTAACATCGATTTCCTTCAAGTAATTAAGTCAATTTTTACCTAAAGGGTATCAGGAAGCTCATATTATGTTTGTTTTTTCATGGCCCCTGAAATATATACAGTATTGTCAAAAATGAAGCCTCGACTTGGAGCAGAGTGGCATTCGACAACGACCTTACTCCTGGATTTGCTTTGATCATTTGCTTATGGGGTGAGTAATCCCATGTTTTGCTATCCTATATTGAGCACTATCCTACACTGAGTGATTTTTCATTTTGCAATTTTTTGCGCCCCCACAGAAAGAGCTAAACAAGGACTAAAGTGCGGGAGCTCAAGAAATATTACTCTGTAGCTCGTTTGTGCATATTTTCCTTTTCATTTCAAAGTTTTGATATAAAGCGTTCATTCGACATAAAGGTTTTATATAAAGGCTGTTGTTCTTGGTTGAACCAAATGAATGTAAGATTGTGCCGAATGATCAATTGCATCTTTCAAGCTGATGAATCATTTAACAAATTTGACTTTAGCAGTTTTTCTATTATTTTGGGACAACACAAACCACAAACCTCAACTAGATTTGTCTGAGTCTGATGACCATCGTTGTGTTTCAGTCATTTGAACCTTGGGAAAGGTTTTTATTTTATCTTGTTGTAGAGATAAAGAGAAATCTTTTCAATTTCATGGCCCAGAAAATCTTTTATTGTTGTGTTTAACGTGATGAAGTAGGCTCCATTTGCAACGTTTTTTGTGCCTCATGGCGTCGTTTGTTTTTGGTGCTTAGTTTTTTTATTATAAAACCGTCTGATTTTTTGCTGTATCAAACCAAGTAAATGTTCTTAAAAAGTTTATGCCTTATGTTTCGTGGTGGTAATAATGCCGGAAAATGTCCAGCACCTCTTAAGCGATCCAATTCTGAGCCTAAAACTTCTTGCATTGTCATCAAATGTAAAGATGTTATGTTTGTTTCTAAGAGATGTGCAAAATACATGGCCTCCTTCATTACTTCATCATGTCATTCAGAATGATTTCAACGAATGTTCTTATTTACAATGTATTTTCAAACTTCTAATCGATGTTTTCGTAGTGCAATTTCTATCTCAGTTATTATAAAGCGGTTGTTGCGTGCCGTTTGTTGTTTCTGTATTACTGAGTGATTCTCATCTCATCTAATCACTTTCAAGGGACTGTCTTTTTGGAAGTCTGGAAACGCAAAAATGCCGAATTAGCTTATAAATGGGACGTTGATTCCTTTGAACAACAGGTAATTCTTAATTCATCAATTTACTTGATTGACTAAAAATTCGAAAATAAATCATAAAATGATATGAAAGCAGGATCTTTAAGTTTCTGGCCTGCAACCCAAGACACAATCGACAGTGAAGCAGACTGTTGCAAGCGATCTCAAATGACGCAAGTTGAAAGACCGTTATTCATTGGCACTAACAATAATTGCTATGAAATATGATTAGGTTCGACTCAAAGTGTCTTTTGTTCCACCATCATGAAATTATAACAGTACGCCTTTAATATTAAGGGACTTGATTTTTTTGCCGGAATTAAGTATTCAAAATTGTTGATTTTTTTCTTGTCATCACAGGAGCCAAACCGGCCTCAGTTTTATGGAACAGAGTTGCAACTAGTGAGTTATAATACACTTATCTTCTTCGTTTGTTCTTGAAAATTAAAACAAACAAACAAAGAAAACATCGTCTGATCATGAATAGTTCTAGTTTCCCCAGCCTCAAGCTAAAACGAGGAATGTCTCACCTTATGATGTGCATATTAAACATTCAAGGTCCTGACACAAGATAGACACAGTGCATAATTTCTCGTATATCAATGGTAACAGCTGTATATCAAGGCATTTACCAAAGTATCAGTATTTTTGTCATCTTTGGCTATCAAATTGCATCTATGAAACCAGAAAGAATCTTTTTTACTTTTTGTAAGTTTACCTTGCTGATTAACTGTTTTGTTTTTGTATCACAGATTTGCTTTTTTCAGCCACTCAAAACGTATTATTATTCTTGTATTGCAAATACCTTCTGTTTATGGCAACTGTCTAGTTTGAGATGGCGTAAATCCTTTACAGTTTGTAAATGTACTGAGCCTGTTAAAAACCTATCGATTTTTCAAGTAGTTCAAGCAAGCTGCTTGTGTGATCAAATTGTTCATTTTTTATGTAATGTACGATATTGAGGACACCTTAATTGAGTTGCAAGAGATATATTTTATTTTGGGACTTATCTTGATTCAGCTGTGATAAGCTTTGCCTAATCCAAGTTTAGCTGCCCAGCTGGAGGGTACATTCTTTTTAAATAATGCCTTTGATACTCAGCCCTTAGAATCTGCATATAACGATTTGTTTATCAGTGTCTCAGCCTGTGTTTATTAGAGTTATCATTCCACTGGTTCGCAAAACAAAAGGCAAACTCGATGCTCTAATAATTACAGCTTTTGTCCCACATCTTCAGAAAGACCTGACAAAAAGTTTGAATTGAAATCTATAGGATGCTTCCAGTTGGGTCTCAACTTGATTTCGCTACATGAAATTTATAAGTTGATAAAGGTTTTTAAACTGACCTAGAAAATATAAACCCTAACAGATGCGAGAGTAGATAACATTTAATTATTTATTCTTAATATTTGCAATGCATCAAAAGCCAACAGATGAACCAGTGATCAAAATTCTCTTAAACACGGGGTTGTTGGACCTTCATCGAAGAAACAAATCTTTTTATGCTTTGTGGTCTCATATTTCTTTTTGTGTATCATTTCTCTTACTTGAGCTTCGCTTTGTAAGCATATTTGCTATAATTGCAGCCACTTAATAAATATTGCCTAGCTTTTCTTACTTTGGATCCAAGGCATTCATTCTTCACATATTTTTCATTCCTTTTAGCAACGCTTTAACGTAAAATGTTTCCTTCAGGGAATCCCGGACAAAAATGTAGATTTTAGAAACAAAAATGCTGGGATATTTCTGAATGCCTTAATGGTATTAATAAATGTTGCATCAAATTATTTGAATACCCATATTTCCTTACTCCTCCAAGATAGTGACTGGGCATGGGTTAGGTTGTTGTTGCAATTGGCTTCATACCCAAACCTTAGCATTTCAAAAGACAAAGTTAAAGCAGATTCTTCATTGACGTTATTGCGTTTTAAGTATCATTCTCTTTCTTTTTCTGACCATAGAATCCCATTACTGGATTATACGAACCTTTTTATCCGCCGCTGAAGAAAACTCTTAAGTCAATGGGATCAATGGCTCTTATTTTCTTTATGGTAAATTCATTTCATTAATGGCTAGCCCATATTTCATGACGATGAATATTTTACGATGGAAAGTGTCTTGCTAAGCGGCCATTGCGAGAAACCTCAAGTCATTGTTTGTAATAATTTAGTCAAGATCCTGAAGATTTTAGGGTCGTTTTCTTCGAAAAACTAATTTTAACATTGAATGCTTGAACATTTGGCCCAGACTCTTGGCCCAGACACTTGGCCCAGATTTAGCTTTAAAAAGTTGTTGTCAAATTGAATATCAAATCAGATCTTGTTTCATTAATTATATGCTAATAGTATAATTATATTCTTGAACAATAATTATGTGCTTATATTCTTTCAGGTTTTGCTAGTTATTGGCAGTTTAATTTCAGTGATCGTGTACCGAATCATTTCTCGTGTGGACTGGTTTGTCGGCCAAAACTCAATTTTCTTGTCTAATGTGACATCATCCGTTTTGAATTCAACATCCATAATGCTGTTGGGATATTTTTACAAGGCACTTGGAAAAAAGCTTACAGAGTGGGGTAGGTTTTACATGTCTTCGCGTTTTTACCATTTATCAACCAAGTTAGGCAACTAATCATGTAAACGATTTATTGCTTCACTTTGCCAGTTTGTTTTGATTTTATCAAAATTGCTGTGCTGTCAGATTTACACTGTTGCGTTTGCTCTTTAAACGTTGATGTCATTCACCCGCCTTGTCTTTGCTATATACGACCGTAATTCGCACACGTTATTCTTCATGCAATAAATAGATCGTAACTTAAGCGTCATGTAAACACAAAGCTTATCATATCTTTAACATTTCCGGATCCAATAGAGCCGGTCCAATTTCGATCGGATATGGTTGAGATTGGCCACAGTTTAGTTCGGACACAGTTTGGATCCGATCTTGTTTTTATCAGATCAAGTTCAGGGATACAGTTTGGATCTGATTCAATTTTCATCGGATCCAATGTAGGTCGGACCCAGTTTCGTTCAGATCCAGTGCAGATCAGATTCTGTTACATCTGATTCAGTAGGGATCCGACTTTGTCTAGATCCGATCCAGTTCCAGGGCCTTAGCTGCTATTGTTCTTGAGCCCCCCAAAAATCTCAAAAACTCTTTTTTCCAATGAGCAAGCCATTTTATTCCTATTATTTTCAAATAAAGGGGCCCAGGCTATTTTGTCCTTCCAACAGCACTGAGTTTAGACCCGATCAACTTTCACTCAAATAAACCGGGATATGATTCTCGTCTTTTGATCTTCATAATTCTTGGAGCTCTGTGTTTATGATATATAGATAATTATTATCCAATGCCTAGGTAGCGTTCTGGTTGAAAGCCCTAGTCGCGATGTTTTTTTTAGAAACCATCCCTTGGGATCTTTCATGTATTAAATAAGACAGGCTCAATGAATAATTAATTGTTTTTGCAACCAATATCCAACAAAAGCTACTTTTCTCATCGCCATATTTAAACTGAGAGAACTCTCTCTTCTATAACATATGGTATGGTTTTTACTGCATGCAGTGCGACCGACTTTCTGCCGAAGCAAAAACAGCTTAGTACCGTTAATAGCTGTGCCATTTCTATTTATGAAATTTCTTTGAATTAATGTCACCAAACTATTTGCTTTATAGAGAATCATCGAACTCAAACACAGTTTGAAGACTCACTCATTCTCAAGCTGTTTGGGTTCCAGTTTGTGAATTCCTACTCCTCACTGTATTACATCGCATTTTTTCGCGAGGTACCACCAATTACACCAATTTAAAGCTACCTCAATAATAATATTTTAACTTTATATTATTAATGTAAAAGATCTTTCCTTAAGGGCTATTTTATGGTGAGAAAAATGCTTACTTTGACTTGATTTAAACAAGATGACCAGTTTTCACATTAATTTTGCCTACCGTTGTATTCCTATCTTTCGTTGAAAGAAAAGTGTATTCAGTCAGTAGCTGGAACAACCTGAATACACTGTAAATTCTTATTTTTCTCTGGTCGTCTTTTGAAATATATTTCACTCTTTAATTAATTTTAATGCTAAATGTCAGAAATTGAAAAATCAGAAAATTAGAAATGATTAATTCCGGTATTTTCTTAGAGAACAAAGGACGGAATTCTCGGAAAAGGTGACAAATACACGGATTCCTGTGGAACGGCCAATGACTGCATGTCGCTTCTGTCTCTTCAAGTCGGAATTCTCATGCTTATGAAACCGATGCCAAAGTTTTGTACTGACGTGGTGGCACCGTAAGTTCATTTCGGGTTTCACAAATTCACATTTGCTGCGCACCTAAAGTAGTCTTGTGCATGGTCATTAAGTACCCTAGTATCACGTGTCTACTTTTTTCAAACTCAGGCATTATGCTGCCCAACGGCATTTGGTTATTGATATGGTTCATGCTCTGTTAGTCTGTTGCTTTTCACATTTGCTGTAAAAATGCCCAAAGAATTGTTTAGCTTTGCTTTTGCCTTCTTGAAAAAGACGGAACATTGTTTCTGAGGATTGTAAAACATTTTTATTGCTGATAGCATAGGCAACTTCAGAAAAGCTTTATTGCTCAAAATATTTCCAAAAAGATGTTGAATTCAGTTTTGGCCTGTTAGCAACTTTTCCAAATTGTGCAGAAGTGTAAAAATCAGTAGTCCGACATTTTCTTTTTCAAATTTTTTGCCCAAATGTATGTCCTCAGAAATCCTCAAACCTCAGTGTTCGAAGAAAGAAGAGGGAACATTTTTCCTGGATCCAAGTCTGCTCGGCGTGCTCTTATAGTTGGTGGCGATCCTAGATTCAGTTCTTATGTGGATAGTTGGAAACAGTAAAACTTATATATTGGGGTACCACAGGAATTCTGCCTAGGGCCACTCCTTTTTCTATGATAAAAAAAGGCGAAGAAAACTATGTGTGTTTACGAAGCAAGCAATACTCGTCTGATAAAAGTGGGGAACTGAACTTATTTATCAAATAAGGGCTCTGATGCATCGAGAAATTGGTACTGGACAGCGAACTTCTACAATACTTGCGAAACTCAGTTGATGATGATTTATTTGTAAATAGATATAAAGCCAATATAGATTTGCTCCCATCCAAAGGATTGGAACAAGATATAGAACTGTTAAGCGAAACAATATACGTAGGAATACTTATATTGCTAATATAGAATGTACAATAAAAGAATAACAATAAAATTACAAAATAGCGCTGTCAAAATAGTAGCAAGTAACCCTCTTGGTAAATATTAAGCTCACCTGCTCTAGATACTTGGTTAGCCATCTATGCAAATTTTGCAGATAAAGAAACATCTTCTATGATTCCTGAATCTCTAAAATCCTTTTTCAATTTAGTGTCTCTATATCTTGGCATGAGATTGCCTGGGCTGCATAAGAAATGTTAAGAATGGGTGAGAGTCAGAAATCTTATACATAGCTCTGGGTTGGCATCTGGAATCATCTTGATTTGGATCCAAACTGGATCCTGCATTCTTTGATTTGTAAGTTGGTTTTTTGCAGGGCCAATTGTAAAGTGTGTAGAGTAATTGTACTCGTGATAGAGAATTGTGACGTTAATACTTTATTCGTTGTTTTGCAGGTTATTTTTTAGGTCATTAAAATCGCTTGCTCGTAAAATGAAACGAAACAAGGTGCTGGACGAAGGATCATTTGTTAACGAGAATGTTCCTGCTGATGTAGAATTCGAAGATTACATGCGAAATGAGAAGGAAAAGCCTCCTATCAAAGATTTTACGCTCTCTGAATATACCGAAAAGGGTAATAACTTACTGTTCCATTATTGTTTCGTTTTAATACTTTGAAATATTTTTGAAAAAGCAAGCTCAGGACTTATTTGGTACTGCTTTTGCATTAATCCTCTTAAAGATAATTTAAGCCGTCACAGAGTCTGTATTTTTGTATGAATGACGCAAAAGGCGGTTTGCCGTATTTGCTACGCCTTATCTTATGCTACAACGATGTCTCCGCTTCAGAGCGTAATTGTATAAAAACTTCCTATAGTAACTATTTTTTTCAAAATATTTATTCCTAACAAATCATCATATTTGACAATTGCTCTTGAAATTCTGCCTTTACCCGTCGAATTTCAAATCATAGTAATTTTTATGATTTTCGGAATCGCATGATTTTAGATTATTTATTCATTTCAAACTATCATTTTTTCAGTGATACAGTATGGCTACTTAATGGTAAGTGTCTTTAGATAAACTTTTTGCATAAAACCACAAACAAACATAAATGTTGTTGGGACTTTGTCAAATATTATCACCATGGTAAGTCTTTTCATAAAAACAAAATGCCACCTATTGCTATTGCTCACGGAATATAGATGGTCACGAATTTGATATAAACTGTTTATAATTTGTCAATAATTCGAATATTCTGCCCTTGGAAAGAATTTGAACAATACCCCACCGTCAATACTTCGCTGTTTAACAATAAACTGAAACAAATTTTACTCCTTGATCAGAACTAAATAAAAAAAATGACCATAAATTCTATACAGCTCAAACCTTTTTCACTATAGACAGGTTTTTTCTTCGTGTTCTTATTTATCTTTCTTCGTGTTTTTGCTAACCCTTTTGTCATTACGTTAAATGTCCTGTTTCAATCTACAACGCGGAACATCGATTTTGACTTTTTCCATGTCTTTTTGGCACAAAAAATCTACATGTGATATGTCTTGTACTTTTCTAAATTGCTATTCCTTGTTTTGGTCCAGCTTTTTTGTCTGGTGAGAATTCGTGAAAGCTGTAGCGATTCAGAATTGCGAATGAGGAAAATGAGAGTTAGAGAGACAGTTTCAATTTTTTTAAAAAATCAAATTGATTTTGTAGCTTTTTGCAGCAGCTTGTCCACTAGCGCCATTGATAGCACTGGTAACGAATCTTGTTGACCTGAGAATTGATGCGAGGCGACTCCTATGGCTGAACAGGCGACCAGTGCCTTTCAGGGCACAGGATATTGGTGAGTTGGGAGCTGTTTGAGATCAATATGAGATGTTGAAAATAAAAGGCATAATGGTTTTGTGAGCTATTCACAATATCCATTAGTACCTTTGTACCTATCGATTTCCCTTTTTTAGAAATGTCTCTCGAGATAATTGTTTGTCAACCAAAGCCTTATTTAGCTTGAATAGATGGTATAATGACCAATATTAGGAGTATTGTGATTATTTGATCAAGCAAGATAATTCTAACCGACTTGATAGCGAACTTAAGTTGACAAAATAGCCATTTGAGGCATCTTGCTCTTTTTTGCAATGTAATTACCTTCTCCTTTTTTTTATTCTCCTACTTCTTTTGTGATCTTCTCTTTTTTCTCCTTTTCTCCATTTCCTCCTTCCTCTCCCACTTCCCTTCCTTCCCCTTACTTTCTCTCTTTCCTCTTTTCTCTCTTCTCCCCTTCCCCCACTTCTTCTTCGTTTCCTTCTTCCCCTTTTTCTTTCTCTTCACCTTCTTCTCCTACTTCTTCTTCCCCTTCTTATCTCTCTTCTTCTTTTCCCACTTCTTCTTCATTCTTTTTTCCCCTGCTTCTCTCTCTTCAACTTTTTCTCCTCGTCCTTCCTATCTCTCTTCCTCTATTTCTTCCTTTTTTTCTTCCTCTCTTTGTTATTTCTCTACTCCTTCTTCCTCTACTCCTTCTTCCTCTTTTTCCATTTTTCCTTCTCCTTCATCTTCCAACTTTCTCCATTTCAGTGGCATTCTTCCCCTCAGTCCTTCTTCCCTTGCTGTCTCCTGGATTCGGTTATCCCATTTTTTATCCCATTTTTCATCTGGTCTTCATCTTCCTTTTTTCACTTTAGTTTGTACCACGTCTTTTACTCCATGTCTTGCTTTGCAGTTACACTAGCTGTGCAATGATTAATTTTTTATTGAGTCGCACCAACTCTTCGTTGTAGGGATGTGGTATACAATTTTGCAACTTCTTAACTACATTGGCGTTGTAACCAATGGATTCATCATAGCAATTACGTCTTCATTTGGTCGTAAATACAAAACCACAACGGTCTTCAATGTTCTAGTGGCCAACAACACGTCAACCAATGGCACCAGCAGTTTGACAACAACAACACAAACTGTGGTCACTTTGGAATATTTGTGGATCATTATTCTTTTTCAGGTAATTGTAGACCGATGATAACATTTTGGTGCAATTATTCATTTTCATTGCCGTTTTCCTTTCATTCTGTAATATTTACCTTTGTTTGGGCAAAAATGACATAAAGTGGTAGTTTTTCAATTGCGTCACCGGAAAGCTATTCATTCAAACATCAGTACGAACTTCTGTTCGATTTAGAGCGTTGCATTCTGTGACCCAACAAAAGTTAGGTTTTTTACCCAGTTAGTGATACCCAACCATTTTTATTACCTGAAATTTATTGCTAGGATAAACAAAACGATTTTGCATCAGATCCCGTTATCCCTGCCCCCAGGTGTCACTGGTTAAAACGGAGTTCAGTTTTGATGCTTGATATGGAAATAGTTTGTCTATATATATGGAAAATAGGTGAACTAGCTCATTGACAGCTTTGCTTTTCCAGTTACACAAAGGTTGAAGGTCTTTGCAAATTATCGGTAAGGCGAGGACGTTGAAATTCTGCAAAGCACAACAGTATGAATAATGACCTAATAACATAAAATTGTTAATTCTTTTTTGGGCTTTCGGTCTTGCAAGATGGGTCTCTTAAAAAAACTTTTACACATTGTCATTAGAATTCTCCGCAGGATCTGTCAAGTTACATGCTACTAAAGTCTATGTTTGTTCTATTTGCAGAATATTTCATTCATTGTTAAATTCATCCTTGAATACTCCATTTCGGATGTGCCAGAGAAAGTAACCCTTGCTCGAAAAAAGGTAGGATGAAGCTTGATATAAAATTAAACCTTTTTATAGTAATCTTTAACAAAAATCTTGATCTGGACAGTTTTTTCCTGGCTAATATGTCAATTGATCAAGTAATAAAGATATCAGTGAATTATCCCGAATAAGCTGTTGAATATTTCAGATTTGAGATTACTCATTGCTCGATTTGAATGAAGGATTGATGTAGCCAGTTTAATCCATTTTAAGACAAAAATATGCGCACGATTAGATATTTTTTAACCAATCAAACATTGTAGGAGAAGTATGCCATTGAAGAGGTGCTGAAAAAAGCAGGATATCGTTGCGGAAGGGGAAAGACGATCGTCCCTGCCGTCGAAAAGTCGTCAAATCCTACACCAAGCGAGGGCGAGCAAATGCTCATAGAGAATAAAAAAGCTAAAAGAAGAGAAACGATCAAGGAAAAAATCCGGAAATTGTCAAATAAAAGTTCGAAAGGGAAAACCAGTGACCATTCAAAGAAACTCGGTAAAAGCAAATCAAGAGAGTTTTATCTAAAAGATGACGGAGGAAAAGGAGGAGATTTAACTGTCTGATTTATTTATCTGATTTATTTGTATTTTTAAATCATTTAGATGTAGTTCATTGCTGAAAACGATTTTTATATATAATCATGACAATGCACCTCAGCCGTTGATACATTGCAAGATATGTCCGCAAATTTTTAATAGTATTTTTGGCATAGTGATTGCCTATCTGGTCAGGCGGTGGTGAACTGCCAAAACAATAACTAAGCAGTGAGGAGGAGGGACTTGGGGTTGTTGGTTGTAACATTTGACGATTTGTTGATTGAGAACAGAGTTTTTTCTTATCTCACTAGCGAAGAGAAACCAGAATCCGATATCTTTTGAAGATTTTATCCTTCTTTAAATTATAACTCTGTACCAGTGATTGACAAAATTTGCTTTTATTAAGTAAACGCATTTTATGGCCCAACTATTGCAAGCTAAAAAGTTCTAGCTGTCAGAATAATTTTCCATGTATACTTGTCTTAGCTCTCTACAGCTAATGAAGAAAAGCCTCGCTTAAGAATCTTATATTGATAAACATCCAGCACAAGATGACAAATTGAACACTAACTTTCTTGTTCGGGGTTGTATGTTTGAAAAGATTTGTTTCATTGCTCCTAACAGATAGGGTGATGTGTATTAAATTAATTTACATATTGCGTCAAGTCTCTGCCTTCAAAGCAGTACCACTGTGGAGACAGGCATCTCAAACTGATTCCTCTTATAAATCCCTGTCTGATTTTATAGAACTGCCTCATGTTTTCGAGTGCAAAGACACACCTTCCAGAAACACGTGCCTTGTGTTTGCCCAACCGTCAGAGTATAACATTATCTAGCTAAAATGTTCATCTGTTGATTCCACTTGCAATTCTAATTAAGCTTCTAAGCTTATAACTGCCTCGCTTAAAATCCGTTTGATTAACGCCCGTTATGATTATCCTTGCCGTGCAATTTGTACATAGAAGGCATTTATTGACGGAAGTACGACCGTTGGATCAATGTATTATATTCCAGTATATTTATATATCTATTTGTAAATTCAGGCATAAAGTATTTTGAAATGTGCTCATCGATGTTAAATAATTCCCAACAACTTGTGTCGTTTTTGGTTTCAAACAACTAAAAAATACAAACTTTGTCTTTTTCTAATCAAATTCAAATCTAAAATTAACACTAAAATTGGAAATGAGATCTTGAAGAAGGTTTTCATGATAGAGTTTCATTTAAAGATTGCTGAATCTGTGTTTGTGTTTGACTAAGACTGAATGGTACCCGTTCAATTTTTAAAATTTAATTTATTGTTTTCGATCACGAGTATTTCAGTTTCCTTATAGACTTTGAATGTAATGTTTCGCTTAAAAGCTCATCGTGAATTGGACATTTTAGCCGTGGATCATAAAAAAATTGACAACCATAAAGAGATGGCTGTCTCCTGTTGCTGTTGCTGTTGTTGCTGCTTTCTGTTGTTGTTGTTGTAGTTGTAGTGATGATGAATGGCGGTGATCAGATTGTGAAAGACGAGGGGATTTTTAATGAAGCAAAATTGCGTTTCCTTAACAATCAAATTCATGGTTAAATCGACAAAAGATTCTAATGAAACTAGAGTTTCTAAAAACAAATGACCTGGGAAACAGAGAACTTAAAATGATTTTTATCTTAAAACATTTTGCGATACTAATGCTCCAAAAATTGATTAAGGAAGATTCTCAATATCCTCTTTACCCAAATTAATTCCAAAAGAATTTGCCATCCTTATGAAGTATGAGAAACCAGAAACATTCTAAAAACACACAGTTAAACGAAGTTTCTCTGCTAAACTTATGTTATAGAGAAACCCAGCTCCATTTGAGCCAATCTTCCCACGCACAAGACTCGCGGAAAACAATTCTAAATCTGATTCATACATATATAAAAATTAAGTGGCAATGCAGTTTCAATACTGGCTATGATTTTTTAAATTTCGAAAGTTAAATCGTTGCCTTTCTATCGTAGAGCATTTTTACTCTAAAAAGAAATCGATTCTGCATTATCTCTAATTTACAACTAAGGTGCGGTAGGAAGCACAAATTCCCCCTTTAAAGATCAAAACCTTGCCTTTGATTCTGAATAGACAGCAAGAGCCCCCACAGGAAACTGAGGCACCTTCAAACTTAAATGAAGAGGAGATAAATAGAAAATGATCATTTACACGGATATATTATCACATACCCACTTCAGTCCTAAAATCGCTACGTAAACATGACAACTCAAAAAGCTACCAACTATGAATGCTGCTTTGACATGTGGATGAGCTTTCTAACAAAGGTTTGTAACAAATATCACATTGAAATACTTTTAAAGGAAATATTATCAAAGAACTGCCGATTTTTCTGGTGTTTTTGCTGCTGTTTTTGAAGTTTTTGCTGCACTTCTTTTTCTTTAACTCGTAACAAAAAATTAGAGATAATGCTTTGCTTAAGACATTACTGACACAAAGCGACAACAGAAAGATTCTCAATGTTTGATTTCAGCACTTGATATCGTAACCTAGAACAAAGCCAATAATGATGTCCTTCAGAATGCTATATATGATCACAAAAACGACAGAAGAAAATTATATCAATGTGGAGTAATTTCTATAAGTTATTAAAGTCAGTCTACACCCAGATCTAAAATGTTTACAACTTCTACATATACTACATTTGACGTACAATAAAACAAGCGACATTCTTTAGTCAAGTTTCCTCGCAAAGTTCAGTTACTTCACAAATTTTCATGAAATGCATTTTAAGTTGTGTACCACGATGCATTATGCATACCAGTTATTGTTCTTATGGAAAGTCAACAGTAAAATGTTCACGCAAATTCATCTTCGTCATCATCGCCGTCAACTTTGGAGTTCTCGTCTTCAATGTCATGTGTTGAGGTATTGAGATCTGCGTCATCATCCTCGAAATCTTCTTCATCATCTCCATCATCAAACATGAAATCTGATTCCTCGTCATCGTCTTCATCATCTTCACTTCCTTCGCTGTGTTGCAAATCTTCCAACAACAGTTTTTTCATTGTCTCCTCATTTCGAGACTCGTAGGAATGACGCACTGAGCCAAAACTTTCCATTCCCTCAATGTCGACATCTTCATCATCTTCTTCTCCTTTAATGATCACTTAAAAAGGGAAAGATCTCGTAAATGTCTCGAGTCAGTTCAAATGGCCGAAAGCTTGTTTTTTAACTTAAACGAGACCTACTCGGGAGAAAAATACGTCGTTTAAACACGAATCGTTGCAATTAAGACGACAACGAAAACAACGACGCCAACGACAACGATAATGGTGGTGATTACGATGGAGTTAAATTGGCCTACGGTTCTCGATAAAAAAAAAGCAAGATAGCTATTCCTACGTAAACAAATCACCATGAAAGCTTAATCTTTCCAAATCGCAAAAGTTGGAAAAAATTGTCTTTGGAATGAATGTCAAACAGGATCCCTCCCTTGCAGTTTTTTTTAATTGGCTGATAAGCAATTGTTCTATCTAGGCCTAAAACATTTGACTTTTTTTCTTATATCTTTATAAAGTAAACACAAGCTTAGCTTAGCTTTGAATTAATTTTTTTTAGCTTTTATCACAAAGTTTGACATGACTCCCTGAAAGGGAGGCTCTCGACTGATTGGGCTACCGAGAAGAAATGATGAAAAATAAATGAAAACAAAAGATGACGATGATTGTTAACGACGACTATCTGCAGCTCATCAGTTGAGATCTGGATCGATAGCTGAGGGAACTGCGATAAAATACCTTGTTTGGTGTCTGTGAAGCCAACATGTAACATAAGCGACTTTCTCTTCTTAAACGACGGTACACTTTGAACTGAGCTGTCAAATGCCATTGCAGAATCGTCACCATAGTCTCGACTGTCGCCAGCTGACATCGAGGCAGCCTCAAGACCGATATCGATCTCAAACTGACTAATCTGATCCGCATGCTGTTTTGAAAAATGAATTAAATTAATGGAACTCATGTCCCAAATTCTTGAATTTTTGTTGTCATTTTATCATATATGTTGTTATTTTGCTTACGACTTATTTTCGATATGCTTTTTAGTTTTTCTCCCCTCCTGGCATGAACTTTTGTACTTTTGACCAAATTCCCGAAAAATTTCTCCACGAGATTTCCGTAAAATGCAAAATTCACAAAAGTTTTTTTCCGCGAAACAAAATTTAATGATATAAAATTCCCGAGTTGTTTTTCCTAAGATACGACTGAGTATAAAATTCGCAAATTTTTATTTTTGTCAAAAGTTAATTTTAAAAGTTAGCTTTGAAGCACTTCAGTTTGCCATGTTTTCGCTATTTCGTGACATATCTAATAGCAATGCAAAAACCCCGCTAGCTGTCTACCCCAATCCACTGAACGGGATATCACATTAAGTAACTATATTTTTAACCAGCTACTAAAAAATTTGTATTTCCAGTGCAAGAATGATATAAAATTTCAAGTAAGATCTTACAAAAACCAAGAGTCTCTCGCAGCTTTCAACCATTTTCTGCGCAGTTTGGGTGAAAGTGTGGTCAGGTCCTGTGAAGGTAAATAAGAAAAGAACCCATCACTAAGTGCTGTTTATCGATCACCACTTCAATCAAAAAGGATTTAGTCAAGCTGCTCTCAAGAGTTTCTCTACCTTCAATATTTATCATGGTTATTGCACCTCCAATACAGGGATGAATTCTATGTATTGGTGAACGACTTTACCTTTGGCTGCATAAGACCGACAAAATCTGATAAACAAATGGGTTCACAGAAATACCCTTACAGTTCATACTTCACTACAGTTCATACTTCACTACAGTTCATACTTCACTACAGTTCATACTTCACTACAGTTCATACTTCACAAAGCAAAAAATTGATATAACAACTGAGCCGTGTACAAGGGGACGAATAAAAGTCATCCAACAGCAAACGCGTGTGTAAAAAGACAAATTTTGTTACTAAGGATTATTAAATTTCACAACAAAAAATTGAAAATAAGTTAAAACATAAAGCACCTAGTCCCCCACTAAAAGACCCTCGTAGCAATAATATTGCTACCAAATATGATTTAATTACAACTTAAAAAGTGCTCATACTCGTACCGTTATACAACAAACTGTTGGCGAATATCAGTTTGACGTCTTCTAAAAAAGCTTCTTTGTGTTGGTAACGATGCTCTTGGCAGTTCTAGCAAACACAAAATGTAATATGCTATAAATTGATATTCACCGCAATACTGAATTATACGGTACAATGCAGAACAACGTTCACAAAGGCCGCAGACTCTAACAAAGCTGCTCTAAGCAACAACTTGTTTGGTGCCGTGACCTGTGGGAAAAACGTAGTCAACAACCCTTATACACTTCTGCGTTACCTGGTATGGAACTTTTTGGATAAGCAAGAAACGATGCATATTTGGAACTACTCACGTGTCTATTTGCGAGGTCATTTAGAACCAACTCTTGAGAAATTCGTAATTACCACACCTATTCAGGTTTTCCCGTCCTTAGAGCAACATATACCTATAATTCTCTTTCCCAAGGGCCTAAGTTAAGTGTGACCTAAACTCCAACATAACTCTTGAAAAAAACCTTCTAAATAGCTTTGAAAAAAGCAAACATTTTATATCATATTGGCTAAAAGCTTTTTTGTCTGATACTCCTCAGAGCATAAAACGTCAGAATAGGGGTCCGGAAGAACACGATGAAAAACTTTCTACCTAATTTTTGTTCTGAAATTTAGCCATGGTCGAAACCAAAGTTGAAGGCAACACGTAGACAGTGCAGGTAAGTTTGCACTCTGATATATACAAACATTTTGTATATGAATCCATCCAAAAAGGGTATAAACACAATTTAATTATGAAAACATCTAAAAGACAATAGAAGTTCAGTAAGAGAGGGAGCGACTAAAAACACTGGAGTATATATTTCCAGTAACGTTGGCAGTCTCTGCTCTTAAAAAAGACAAAATTGAAAAACTCTCAATTTTACCTGTTTGAGTGTTTCTAGATCCATTGGTCGCTTGACGATTTCGTAGTAGTCATGGACAATCTTGGAAGACACTGGTATATGAAATGGCCAAGACTAGAAAAAAGTAAAATCATGTACAGGTATGATGATGATCAGTAACCTATTGAAATTCAAAGCATTAAGATGAATACAGCAGCAGCGCTATCATTATTGCCAGACGCGACAACAAAACAAATCATGAAAACCAAAATGAATGACTGCATTTGACACATTAAAAAATACCTCTGGGATCGCCTTCATTTGTTGCACAATAGACTCGAGAATCCAAGAAAATCCAACCTAAAAATTATTACAGAAGTCTCCTTTAGACAACAGCATTTGTGCTACATGTTTTTGGCTAGAATGCATGCCAGAATGCAGTGGGAAGAGCACATAAACAGCATACCTGCGTTTTTTTTTTAAAAATATATCCTGTAAATTCGCTTAAAAATATCCCGAGATTCAGTTCAAAGTAAAAGAAACTAACCTGTGCATTTCCATCAAGAAGTGGATTAATTTCTTTCTCTAGCGCTGTTATTTCTTCGTCTCTCTAAAATACATCAACAAAAATGTGAACAACTCAAAAGTTACGAATATGTGATAAAAGCTAAACCTATTCTGGAGGAAAGCCTTAGCAGCGATAGGTTACAAAGGCAGGGAATATCATTACAAAGGCAGGGAATATCATTACAAAGGCAGGGAAAATCATTTCACCTAAAGTAGATCCAGTAGCAATGAGCAACAAAAGAAATCGAAAATGGGAAATAAACAAAAAGTATGCTTTTAACTATTTTGTTTAACGATTCAGATTAGCGTATGATGAATACAAACGAACCCATGCATAGGGTGAAAACTCAGCACCAAACGGCGTGGGTTGATTTTAACAGTTCATTGGGTTAAATGATGATAGCAGTTAGCTATGGAAAAATATAATGCTGGGAACAACAGCCCAAAAATGGTTTGCTAATGGAAGAAGAGTCCTGCAGTAAAATATAACACGATCATTCTTATCGACTGGCTAATATAAAAGAGCAGAAAGACATAAAGCCATACTTCTGTGAGCAGTTTGTTTGCAGTGGTTAGCATCTCTTCAGCCACTTTGGTAAGCTGGTGACTCATACCTGTGAGAAAATACAACAAAGCATAGCCAATAAATGCGATACATGGAACAAACTTGAATATTCGCTAGATTTGACATTAAAGACGTGATTGAGACCTTTGGAAAAACCATAGTTTTCCCCTTTTTCTAGAACCTTGCACGGGTCTGCAAACAATCTTTTGGTGGTACAAAACTTGAAAATGGCTTTCAAAAAAAGCAAATATTTGTGTAAACTAGAGCTTCTCGTTTGACTCTCTTCAGAGTTTAAAACGTCAGAACATAGATCGAAAACTCTACGCTAGGAAATATATAAACCCAGTTGTGGATCGAAATAGGCCAATCAGAAACACGAGCACATGACTGTTGAAGTTACCCAATCAGTGCCGCTTGCCTATTGAGAATGTTACCAATGGAGTCCTAAGGTGAAAACGAACTCCTTTTGTCTACACAGTAGCTGATTTTCTTGTGCTTATTTAGACAGATTCCAAAACTGCTAGATGGGACGACGATCGGGCTTTACCAATAATCCGAAACATGTCGCCATTATAGTTTTTTGCACAATCTGAATTTTCCAGTGAATGCTGCCCGATAGCAGAATCGCAGGTTTTAGTTGTACTTTTAGATTTGTAAGACCGAGGTGGCTGTTCTCTTTGGGGACGAGTTTTGTTTCTAATACTAGACGGAACATGCTTTTTTAATCTTTGGGCATTGCGTCCTACGTTGCCAGAATCACACTGGCACGTAAATTCATAAACAACGGAACTCTTTTGTGTGGTAGGATCGCAATCCCTTTGAAAGGATGAAAGGGCCTTTTCTTTACTGTAAACAATACGTTGATTCATATCTAAAACATCTAGAAATGGCAAGGAGTTATTTTCTTCCTTTTCAAATGTAAAATGTAGGGCTGTGTGAAGGCCATGAAGGCGTTTTAAGAAAGTATCCCACTCAGCCTCTGTTTGAAAATGGTATACGTGTCACCCACATACCGAAAATAAACACCTGGTTTTTTGGTCGTAGTCAAACAAACGCTCTTCATGAAATTGTTGGATTATTGGTAATGATTAATGGTGGAATGCAGCCTTTCCGTAATCACACAACTCAAGTATAGGCCTTTTCAAAAGCGTGCATGGATTTCACATCTCACTTTAGAGGTGGATTTTCAATCAACTACACTTAGTGAGCAAAAGTATTGCACAGGCCGAGGCAGAAATGGCGGCACTGTAGCAAACTTTTTTAAGCGAACCAAAATTTATATGGCCACAGAAAGTTTCATTAAAGTTATAAGATGACTTTTTAGTTGGAATATATTGGAAAATTTATCAAGGTTTGATGCTGAAAATAGTAAATGCAAGAATATTCTTGACTTTTGCATATTTCTAAACAATATCAACATCTGCAAATTATGAAAATTGAGCCATTGATTGAAGTACCTGTTAATCATGTGCAATCAAAAGTTTTTTTGCACCAATTTGAAATATCTTCTAAAGATTAAATCGGAGATACTTAGTTTATGCATAAAGTTTTCAAAGCTGCGAGACTGTCCAATAAGAAGTTAAATCCTTTTACTTTTAAAAAAGTAAATTTTTTCAACTTTAAAGTTAAATGTGTTGCCAATTTTTAAGTTTGATTTAATTGGTTTTTAACTATAAAAAGACGCCTAATGGCTTCACAAAAGTGGTTTTAATGTCGATCGCCTTTTTGTTTGCAACGCAATCACCATTACTGATTTGTCAAACCTGTGCAATACTTTTGCTCAGTAAGTGTATATAAAATGCAGTTTTAATAAAAATTATCAGTACAAACCATTGTATAAAACGCAGTTTGAATAAATGAGTGTCACGTGTTCAAGGAATGATTCTTTGGTGTTATATCTTCCATTCTTCACCTCCTGAAACATATGATAGGTAAGTATTTTTTAAAACCTTCCAGCATTTCATTATAAAAAGAATTTGAAACTTTGAAAGTTCAGACATACATGTTTATGATATCATAGAACAAAATTAGTAAAAGTCTTGTCAATAAGAATTGCAAGAAAAATTATCATTAGAATTTTTGAGTGAAACCAAAAATTCTAAAGTTCACACTTTTCTCCTTTACATTACTTCTCAAATTCCTTGAAACGCAAGACTTTCAGGAGTCATACCTCTCGTAAGGTCTGGAGGTCCATTCCACGTTTTACGATCTGGTAATAATCTGGAACAGCTTTTGTCGACACAGGCGTATGGAACGGCCAGCTCTGAAATGTGAAAACTTGCTTTAAAGCGGTCGATGCTAATTATCGTTGCGATATTCCTTAATTGCTTCCTTGAAATAAACCACTATTAAGAGCTTTAAAAGTTCAAGACAAGTAGTATGCAGGATTAATTGCAACTGATTCACTTCACCATGCATTAGTACGTGAATAGACGTGTGTATGTAATACAAAGGGTTACGTGAGTGCTGTGAGCAGAATTCTGTTACACTTTGCAAGAATTTTCACGAATTAAAAGCAATCAACATTTAAATGCATACCTCTGGGACTTCTTTTATTTTCGATATGATGCTTTCAAAGATAAGACTGAGGGCAACCTAAAAACAAATAAATCTTGATAGTAAAGTAAATAAACAAATACTTTATGTATCAGTTCTGTACTGGGGACAATACTGCGGTCATGAGACACAGAGTTTCATTATGGGTACCCTTATGGTGCTTACATCAGTCAAAAAACAATACCGAAGACAACAAACAAAGAAGAGTGTAAACAGATATGGTAAGCATGGTTCCATTGACATTGAATGGCACACGGACATGGAACAATGAAACGGAATAGACTGCTAACATAGGGAATGGTATGCCAAACTCTGAAAATATCTTTTTTGGTGGATGCCCTTCAACAGTTCGCGCTTTAATTCGCATAAAGTAAATAGCTGATTTGTTCATTAAAGTAAAAAAAGAGCGAGTAAAAGAGAAAAACCATCCACTTCAAGAATATAGTTTGAATATATTTAGACCACACAAAAAACACTTTTTACTATTCACTAACGAAAGAGACCGTTTCAAGGCAGAATTCAGGTCGATATTCACGTTCTAAATCGCCTCAGAATACATCACTAAGAAACTACAAGCAATCAATGAAGAAAATGTCTGGCTCTAGATTTCTTTTCTCGATAGCAGACGAGAATGATACGAGACGTACCGATTGCACGCGGTAGATAGCTGAAATGAGTGATTTTCTGATTAACAGCATACTGATTGAGATGTGAATATCTATATCTACGTAATTTAATGAGCAGAAAACATAAGTATTGAATGGGAATGACTCCACGCAGCAAACATGTGTGGGAGCAGCGCGTGTAAAAGCAAGTGCTAGAAGGAAAATAAATCCAAATAAAGGCCATTTTAAGATTTATGTGATTAGTTTGTTAGCATTGGAAGATTTGTTAAGAGATTAACAACGAAACCAGTGCTCGTGCAATTAAACAAAAATAGGCTTTTCGAAGCCTTCAAAAGAAGCATTTTCTAACAAAAAATCAGGTTGAACTGACGATACAGAGCATCCTTTAAATCGGTATTTTATTTACAGGGGCCGTGACAGCAACGGTAGTAATTATAGAACTCTTTTGTAGATGGCAATTCGTTATAGGCTGCGGTACCTTGATGCGGTGGTAGGAAGAAAGCATTATTGAATTATTGCTACCTCTCTTAATGCATGGAGATTATCTTGATTGATTTCTAATCTTCCAAGTAAGACTTTGATTCACAGTCAAGTGGCCTTATCATAACTACGTTGTACATGGTTCAAAAATGCCAACAAGCAACATGTCGAGATTCTCCAGAGCAGATTCTGATTCAGAAAGAAATTCTATCTGGCAAATTGGCAACAACCAGACATGCTTATTGCCAGAGTTCTTAAATATGAAAGCATAGTAAAAGTGCTAGCTGATTTGCTGCAAATGGCCATCGGCCTAAATCCGTTTCAGAAATATGCCATACGAAGTGCAGCTTAAGGATGTGATGATTTCGCATTGCGTCTTCAGACCAAAATTTTGTTCGTTGCTTTGTGTTGACTACACACTGAAACTATCGCCAGAATATCTAGGGGTCCTATTAAAATCACAATTTAAAATCATAAACAAAAGGACGAAAATACTGTATGATCTATCCAGTAGAATGTTTTGAAAAGCCAAAGATTAAATTCGACAAAAATGCAAGAATAAACCGGCTTTTTCTGAGAAAATGCCATACTTTATCGACATGGCAGCTTGAATTGCAGGGAAAGAACACCATATGTTCACGGTAGTTCGAAGTAGAGTTTTATTTTTGGATAATCTAAAAAATGAGTAAATAATTCAGATATCCGATAATTCTGCCTGACTTCAAAACACTGCAAAACTGTGTATGTGATCTGTGCAGAAAGATTGCGAAATTCTTTTGAAACTGGAAAATTATCCACACAGAGATCAAAAACACATATGAGGAAAAAAGAATGCACGTAATATGATCCGAAACTCACCAACGGATTGGTCCTTCTTCTATTTTTGCTCATATGATGGCGCTGCAAATTAGAGAGCACTGTAGTTAGTGAGGTAAAAGCGAATATCGACAGGATCGCACAGAAATTTCTCTCAAACCTCAATTATGCTGGAATAAAAAAAGATCCATCGTCGTATTTCAACAGCAGATCCAAACAGCAAATTTTGAGATTTATAAACTTTTTTATTGAGAATTGCACGGGCCTAGGACAAAATGTCTTAACCCAAAATCTAGAACACTCAAAAATATTTAAAATGTCTATCATACGAAACAGTAAAGATTACCATAAGATAGTCAGGATGTATAGCAGCCGAAGAGGATCTTCGCTTCTTTTTAACTGCAATGCAATGTTAGTGTTTCAGACGAAAATAACTAATAAACAACTAATTTCAAGTGAGACAAGGAAGGTTAACATTATCAGAAATCAAGCAATTTTAATGTAGACTTGGCGCTCAGTGCTTGCGATGGTTACCTTAAAAAAACATTCATGAAAAAATTCTCAAGGTGAAGAAACAATCAGATTCTCTTTGAAAGAAAAATCTGTTGGTGGTTGTGAAAAAAACCGGGTTACAAACCTGAGTCTTTTGGAATTTTCACTGTCAATGCTTTTCGTTTCAGATCTTCGACACTAATAAAACAAAAACAATTTAGGGGAATAAGGTGTCGAGATGATGGCCTAAAAATAACGACAATCGTAGCAGATTCTCCTTTGAAACAAAATATCCATGCCGAAACTAGATCTTATTCACCAGGACAGTCCCCTTTCGACAACTGTTTTCATATATCTATTTGTCTCACTTTGTGTCAGTACAAGTAATTGCTATCAATCCTAGTAGATTTAATAACCCTTAACAAACGTGTCAGTGCTGTACCGTAATGTCTACAATAACACTGCTACTTGCGAACTGCCTTCCTTATATATATCTCCAGAAACAAAAAGCAGACACTTTCTAATAAACAAAACGTCACTTACGCTTCAAGCAGAGCTTTTCCCACTGTTATTTTGGTCCCTTCAACTTTGATCAAGTCCTCTGTTGCTAAGTTGGACAACTCCTCATTTACCCCCTCATCATCTGTTCTTGATGCCGGGGTAGTACCAGTGACCCCCTCTTGGTATTTTGGGCACATTTTGTTTGTCTTCATATGTCCTATTCCCCCACAAGCTCCACATTTCAGCTGTGAATCAAAGCAATAACGAGGTCAACATGAATTCTCAGCTTTTGTCTCTAAAAATTTATCATTTTGATAGATAATGCAAGGGAACAACAGGTAGATAGTTGTATATTCAATCTATTTCTGAGAAACAAGTTTTTTTTACTAAAAACTCAAGTCACAAATGATTGTCATGGCTCACATTTTTTAAAGGCTTTTCCGACTGAACTTTTGACACTTTTTTTGATTCTTTAACTTTTTCTTTTTCTTCGTTTCTTTTAATTCTTCTCAGCTGCTCTTGAATCCTGGAAAATTACAGTTTTAATGGCAAAAATCAGAATGAAGGCAAAAAGTATCCCTGACTTTAAAAATAATATATAATCAAAGAATAGCATGTTTATCTCTTATTAAACTTCTAGTTACTGATCTACCAGATCTTTTTGCTCATTCCGATGCTCATTGGATTTGTTTTGTCAATTTTAAAGCCGTTGGCGCTCTATTTTCATTTCAAATGAAAAATACCGCTAGCCTATTTGCTTTGTTTCCAGATGGGGTTTCACATGGCTAATCAAACATAAGAAAAGCTTTCAGAAACTAATAAGGAGAGCAAGTGAAAGCATAGGCTGCGAGTTAAAAGACAACTGCGCTAAAGATGGTAATAACAGCAACGGTGATCGCTTGTGTTGGCGTAGAAGAAGCAAGGACTTGTGTACACCAGAAAATCGAAGTGAGGTAGAGAAACTTATAAATTCCACCTGCCAATAGAGATGATACCGAACTTGAAACGACCATTGAAGTCCTGTCTTAGACAACAAACACTAGAAAAATATTTAATGTTCTATCTGAGATAAGAAGCACTAGGAAAATTGAGTTCCTAATACTGTGACCGTCCCACGACAACCAAAATCAACATGAATTCGATAAAATGTAGAAAAGTGGTAATAAAAGATAAACCTTCTTCGCTCTCTCCTCATATTCTCCTTATGGATTTCATCCTGACTTGCAAACACTTGTCTGAAATTGATAAATCCAATTAAAAATCTAATTACATCCAAGGGCAGATGGAAACTGTTTCAAAGCCCATAAAACCTGAGTACCTCATCCAAAAGATAACTTATTTATCAGAAAAAGTCTGGCCAACTCGCCAAATCAACGCAATTCGCTTGCTTATTGCTATTTTATCATGACTTTGGACTCTCAAAATCTTACAGGGGAATTTGCAGTCTACTTTCAAGTCGTATTCATTCACTTTGTGACCCGAAACATTAAAAAAACCTGGCTAGGCGGGACACCGGGAAATTTCACGGTGGGCCCCTTTCAAGTGAGTTTGTAAAACCCAGTACAAATAGGCTTCTGTGGAAGAGATGCTTGGAATATAAACAGGGCGGCCTCGAGGGGGACAAGAAGGGGCAAACTGCCCTAGGGCCTTGAGGTCTAGGGGCCTCTTAAAGCAAGGAATTCCAATTTAAGAACAGATTTTTAACAAAACGTAACAAAGTATGCCTAAAAGTTGTCAAACTTGGTAAACGACTGCAAAAAACATTCTGAAATGTATTTCATGCTAATTTAAAGGGCGTGAACGTAAAAATTTTCCCGTCCACGGAACTGCCATATGCAAAGGTTTAGAGAACCTTTTTACGACCTGCGGTTTGTCATTGGAGATGTTATACAAATGAGAGGGTCCCCTTATAATCATTTTCTCCCGGCCCTTTTCTAAAAGCCACAACGTCCCTGGGTCACTTTGTCTTTGCAATGGTTGAAAAACCCAAAAAGCAGCAATTTCCAGACAATTGAAATTGGAATTGGATTTGGAATTTGAAAAGAGAACTGAAAATCTTTTCGACTCCATATTTGATTAAAATAAGATTGAATCTGGAAAAATTATGCGTGAAAGAAAAATGTGAATGTTACATATAAAAATTGTAGCCTAGTCGTAAATTGCGAAATGATATTCAATTTCATGCGCGACCGGCATCCTTTAGGATGAGGATAAAAGCTTTATTCTAAAAAACTTGTTCTTCCAGTGATAAAATGAGTGGATTAACACATTTTCGGCAAGTGCAATTGATCAATACTTCCAAAATTTGTTCATATTCAAAAGGGCTTTATAAAAAGTGCACACCTGTAGTTTTTGTCTCTTGTCACGATACGAAGATAAGAGTCAATCACAGCCTGATTCTTTACAACCTCAGTTCTTGAATATTGTTGTCCGCCTTCATTAAAAGTTCGATGAATCAGCAAACGGCGACCAGGCTACGATAAACATAACGAACATCGAACAGGATCTTGGAAGGGAGACTTGCAAAGCCTAATGAAGCCTTTCAGAAAAGACTACGGGCTTTGATTCAAAGATATTGGGTCTTTAAATAGTGAATGTGCTCCAGAAAATTTTGGAGAAAGCTTGAAACACACGATTATCACGTGCTGTTTATGTTTTGCATTCTCACTCTGCATAAAAAGGTCCATTAGTCTTCTGCGTTATCGCAACAACGCAAAAAAGATTTCCTCCATGTTTTGGCAACGGTACCAAATGTAAATGTGCAATTCTTCATCACAGCCGTCGTCATCGATGCTACTCAATTTTTGGTGGAAATTTTGCATTTTAGGATGATTTTGAGGCATACTTTGTAAGGAACCGTTCATGACAAAATCACCCAATATTTATAGATTTACTTATTCATAACTGAGAAAAAAGTAAATCAAAATTTACTGAAATGACGTCACTAACCACGGCTGAGTCAAGACTCAGAATTGAATTTGCATCGTCGTCTTCCGGCAGTTGCCTTTTGTTTGATAACGAGGAAGCAGCTGTACAGTGAAAAACTTGTTATTGCAATAAGTAAAGCTTTCTTATAAGATATCATTGCACTTCATAATTGGAAATCGTAGCAAATTTTCGAAACCAAACTGCTATTATCTATAGACAAGAATATGCCACTATCATCATAATTAGCAAGAAAACAAAAGAACAGTGTTGGTTTGCAGACAACGACCAGCCTGTTCAGCTTTACAGTATTTTCCTAGCGATGATATACAGTACTATCTCAACAACTCGAAAAACCAAGAAAACGAATCGAACTTTGCCAGTTAGCAGATGTTTGTGTTGGGAACGAAGGTAGCAATAGTCTTTTTCGTGGGACAAAACTTATAACGGCTTTTAAAAAAGAAGTATTTAAAAACATACTTTATCTTAAACCTCACAGTAAAAAACGTCAGAACATAGATCGAAAATTCCAAGCTAGGATATATATTCACGGAGTTGTGGATCGAAATAGGCCAATCAGAAACGCGAGCACATGACTGTAAAGATTGTCCAATCAGTGTCGCAACAACAGTCCGAGTTAGCGATTGTTTGTGTTTTCGCCCTTTGGCCGTTTTGGAGACGGTTCCATGGCAAGGCAAAAACAGTTCGAGGTTTCGTAAGTTCGAGGTATTGGGGGTAACACTGTAGCGTGTTTTGATAATTTCATTTGCATTTAACCCTCAGGTAGAAAATCGATAATGTCATATTTTAGTGAGGAAGGAAAGAGTTACACCTTTTCGTCTAGACCTTTCTCAAGAAAGCAGTTACTGAGTAGAAAGTGGTCAGCAACTAACTGACGCAAATCCTTTATCTAAAATAAGCATAAAGTACAAATTCTGGAGAGAAGCACGTGTGTTGTTCTAGTTTGACGTACCACTTAAAGATCTTTGAACTGCCGACTTCTCTTTGTCAGGCCGATCTTGGCTCAGCATCTTCTGGAGTTCCTTCCGCTCAGCCTCTTCGTTTTCATGTGACAGCTGCAAAAATCACAACCTTCACAATCAAAGACGACATACATAAAGAATCACTTTATAAGGAACTTACATGTAGAAGGCAGAAAAATTTAAAGAACCGTTAAATCCATAAGGAACTTTCCATTTTTGAATGTTATTTATAATTACAAACAATCAAGATATACAAACAAACCAAAAAGCAATCAAGAATTAGGGAACAGGCTCCAGTTATTTTGAGCTAAAAATAACATAAATTGTGTGTTACGAAGGAACCTGTCGAGTGTTTCATTGTCTAATTTCGAGTGTTTTATTTTCCTGCTTGATTGAATTTCTACTTTTTCGTACATCAAATATCTTTCTAGTCTTATACTGAACTTCAATCTACTGTGTGAAATTTTCATGGCACCCAATGTGCAGTCAATTTAAGGAACTTTTAGTATTACAAATCGTTCAAAAGAGGTCCAAAAAAGGAACTTCAAGAACTGGGCCGTTTTGAAGCCTTTCGGCCGCCAAATTCAAACACATGTTCATTTGAAGGAAGCGAAGTCAATCCATTAACCCACGAGCTATTCATAAAAAGCGACGTCTGAAAATGCAAATAACGAGTAAAGTTCCAACTTCAGTTAAACTGAAGGTTGTTGATCCCAATATATAATTACTATAATATAAACTAATCGAGTTTAAGAGTCGTATAATCATGGTTAAAGAGCATGGCGGCAAAGGGTGAAATCGTTGTTTTCGTACTTTTTATGACGAGGTTTTTACCGAAATCATTAACATGGAATAAATAAGCTGCAAAGGTCAAAGCATTTGCTGTTGGACATCAGCATAGAAAGGAACCAAAATACGAATTGACTGAGATATGGCCACATAAGCACAAGCTCTTTGGCACCAAAGCACTGTTATTTGCTCCATGTTCATAACTTTCATGAACCAAGCCAAAATAATAAAAAATTCGTAAACAAATTCAAGGTCGTGCCGCATCCAAGTATTAACAAATTAAACTGATTTTCTATATTGAAAGATATCTGATAGTGTTCTTATAGGTTATACGGACGACAGAAAAAAGTTCTAAAAATAAATTTATTAAAGGACGCCATTCTTTACAACTCAATTGCACACTGCAAGGATTAACTGAAAATTGATAATTATCAATAATTAGCTTCTGCAACAAAGAGATATGTAAGAAGAACATCCTTCTTCAATACCTCGTGTTTGCTTTTCTTGTTTGATAACATGCTCTCCAAATCCTTTCCCAGCTCATCAAGGTCACTAGTTTCTTCGCTACTGCTTTCTTCGTCAGTTGAGAGAATAGCATCGGAACTCAAAACTCTATGAACGAAATAAATTGCAAACAGAAATGAAAAGGAGGAAAAAACTGAAAAATATGATAGATTAGCCGAGAGAGGTTCGTTTTAATTTAGGTTTAATTTAAAAAACAAGAGTTTAAATTCTCCCTAATCGCACATCGGACGGCTTGCATTGACATCCAATTGGCTTTTAGTCATGCATTTTCCCAGTCTATACGACCTCTAGCGCTTAACCTAGTTTCAACGGGATTGAAGGCAATGACTGTGTAGAAAGCTGAAGCAGGAAACTGAGGAGAACCTAGCAAAATTGCGTAATTCAGTTGTTTACTTCTGAAGAAAAGCTCCATAAACAGGGATCTGCGGCACGATAGATAAAATCGTACCAACCCAAACTTTTCTCTTTATTGCGTGATAACGCTGGAGGAAACTTGTTTGTTGCACAGATCCCATGCAAAACCAATAGAACGCATTTCCGTTTTATACCAAATGTAAAATGTCGGCCTTTTACAGTGGCATGTTCAAAACACAAAGCTTCAAGTGCTTACCAATACCCCGATTCAACTTACAACCTCGTACGACCATTTTATCGCAGATTGGTTTTATCACCATAATTTTAGACTGGATACAATTTTTCACATTGTTTGCGCTGATTTCTTAGATCTTACAGAGAAACGTAGTTTTAAAACTTGTAGGAGATATCATGGTCAAATCCCTTGTAAATTTTTTAGCTTTATGTTGTCATAAAATCAATATCGCGAGCAATAACATGATGAAAACTTCAAAGTAGACTAAAACTTCAAAGTAGACTAAAACTGTTGCTCTCAATCTGAATCTAAAGTCAAAATTTTGTACAAAATATTTGAAGAATTTTTCACAATGAGGCTGTAAGTTGAGTTGGTGTATTGTCCCTTATAGCACATGGATAACAAATTTAACTGGGTCACGAAATTCCAAGGATCCGAGCCTGGTAATGGATGTACCATGGGATTAAAATGGGTGCTCTTCAAGAGAGCAGTACCTAAATAAATCAATGGCGAATACTGATTGCTAAGTATTTATTACTTCAACATGAAATTCAAAATTCGGAGAAATATCCATTCCATTTTATTGCCTTAAAATGTTCATAATATCGAAGGGCTGAAAATGTTTCTCTGTAGGAAATAAATAATCGAAGGTGAATCGATTTTGTGACACTGTGACGTCACAATATTCGGTTCTCGTTCCCCGTAAATACAAAAAGCTCGCTTAAAGGCGCTATGCCCCGACGCATTTCGATGCCCATTTAAATTGGCCATTGGTTGGACTACACAATAGACCTTTTGTTACCTATCCAATTGGCTTTTTCTCAATGTTTTCTTGATGAAAAACACTCTGCAAAGCCTATTGTTAACTTTGTACTGTTGGCTGACGAGACATAGTGCCTTAAAGTTTATTGCCTCCTAAGACCCCGTTTACACTCTGCCGGATAAATTTCATCCGCATCAAAATTAGTTCAAATAGGCGTCGCGTTTACACTAGACCCACGGTATCCGCACGAATTTGAGAGCGGCTATCCAAACAAAATTAGTTCACCCAGGAAAGTGGATTAAATTAGTTCGGATAGCTATTTGGTACAGTGTAAACGCTTTTATCCGGATAAATTTTATCCACATCGTATCTTGCTCGAAAGCGATTGGCTATTTCATTCAATTTAGTTTTCACTGTCTCCCAATCAAGACCTTTCGCCATCTTGACTGCCTTGTTGTCAATGAATACTCGTGTTAAAAGTGCAGTATCTTGCCAGTCCACGTAAAATTGGCATCCTTGTCAGCTTTCCCTGCTTTCGTTGCTAGTTCAGTGTCATTTTGTATCAAGAACAAACTATTAAAACAAACTAGGCCTAATTTGTATTGACAATATCTTTGGATTTGGTTTAAAAGAAAGGATAAAGTCTTTTTACGTTGGCGGGAATTTTGTTATTTTGAATTTTGTTGCCCAGAGAAGACTTCATTTTGGGCGTTCTGTGCACGATTTAGGTCATGTGACTGCAGTTGTCCGGCACAGTGTAAACGGGAGGGCAAAGTGGACAAAATTTGTGCGGCACAGTGTAAACGCATATCAATCCGAACAAGTTTTATGGGGATAAATTTTATCCGGCACAGTGTAAACGTGGTTTAAGTGAATTCAAATGTCTAATTGTAAGTAGGGGTCTTGATAATCGTACCTATTTTGCAAGTCAAATATTCTTTGGCATTCTTCTTTATATTTCTCTTGGTGCTCTGCAATGGTGAATCTCGAGCCGCGTGCAAATTTACTCATCCCTAAAGACAAATTAAATTTTTTTAATAAAAACCAACAACTTGGCGACCCTACAAACAATTACCACAATGAAACACATCTTTGGAATCTGTTGACCTTGTTACCTAATAGATAAAGTACCTTTCTGATCAGTGAAAAAATTTAAGTGAAATGTGAACTCTGATCTGCTTAGTACAAATCTAATTATTCTTAAATCGTTCTGTTGCTATAACTATTCCATATTCGGCAAGTTTTTTCCTAAAACCGTAAGAACATCTTGCTAAGTGCTATTTAAAAAATTCAACGAAATTTTTGTTAAATGCTGAAAATTTTTGTTCATACCACCCTCTTCTCCAGCGCGAGCAGCCTCGGTGGACATGGTGCGCACTTTATTGATAACCTCCCATCTTGACAAAGAGTTAATCTAAAAACAAAAGTACTTTCACTAATACGACGGATATTTCAAAGGGATTAGATTAGTTAAATGTGGTATGTCAAAAACCACAGCCAGTATTACGTATTTCAAGTTGTAGGAGCAGATGTGAACAGCTCTGGGCCCGTCAGAAATATCATCATAATCATAGTCATTAACTTCATCATCGACAACCTTGCATCGCTTACATCAACATCATGCATCACATATCGTTTTAAAATCAGCACAACTATCCACCCTCCTTCGCGTTGCCACTCCGCAAGGGCGGAATGAAAATTGACGTGCGCTTATATGGAGCTGAGTATATCGCCTTGCCGGGGAATCTGTAAAACTTTTACATGAAGTAAACCCAAACTGACATTTTATCTGCACAACGAAACCTTCCTCTTTGTTTCTACCCTTCTTATTTTCATTTTTGGTTCGACATTTGCCTCAAATTCATCATCGTTAATTCTCTTGAAGGAAGTCATATACTTTTAGCGTTGTGTGATTGGCGCATGAGCATTTTGCGAAATGTTATCCCGGTCAGCTGAATATAGACCGGTTCATAGTCCATGCATTATAGCTTGCTTGGTTTCAGCTTGCCAAAGAACTAGCTACCGCTAAAATTCACTCCACATCAGAGGCATATGTTTTGCGTACGGAAGTTTATAATGTTTTCCGCAAACCATTATTCCTTTTGAGGAATCTTCAACTTTTTTACTTTCCGTACGGAAAATTTCTTAGCGATGGCCGACTTTGAAGAAAAGCTTTGTGAGGCCATCGAGGCAAATTGCTACATTTCTATGATTCCTTGCTAAGGGAACGTCGGTATGGAACCCAGGGTAAGGGAACAAATTCGAGGCCATCGAGGCAAATTGCTACATTTCTATGATTCCTTGCTAAGGGAACGTCGGTATGGAACCGAGGGTAAGGGAACAAATTCGAGGCCATCGAGGCAAATTGCTACATTTCTATGATTCCTTGCTAAGGGGACGTTGGTATGGAACCCAGGGTAAGGGAACAAATTCGAGGCCATCGAGGCAAATTGCTACATTTCTATGATTCCTTGCTAAGGGAACGTCGGTATGGAACCGAGGGTAAGGGAACAAATTCGAGGCCATCGAGGCAAACATTTCTATGATTCCTTGCTAAGGGGACGTTGGTATGGAACCCAGGGTAAGGGAACAAATTCGAGGCCATCGAGGCAAATTGCTACATTTCTATGATTCCTTGCTAAGGGGACGTCGGTATGGAACCCAGGGTAAGGGAACAAATTCGAGGCCATCGAGGCAAATTGCTACATTCTTGGACAGGTGCAAGAAAAAATGGCTATATATACGAAAATCATCCACATCGAGCGCGAATCGTTGACAATTACGGCAAAACCTCCACAAAAGCCGGTTTGCAATGTATTTATAGGCCGAATTTACTAGCGTTGCTGATCCTCTTCTTTTTCCCCCGTCAAGTAAAAGGGCATGAAGAACCTTATGGCGCGTTCTTGTAATTTTTCCATCTTCTGCAATGATTTGGAAGATGAAAAGTACTAAACCAAAGGACAATAAGAGAATTTCGAAAACACAAAACTCTGGACTAGGATCTTTTTCTCCTGAAAATTGCTACATTTCTATGATTCCTTGCTAAGGGGACGTTGGTATGGAACCCAGGGTAAGGGAACAAATTCGAGGCCATCGAGGCAAATTGCTACATTTCTATGATTCCTTGCTAAGGGGACGTCGGTATGGAACCCAGGGTAAGGGAACAAATTCGAGGCCATCGAGGCAAATTGCTACATTCTTGGACAGGTGCAAGAAAAAATGGCTATATATACGAAAATCATCCACATCGAGCGCGAATCGTTGACAATTACGGCAAAACCTCCACAAAAGCCGGTTTGCAATGTATTTATAGGCCGAATTTACTAGCGTTGCTGATCCTCTTCTTTTTCCCCCGTCAAGTAAAAGGGCATGAAGAACCTTATGGCGCGTTCTTGTAATTTTTCCATCTTCTGCAATGATTTGGAAGATGAAAAGTACTAAACCAAAGGACAATAAGAGAATTTCGAAAACACAAAACTCTGGACTAGGATCTTTTTCTCCTGAAACCCAATAGACTTTATTAACCTTTTGAGAACATTTAACTATGTTGCAGCTTTTTTGCAAAGAGTTGAAATATGTAGGTCGAAATCAAGTCTATAGTCCAAAGCGACTCCTAAAAGCTTCACAGTCTCCTCAAATTTGATTATTTTACCTCCAATGTTCATCTGTTCTCCACTAGTATTTGTTTGGTTTATTCTGAGTATAGAATTTTTCAGGGTTGGCAATCATTTCATTAAGCGAGAGTATTATCATCAGCAATGTTATAGAGAGTTGCCTGTTTATGAAAAGGAATAAATCATTTAAAAAAATTAAATAAGATTGGGCCTAGCACAGATGTTTGGGGTACACCAGATATGACCTCTAGAAAAGAACTGTATGTATTATTTATCCGAACGCTTTGTTTTCGTCGCTTAACATACGAATAGGTTAGGACAAGTGCATCTTCTTCAAAACCATATGCATATAGTTTGGCAATTATCAAGTCATGTGGAATGCAATCAAACGCTTTGGAAAGATCCATCAGGACAGCTCCTACAAGGTAATCGTTGTCGAGGTTAGACCTCCAGTCTTCTATCAGCCGTATTTAGACATACTGGGTGCTATATGCTCGTCTGTAGGCCGCAATGAAAACAAAAAGTGTGTTATCTAAGTGTTGAGTCAGTTGTTGCTCAAGAACTATTTCATGTAGCTTAGAAAAGGTGTTAAGAATACTAAGTGGAAGGAAATTCCTTTCTATTATACGATTTGGCTCCCCCTTATCTACAGGGCAGACCGCTGCCTTTTTTGCATCTGGGAATCTAGTATTTCGAATGCTGCAGTTTTTTGCCATTATAAATGCGGCTGAGAGTTCATTAGAAGCTAGAGATACGAGCTTCCGCGGTATCTGATCCTCCCCAGTAGCTAATCCAAGCTAATAAGTTCTGAACTATGAACCAGGCTTTACCCGGCATGCAAGTGTTTCTATACAAATAATTTTGTCTCGCAATGATGAGATCTCGGGTGTTTTGCCGGGATCTCGGCAAGCCGAGCTACCCAACTGTCTCATATGAAAATTCAGTCGGGATATAATTGATTTTATATACATAGAGTTTAGGCCCTTAGAGTTAGATCAAAAATAGGCTAGGTGCGCAAGGAACGTGGTTAACATCTTCCTCACGATTATAAAGATAAATTATTAATGGTCATGGATGCGGTTTTTCTCGTTCTACAAATAACTTGAAATTGCTGGCTACGTCATCCTTTTGAAATATTTTCTATGAATAAGCGGCAATGACTGGGTAACCTATGAAGTCAAGTACTCGCGTTTCTGATTCGATCCACAGCAGGTATACATATTTTCTAGATCAGAATTTCCAATCTTTGTTCTGACGCTTTTTACTCTGAAAATTACCAAAAAAGCCTAAGTATGCTTCAAGATGTTTGCTTTTTTCAAAGCCATATTTAAATTCTGTTCCGGAAAAACTTGTTTATCTTATATATATTATATTGACGTTGATAACTACCTCTTCCTCTGAGACCCCAAAGTCACGCAGCAAATTTCTTGCATTCTTCAAATTCAAGCGACGTAGATCGGCGTCTGTTCCAGTGACTAGTTTTTGCTTCAAAGGCTTCTGGGATGCATCTTTATTCTCGTCCTTTAAAAAAGAGAAGCGGATACTAAGAAGCTGCTTGACAACTCAAAAATCATTTTAAATAAAAGAAAAAAAATATTTTATAAATGATTTGATGTGCGTTGATTTTATTTATTGCAGGTACACGTTTATCTAACGTACTGAAAACACGAGTTAAGTTTACCTAATCTAAACAATAATTGCGAAAAAATTTGACAAATATTGAATTGTGAGATTGTGTTTACTTCAGAGAAGCTGTAATAGACAAAACAATTAATTACGATTAGGCCATGATTAGTTAAAGAAGGTTACGAGGCAAATTTATTTTCAGCTTAAGTGCTTTTACCGTTGCAGGCTAAACCGTGGTCAAACAGAGCAAACATTCAGGAAACATTTATCGTAATTAATATTTAGATGATTTTCATGTTGTGAGTAGGTGGTCAAACAAACAAACATTTCACCCAACATTTCGTCAAGTGACTAAGACGCTGCGGATCGCACACAAAGAAGCAAAGCAAAAAATGGCGCGCACAAGCAAAATATGGCGGACCACAATGAAAATGAGTGCAGGAATTTAAACCGTAAAGCTGTTGTAGCATTGGTTCTGTCCGAGTTACTGGAAGAAAAGAAAAAGTGATGGTGAAGTACAACAAAAGGAACCGAACACAAAAATGCGGAATAACAAAAACATTGTCATCATTATCTATGATTTGCGCGTGCGTGTGATCAAGACGAGGTCAAATGTTTGTTGAAAAGTTTGTTGAAGTGGTCAAACAGAAGAAACATACCACACAACAATTAAAAACAAGACTTGCTTTTGACTTCTATCAAACTTCATCCAGCATCGCCTAACAAATGTTGTCACCAAACAAGGTGACCAAACAGGCCCAAGCTTACAACAAACATTTGTTTTACAAATGCTAGCTTTTATTGGATCTGTTTGACCGGGGTCTCAGTTAAACAGAAAAAAGACCAATAAAAGAAGCAGACTAAGAAAGTTCACAGAGATTAAAATATGTACAATGGCTTAAAAGAGTTTTTGTTTGAGTACAGAACGGATCTTCATTAGAAAGCGATCACGGATCAATACTATCGCTTTGTAATACTATCGATTTGTAATACTATCGTTTTGTAATACTATCGTTTTGTAATACTATCGCTTTGTAATACTATCGATTTGTAATACTATCGTTTTGTAATACTATCGTTTTGTAATACTATCGTTTTGTAATACTATCGCTTTGTAATACTATCGATTTGTAATACTATCGTTTTGTAATACTATCGTTTTGTAATACTATCGTTTTGTAATACTATCGCTTTGTAATACTATCGATTTGTAATACTATCGTTTTGTAATACTATCGTTTTGTAATACTATCGTTTTGTAATACTATCGCTTTGTAATACTATCGCTTTGTATTACTATCGTTTTGTAATACTATCGTTTTTTAATACTATCGTTTTAAATAGCTCAGGTTTTTTATAGTACTACGCTCTTATTCCTGTTTTTAAAGTTGACTATGTACTTGAAATTTTACGTATTCAATCTTGTATGTATTTATTTGATGTAGTAGTTTTAACAGTTGGCTTGGGTTAGCTCATTTCACTGTACATGGCTATGTAGCGCCAACTTTAAACAAATTTATTATTATTGTAAATATCAAAAGGCAACTAAATAAGGCGGAAAATAGAAAGAAAACTTTGCTCAGTATTACAATCTTTTAAACGGGAAAGTTTTGGCTATTAAAAACTAACTAAGGAGGTACGTGTTCAATTATAAGGGAAAACAAATGATTAATACCCATCCAAAACTATCTTAACAACAAGTCAATGAAATGGCTGGGGCAGACCTTTTGCTAATAGAATCGTTTGATATCACATTTGACCGCGAAAATGCAGAGCCCCACGCGGTTAGACGATGTTTATTTCTTACTCGGGGAAAAAATCAACGAACAGGCACGATAAGCCCTACCCAAAGCACTTAAATATACTCATCTGAGCGAAGGGACAAAGCCTTGACCGTGCAGAAACCCAACCGACAGAGATCCTACTTTTCTGTTATTTTCAAACGCAAAAAAACAAAACATAAAAGCTGAATACAAAATGAACTCCATCACCCAAATGTGAATAAAATCCTAACTACCCTAGTAAAATCAAATTCCTAACATCCCTCGTGAAATTAACTCTAATAAGATTTCGTTTGATCAGCATACTCGGATGAGACTAGTCGACGAAGGGTTTCAAAATTGGTATAAGAGTCACCTAATGTTCTATAGGGTACAAATTAGAGACAAAATCAATACTTCTTTGCTTAATTACTATCTTCACAATCACTAGTTAATATGTTGGTAAAAAATTGACGAAGAGGGTACTCTTGTAAATCTTTTAATTCAATCATTATGCAGTTATGTGTCCCTTGAAATATGGTTGGGCAATTAGAAACATGATTTTGGTAAAAAGCATCATGAATATTTCTTACGATAATTTATGCGCGGCGTATGAAGGCAAATCTTAAGTCTAATATGAGCTAAAGAAGAACATCAGTATATACCAGAGAAATGCAAAACATCATGTATGCCACACCCTCCTTTGTGTCAGATCGAAGCTGAAAGATGGCTTACCTTGGCTGCACTACTTGGTGGTTTGTTGGCGACTCTGATGTACGAAAAACCCTCTCCGCACCCAGTCGGATCAGCCACACCGTTGACTTGCAGCAAACACTTGCCTTTCATGGCTTGGATGAATGCACGTGTTGTGTTCCATGGGGCTGTTTGTACCTGAAACCACAACCAAATGCGAAATCAGTTTATCTAACCAGCAAATAGGGTTTGAGCATTTTTCGTGGCACAAATGCTTTAACCCCCCCCCCCCTTACTACATCGTGAGTTCGTGTAAGTGGTTTTTAGCAAGACATGACATGGCCTCGTCGATTGTCTCCAATCATAGCCACGTTGCCTTGTCAAAAAGACGATTTCTAAGTCCTAACTTCCTATTCAGTAAAATGAAAACAGGCTGATAGCATAGGCAAAGGAGATTACATTATCCCCGGTAACCACCATATCTCACTTAAGTTTATATACGCTGTAAAAAAGGTACCCTGGAAGTCACCGTTCGGGCAATAAAAGAAATGTAGCGTGAAAGGATAATTTTTAGTAAATTTCTAATGCATAAATCATTACATCAGTTTTCCTTAAGGGCAAATCATTCTATGCAAATCTCTTATGCTTTTGGTGGAAATCCTATTAATTTATCTAAAAAACGCCAGAAAATAATTTCGATTTACTGAAAATTTTGTACACTTTTTGCAATAGAGACTTTCCCCTTGAATTCCGTCAACAAATAACAAGGGGTTAAACAGCACCATTTCCGCCATCCTTTAAAAATTTCTTTGATGGTAGTGGCATTTCACGCTTTATTGTACCTCGAAATGCGACAACAATCACGTGCAACAGAACTAAATCTAAATATTCAGCATAAAATTAGAATTCACAATTTTCTCGTCCTTCACAATCGCACAGACTCTTAAAAGATTTCGATCCTTTTACATGAGTAAATAAAGTCTATTGGTCACTTTGAAGTCCAATCCGGCAATACAAAGATTCATTTCAGGAGGACTTGGTAACTGAAGAGAAGGGCCTAAACAAGACGTTTTCTTTCAGCCTAATTCACGAGCCCCAAGAAATACCTTCTACTTTCTAACTTCAAAGTCTTCTTAGTATTTTAATTAAGTCTTTCTTTAGTTTAGTTTCAAAAGATCCCTGACTTTCAGTCTTGCATAACTTTGCTAGATTAGATCTAGCTTTCTTTTCCATGGATTGCCTTTCTACATTGACTTGGCACTTATTTCAAGAAAACTAAAATTTGTCATTACATTTATCGGAATCTCTAGCCACTGACGCCTTGATTAGACTTTGACAAAAAGAACATTTCAAAACATTTGATCGTTTCATTTAAAACGTACGACTTATATTTCTTTTGAAATATTGACTAATCTAGATTTAACATTAAAATTTTACAGCTATCAGACGCGAATTCACCACAACAAGGCATTAATGATGTTAGCTAATTGATCGATCTCAAAATTAGAATAATTTTTGTAAGTAAACAGTTTTCTATGGAATTTGGGCGACAAAACAAGATAAATATTTAATCCAATAATGAATAATTTTTTATTACAAGCCTAGAAGTATGCATCACCTGTATATCACAAAACAACTCTGTCTTCTAAGTATACACAAACAATAAACTGTAATTTATGAAAGCATTTTGCACAGGTGAGGCATCAGTTTGCATGAAAGTAAAGATTAGGTGCAGACAAATCCATTTTATCAAAAATTAAATCGCAGATTCAGTAATACAAAGCTGAATTTCAGTACATTTTGCTGAATATGCGCAAGTTTATTTAGGCATTTAAATAGTTTTCCCATGCCAGTCGTCTGCATACATCATAAACACAAACCGGCATAAACATAATTCTTGGAGTACTCCATGGGTAGTCTAATGGGTAATACATACTCATTCTCTTTAAAGCAACCACTGCTGTTGGGTTTGAGAATGTTACCAATGGAGTACTGAGGTGAAAACGAACTCCTTTTGTCTACACAGTAGCGGTTTTTTCTTGCTTATGTAGATAGATTCTAAAACTGCTAGGTGGAACGACGATCGGGCTTTACCAATAATCCGAAACATGTCGTCATTATAGTTTTTTGCACAATCTGGGTTTTCCAGTAAATGCTGCCCGATAGCAGAATCGCAGGTTTTAGTTGTACTTTTAGATTTGCAAGACCGAGGTGGTTGTTCTCTTTGGGGACGAGTTTTGTTTCTAATACTTGACAGAACATGGACTCAATAGGCAAGCGGCACTGACTGGTCAACCTCAACAGTCATATGTTCGTGTTTCTGATTGGCCTATTTCGATCCACAACTGGGTATATATATTTCCTAGCTTAGAGTTTTCGATCTATGTTCTCACGTTTTAAACTCTGAAGAGTGTCAGACGAAAAGCTTTAGTTTACTAAATGTTTGCCTTTTTCAAAGCCATTTCTAAGTTCTGTACCACCAAAAGATTGTTTGCATATTTAAAGATGTGTAACGGTAACGCAAAAGCATGGCTAAAGAGTGGTGGTAGCAACCAAAGGGGGAACAGCTCACGCGGATACAAGGCTGTTATAAGTTTCTAAGTCTGCCAGTGAGAGCATGAAAATATCACATTGGGGATAACAAAATGACTGATAAAACATTGGGGATAACAGAATGTACTTCATTACTCCAGCCTATTTGAACGAAAACATTAGTTAAGAAGTTGCTACGCGTTTGAGTAATGAATACGTTTGAACAAGAAAAAGGAAGAGTGTCAGACGAAAAGCTTTAGTTTACTAAATGTTTGCTTTTTTCAAAGCCATTTACAAGTTTTGTACCACCAAAAGATTGTTAGTAATGAATACATAACACAACAGAACGCAAGACTCTAATTTCGTTCTCTATAGCCCTAATTTCGTTCTAAACGTTTTCTTCAACTCCTCGACTCAGGCGGATTGCGAGAGATGGGCGGTGAAAGCCTTCTCTCGCTAATAACAAGCGGGTTGGGAAAGCAACGGTCCACAAAGAAATGCGATTTCAAAAGAAATTCTATCTTTATTTCAGTACTAACTTCAAAAAACGGACAATGATGATGTTTTATACACTTCACTTATATCGTACAAGCGAAATCTACAGCTTAGCAAAAAAACTCCCGTTGATAACAAGAAAAGAAAAGAAATGGGAAAAGGCCAAGAATCAAACTGTGGCAAAATGAAGCTTCTATCGTTTTGTGAATTCACTGGCCGCAAAATTAACAATTCTCCTTGAGTTTCCCATATCATAAAGATTCTTTACGAAGCTTGTCATCCGAGTCCTTAAAATTTTACATCGTGGCATTTTCAATAAAAACTTCGAGAACAAAGACCATTATTGCAGTTTTGAGCATTCAGTGTGAGCCATGCATTTGGCTAAACAAGGATCATAAGCCCTTGAGAAAATCAAACTAACTGATCGATTGATGGCGTTCCCCTTCTGTCTATCTTGTCACCTTTATCTGTTTATCATTGTCTTCCCTTTTTCGCTTTCAGATGGCTGTTTTTAAGATGGGGGTTTATTCGGGGGGGGGGCTTATTTCAAATTTTGGCATTTTCCTCAAAGGTTAACATAAAAGGAGCATACTTTTTTTTGAAATCTGACAAAAATAATAATATGACAAAGCTCGACTTTTTTGCTTTTTGTCATCAGTCAAAGATGCTATACCGCATAGCTAAATATGAATAAGAATTAGCTTTGTGGGCTCACGGGGTCTTTTTCGCGGTTTACGGTAACTGCATTCCTTGTTCACTTTTTTCTTTTTTCTTCCATCTTCAAAAACTGCAATCGTTCCACTGGTACAGTTCCTGTTAACAAGTCTATTAAAAACAGTTATTGTGAAAAAAAATGAATTTTTAATTTACCTCATCGTCGATTTTTCTCGCATCAAGCTCATTTTCCTCTTCATCCGGAGCAAAAAATGACTTCTCTCCATAGCCAGCATCCTATTTGAAAAACAGAACAGTCCATTAAACCTTGTGCAACCCACAGGTCATTTCACAGGGGGCATTCCTTTTTGAAAAATTAAACAAATGAATGATATCGAAATTCTACGGACTTTTGATAACAAGTATTTACATAATTAAAGCTGCTTTCCTTTGGCAACATTTTCCTATATTTTACCCACGTTTTAACCGCATTATACCCGCATTATACCCGCATTATACCCGCACAACCTTTACAGTTAAACACAACGATACCTTGAGTCTCTGCTCTGCAGCTAACATGCTGAGATAAGCACAGGTTTGCTCTGGTGTGACAAGAGCGCGCATCTCTTCCTCAGTCGGCAAGCGAAAATCTTTCTTCAGTACCCACCAGTTACAATCCGCCCCTTTAAAAGAGAAATATATCTGGTTTACACCGTGCAAAACATTTGAAATATCAAATAGAAAAAGAATCTTTTAGAGTCCTGCAGGCTGACGTTTCACTTCCAAATAATTCAAGTTCCACTAGTGAGATATTTAAGACATATAATAACCTTAATCCAGCATTTATGGATGACATATTTATTGCTAAGCGCCCCCCAATACAGCCTAAGGAACGGAAGCCAAATGCATCTTCCAAAAGTCAGAACTACCACCTTTGGAATAGAAACCATTTCTTATCTAGGGGGGAAACTATGGCATAAGTTGTCCACAGAAAGAAAAGAATCATCAAATCTTGCCCAATTTAAAACTCGGATACAAAAATGGAAAGGAGAAGAATGTTGTTGCAATAATTAATGTAATTATTAATTATTCATTCTTAATTGCTTTTTATTCCAAAATTTTTGTAAAGTAGGCCTAAATTAGCATTACACAAATTGTACATAAACAGCTATATTATACCCGTCTACTGTAATTAAATTGATTATTATTACTATTAATAGTCTTTACATTGCAAGAGAGCAGTGAGGGGGGCCAGTGAGCTATTTTGATTGTGCGTCTCGATATCCGAGGGAGAGTTATATAAATGACAATTATAAAGAAAACAGAAATTTTATAAAACAATCCCTGTCTTGAATAGTTAGAAACAGGGTTTGTTCTGCGAAGTACTACGGGCAAAGAAACTCATCTCAATACTGAACGTGCATACCAATATTTAAGATTTAAATTTGCATATAAAAGTTAACACGAATTTCAAAAAGATCCCATAGACAATGTGCCATTTTCGGAAAACAGAATGAGTAGATCGCACAGGTGAATTATAGCTTTAGAAGATCTAATGCTTCTTACGTATCTAAAACATTATTAAAACCAAAATCTGAGATGGGATGCTACTAGTGCTCCCTTGCATTTAGGTTTTAAGAGTCATAAACAAAGAAACGAATCGGTCTGATCTACAAAAGGGAACGGTAAAAGAAAACACAAAATTGCTTTTGCATTTATGACCTTTTTCAGCAGTTTTGGATAGTTCTTATCACCGAAAAGTCTTATGAAAATTCAAAATTCTCAATGTCAGCACCAAACAATCCTTGATTACCGGATATTTACTAAGGTGCCTTTAAAAAACGGCCTCTGTTTCGGACGAATCTCGTTTTGTACCTGTATCAGTTTACTTTAGACCAGATACCTGCCTTGATAATTAAGTTATTTTATACAAAGGGACTAAAAAGTTTCACAGGACAATAACGTATCAAGGATTAAATAGCAAAATAATGAAAGAACAAACAATCTTTTCGTAGTACAGAAATTAAAAATGGCTTTGAATAATGCAAACATTTTAAGCTAAAAAGCTCTTACGCAACCGTCACGCTTTGCGACAATTATTCAAAAAACTAGCCTAATTTCGTACTGCATGAAAATACAAAATACTATTAATTTCATAACTGCCGCTAAGCATGCCGGTTGCGCAAGAGCCTTTAAGATGGGTCATAATCTCGCCCAAATTGGAACAAATCTAACTAATTTTGAATACTGAGAGGTATCTTATGCCGTCCACTCAGTTTATGTGGTCCAATTTAAGAAATTCTAAAAGTAGATTTTTGATGACGTCACACTTCGATACTCTTATCTTGAACAGGCAGTAGAGGTAGTCCTTCAAGTTTTTAAAGCAAGGAGCCAGACATTATACTACGAAACCGACCGTGAAAACTAGACAAAACTTTAAACCCTGGTTGTTATTTGACGCAAGAAACACAAAAATCGCTATGCTTCGTGACAAAGAAGCCAAATGAGAAGATATTAAAAAACTGCTCTGTTGTTTTCAATGCGAAAAAACGAGGATACATTCGCAGTTATACAGCGAATTAGTAAACGCCCTGAGCTTTAAAGGTACCAAAGAACAAGACATTCCTTTTTTAAAACCAAAACACAGTCACTTGATCTTAAAAATAATTAAGACATTGACCAACAACGCCTAAGAAGCACATCAACGTCAATTTTGCGATATACGAAAGGATTTCAAGCTCATTTTTTGCTATGAATATTTAATAAATCCTTTTTTCAAAAAGGAATCTTGATGTTTTGAGGCTTAAAAAAATACGTCTGAAATATTGCGAAACTTGCACCTTCAAGAAATCCTCACGAAGGATGGAATCTAAGATAAACAAGGCAAACCTTTGACATTGCAAAGAGAAGTCGGGTCCAATTTCTAGGCCTAGCATGAGATTTGGGCTCTTTGTTTTCTTCAAGATTTCTAATCTCAAGACGCCTGTTGAAAGGAGTGGATAAGTGCTTCTTGGTATCAACCACTCAGAATTAATGCGCTTGTCAGATGAATCACAAATTATATTCGTATTATTTTAGAACAGTTCACTAAAAGGAGGTTGGAGAACAGAATCCAATCTCTTCTTCTCCTTCACACCAACTGTTTCAAACAATCAACACTGTAAGGCCTAATGTAAATAAACATTGGTTTTCATCGAACATCGATGCATGCTTCTGAATCTGAAAAAGCAGTTGTATGAGTTACAAATTGGTTGTGATATATCCAGTGAAGAGATGTTGCTTTTACTGATATAGCCAGTGAAACGTGTTTGTGCATATATGTTGCTTTGGTTTGTATCCCAAAATACAGCAACTTGTAGGAAATAGGCCTAGGTGTATTTGGGAATATCTCAGCCACATTGTGATGTATTCTGCTCCGGTCTCCATTCGAAAGTTCAAAAATAAATTTTCAAGGAGTCATCGCTTGAAAACGCTTTTGGCTTTGCTTCTTTAGGCCTCTGTTTACCTGCTGCGACAAAGATTTAACGCCACGCACTCAGGTAAAAAAATGTGGGCGTCTCGATCTATATGCTTTATTTATGAATATAGGTAAGAAGCTCCGATTGCTTTTCTTCCTCTTGGAACAAATATATTACATAGAATCTTATTACAGGTGCTGGTCGCTATTCGCACGCAAAATATACAGATCAATCTTAGAATTGAATTGTCTTGTTATCCATTAAAATTTCTTTAGTAAGTAAAAAGCCTCTGACAATTTACCTTCATAACAATATCCTATAAACGAATGTATAATCATTAAACATTTTGAGAAACATTCTACCCTTTAAAATAATCAACCTTTTTCTTTATCATGATTATTCATTTTAACTCTCTGTGCTCAAAAATGTCTGTTCGTATTCATTCGTCCATCTCTTTTATACTGTCAACGGCCAATTTATTCATTCATTCATTGGGCTTCGTATTCATTCGTCCACTTCGGCCAATTTATTCTTAGAATAAAAAAATCTATAGGAAATAATTTTATACAACTAATGAAAATACAACAAAAACATAACACTCTTTCTCAACAAGAAGCTTTGAAACGAAACTAAGTTAAGCTCCTAGTTTTTCCAAAACATTAAGAAAAATGCCAATATCAGATGTTTTTGCTGGTGTTTTACCTGGACAAAAAATATTTTGATGTTTCAACACTCATTAGATAGCTTACAATTTATGTTTAAAGTGTCAAATTTTCTTGCATTAAAGTTAGTTTTTCTGTTATGTTATTGTTGTGAACTACCAAAATTTAATACTCGACTCGCATAAAAATCAAGAAAAAAGATACCCGTAGAAAAAAGATGAAAATCATGCCTTGAAATCAAATGGATTTGACATCTAACGTTTGACCTTTTGTTGAAAATAAAATAAATTTTTGCTTAACAGGAGATTGTGTCGGCATTTTTTATGATTGGGCTTAGACGAGTTTGTATGCAAAAAATCCCATCAAGCCCTGCAAGTGAACAATTTTAGATTGCTATTCATGCAAAAACAGGTGGTTCCTAAATTTTGAAGCGTCCATCGAATAACCTTAACCGCTTCTTGCTGTGTTCTGAAGGTTGGAAGCTAACCGTTGCTTGACTTGTCGTTACAGTTCATGTGCATATGATTTCTTATTGGGCAATCAACCCAATGGGAAACTACTACAGATAGTTCGAAACAGTGGTGTGCATACATAAGGAAAAGCATAATGGCCTAAATTTGACGTGAATTGCGCACAAAAGCTAACGACTTTTGGTAACATTGCTGAGATGATCGATTGCCTGCAAATGCTGGCAAGAAAAAAGCAAGAAAAAAACATTTCGAATGAACATCGTACCCAGATATATAATTTTTTTTGAAAAATCAGCTTGAACACAGCTATGCATACTGAAATGTTTCTTGCAGTTAACGACACCTGAGAGAGCACGGTGTTCTACCTGAAAACTCGAAGAAAGTTTTTTCGGTCGTCAAGCAGACCAAACAGAGACCTGATGATAGAAATCAAAGTTTTAAAGCCTTTTCATTGGATGGGAGGAGTACAAAAATAATAACAAACTAGAGTGTGTCTTCTACCAAATATTTTATTAACACTAAATGAACTGACTGGCGTGTAGGTTTCGGGTTATATAGAGGGTCACTATCCTTGATGCTTACGTACTATTATCTACACATTTAAGTGGATACACCGTGTGAAAAAAATGAAACCCTCTTTCTCGTAAAAATTCGAAATAAGATTTGCATCGTCGCTAATTTCAAAAGTGTAGCGCACAGCATCCAGCCGATGATTTGAGCATCCAGACGACGATTTAAGCAACCAGCCGACGATTCAAGCATCCAGCCGACGACTTAAATATCCTGCCGACGATTTAAGCAACCAGACGACGATTTAAGCATCCAGCCGATGATTTAAGCATCCAGCCGATGATTTAAGCATCCAGACGACGATTTAGGCATCCAGCCAACGATTCAAGCATTCAGCCGATGATTTGAGCATCCAGGCGACTATTTAAGCATCCAGTCTATGATTAAAGCATCCAGATGACGATTTAAACATCCAGACGACGATTTAAGCATCCAGCCGACTATTTAAGCATCCAGCCGACGAGTTAAATATCCAGCCAACGACTTAAATATACAGCCGACGATTTAAGCATCCAGACGACGATTTAAGCATCCAGCTGATGATTTAAGCATCCAGCCGACGACTTAAGTATCCAGCCGACGATTTAAGCATCCAGACAACGATTTAAGCATCCAGCCGATGATTTAAGCATCCAGACGACGATTTAGGCATCCAGACGACGATTTAAGCATCCAGCCGATGATTTAAACATCCAGCCGATGTTTTAAGCATCCAGACGACGATTTAATCATCTAGACGACGATTTAAGTATCCAGACGACTATTTAAGCATCCAGTCTATGATTTAAGCATCCAGACGACGATTTAAGCATCCAGCCGACGATTTAAGCATCCAGCCGATGATTTGAACATCCAGCCGATGTTTTAAGCATCCAGACGACGATTTAAGCATCTAGACGACGATATAAGTATCCAGACGACTATTTAAGCATCCAGCCTATGATTTAAGCATCCAGACGACGATTTAAGCATCCAGACGACGATTTAAGCATCCAGACGACGATTTAAGCAACAAGACGACGATTTAAGCATCCAGCCTATGATTAAAGCATCCAGATGACGATTTAAACATCCAGACGACGATTTTAGCATCCAGACGACGATTTAAGCAACAAGACGACGATTTAAGCATCCAGCCTATGCTTAAAGCATCCAGATGACGATTTAAACATCCAGACGACGATTTTAGCATCCAGACGACGATTTAAGCATCCAGACGACGCTTTAAGCATCCAGACGACGATTTAAGCATCCAGACGACGATTTAAGCATCCAGCTTATGATTTAAGCATTCAGACGACGATTTAAGCATCCAGACGACGATTTAAGCATTCAGCCGATGATTTAAGCATCCGAGCAGAGTAGTTAAACCAAGCTTAAAAGACAGAAACTACCGAAAATAGAAATCTATTAATCATTCACTCCAAAATTGTCCAAGAATTTCCGAAATGGAAAATCTTTGTCGAATAACAATTGTTCCCTAAACATGGAATTAGGTGGCGGCGTTTATTTTTCTTGGAGAGCTCAACTCGAAGGCATTGGCGTTGAATCCCGCCATGCCCATATACCTGGCGCGTATATCCGGCGGAAAGGAAAAATTGAATGCACAATGGAACATTATGGACAACTGAGGAACACAAAGCAAACATTATTAATCGTGTCTTGCCGTGTACACGGGTCGTTAAAAATGCAAAATTTAAGACAAAATATCATAAAAGCACCTCAAGAACGCAGTGACCCATAGCATAGCACAGCACTTATGTTGACATTTAAATGCACTGTGTCTTCATTCAACATTCATTCAAATTATTTCAAAATAGGAAGCCTAAAATCGAAAACTCTCAACTAAAACCCAGTTCATCTCTCTTCTTTCTTTACGCGGCACTCCCACTAGAAGTTACAATCATCGTCTAATCCCTGCCTCGTTACAACCGCTCGTAATCAAAATTTTGGATTGCAGAGCAAGATTTGATGACCACATGAAAGCAAGCTGTGGAAATTAGCAGCAAAGCTAAAATTAGCGAAGAAGGTGCCGTGAAGGCGTACTTAAACAGGATTTTTTCTGCTAAGGGAGAATAAGTGACGGCGAAGATAATAAAATGCGTTTCATGATCAGCGAAAAATGACCTAGAATATGATAAGAAGGAATCAAAGTGGCGACAAAATGATAAATAAGTAACTGGAAACATCATTTGTTGTTAATTGTGCAAAATTGAGAACTCGGTAGTTTCCGTGGGTCATTCGCTACGAGCTCACAAGACCAAAGGAATCTGATCGAGGTCACAGGACCAAGGGAATCTGATCGAGGTCACAGGACCAAGGAAATCTGATCGAGGTCACAGGACCAAGGGAATCGGGTCGAGGTCAAAGGATCAAGGGAATCTGATCGAGGTCAAATGACCAAGAGAATCTGATCGGGTCACAGGACCAAGGGAATCGGATCGAGGTCACAGAATCTCGCTTCGGAAATAGGGTACTTGCAGGGTCGGCCAAACCTGGGGACCATGGCTCCGTTCAAATTTCTGCAAAGCAAAATGAGGTGAAAAGTAAAAAAAATTTAGTCTAATATTCTAGAGTAGCTCAGCCTCGGGTTGTTCTTAATCTTTTCTTAACTTTTGAGATTTTTCTTATAAAAAAGAGTGGAGACTAGAGCACATTTTGAAAATTTCGGGGTTGATAAGAGCGAGGAAGGGAGGAAAGGAGAGAGGGTAGTTCGAGTCTGAGTAGGAGAGGGTAGGTAGGATTCGTAAAACAGCATTAAATAGCTTGTGTTTCATTTATAGAATTAAACCAAAAGTTATAGAGATATTCTGTTCAACTTATATATGAGAGAGAATATAGAATAGAACTCTGAGAAAGAGTCTCACTGCAAGGTTGAAGCATACTAGCCGCCAAAATAATATTATCGAGCAATCTACTTTGAAACATAAACGTTATCATAAGTTCTAGTATAAATCGTTTTGACCAGCCCAGTTTAAAAGTTGTTCATATCTAGATTATTTCTTATCAGAAGCATTTTTCCCCGGAAACAATCAGATTTACAAAATTGTTGTATTTTAAACATTTGTAAACTTTGCGAAATTGTTTAATCTTCCAATTCAGTTTTTGTACTTATCATTTTTTATTGCTAGATTGTGTCTTATCCATTTCTCTTCTCTGTGTTATTTTGGTTCCTTATTCAATGTCAAATTTGATACGTCGCTGTACTAAAAAGGTTAATCTAAAACTTTGCAAGACCTTTCTGTCTTTGTGTAAACATTTAAACAAATAAAACTATAGGATAGTAATGAAAAATAGCTGCATAATACTGTTTCAAATTTCCCTTTGGTCAAAATTTAGATGCAGCTTCTAGCAATCCCTGGAACACCATACTTCTGATAAACTTTTCTTGCCGCGTCGCTGTACAAAATAACAGTCATGGTCCTCACACCGGAGTAACAGTGGTCCGGTATCTTCTTGTTCCATATTTTAGCCTTGATTTGCATCAGTATAAAGCATTTTTAAATATTTTCATCGATGCGCAGCTGTATCGTGAATTCGTCTGCACAATTCCCACAAGATCAGGCCAAAAGCGAGCGGTCTAAGTTATGAAACAGTAATGGTACGCTCATTGATTGCTTCAAGAGTTCAAGAGTCTACATGGAATCGCGACACCCGAGCCATCTACATCATGAAACCCCTTAAGTAGCATGATCAGTTGCAGCACATGGCAAACAAATGCTTCCTGTTAATAAAACAACTGAACAGTCAATTACATGCCATCTAACGCCTCCAGCTTCAATCTTATAAACGTTTAAACCCGGATCTTGTATTTCGAAGTGATTTGGCGATTATAACCGAAAACAAAACTGTTTCTGAAAACAAATGCCATGTCGCAAAATGTAACGATTTTGAAAACATATAAGATACTGCGACTGCACAAGACTGCAGAGGTGGTCGTGGTCAACAAACTAAGCGAGGAATCGAACAGGCGATCACGGGTAATGGTGATCACAGGCGATAATGGCACAGACAGTCATCGTACACTAAGATGAGTGTGCGATAATGGCACAGACGATCATCGTACAGGCTAATGGGATACTTACGGCAAACGATAAAATTGTCTACCATTATGTGACGGTATGTTAAATATACCCTAGTAATTTCTAGCGACGAAGGTCTCGAAACAAATTCAAAGGTGTTCTAAAATGTCAAAAAACGTTGATATTATTTAATCGCGTACTGGCATGGAGTCGTTCAGGAGAATAGATTTCAAACTTCGATTAGCAACAAGCACAGAGAGCTGCTGGTGCTTTTACATGATATTTAAGGATAGTTACACTAGGTAAGGGTGAACACACTACAAGGAACATACTAATTTAGGTGATTATACTAACATGGGGGAACACACTAATACCAGACAAAACCACACACTGCAAGAATGACCACAACAATTAAGGTGACCACAACAATTAAGGTGATTTCATTAAATATGGGTGAACATGCTTATTCTGTGTAAACACACTAAAAAGGTGGAAAAACTATTAAAGGTGATCACACTTATTAAGGTTGAACATAGTAACACACTAACTGCACTGGAAATTGGAGGTTAGCTACGCCGAGTGTGCTGTTTGACCCCTTTAGAAAGAAGAGCAGAATAAATAACAGTTGAGGTCTTTGAGCAAAATGTTAGCAAAAATGAATCTTTTTTAAGTGATCAGGAGGTATTCTTTATAAACATAACAGAAACGTTTACAAGGTTTTAGGATTGATGGTTTTCCAAAATTTAGCTACCTGTCTCAATTTCCATGAACTGTCCTTGCCATTGTTTGTCTTATTTTACGTGCAGAGAACAAGGAGCAAGAAAGAGTTGAGTCGTGCAACGACAAACCTGATGGACGAAATGGACTGAACAAAGCTATCGAATTATTACACCTATAGACAAATTGAGTTTTTAAAATTAGCTGCGCTGTGGTTTGAGCATGTGGTGGAATAGATAAGAAGAAGAAAAAGTGTAAACAGGCCTAAGAAGGTCCATTATAAGGTTGCGATTGTATCAATGTTGTGGTAAAAAATGATAGTGACTTTTGGGTGACCGGCAGTGACTTTTGGGTGGCCGGCAGTGACTTTTGGGTGGCCGGCAGTGACTTTTGGGTGGCCGGCAGTGACTTTTGGGTGACCGGCAGTGACTTTTGGGTGGCCGGCAGTGACTTTTGGGTGGCCGGCAGTGACTTTTGGGTGGCCGGCAGTGACTTTTGGGTGGCCGGCAGTGACTTTTGGGTGGCCGGCAGTGACTTTCTTGGTTCTTGGCGATAGATTGTGCGTCTCATAGCAGGGAAAACTACGTTTGGCATCATAGCTTGCATGATGCAACAGAAAATGTTTCTTTCCAATGATGTGTTCAGGCAAACAAAGCCAAAAAGAACACAAGTTAAGGCTGATTTTTGTTGCAGCAGATTGCACCACAACCAACTAACAGTGCAGCCTAACGATCTCCAGTTCGAAAACTGACGACCATAACGTAAGATAATGAAATTAACGTTTTCCGCCGACCTTTGTCAGTCTAGCTTTTTTATCCAAAGGCAAATTTTGACGCAATTTGCTTACGCTAGTTCGTTGTCAGTGGAAATTGAAACGTTATGGACGATAGAATTCTAAATAAACGATTTTACAGAAGCGCTGAGTGGTGAATTGATATGATAAGGAACTTGCGACTGACACACATGCTTGGTGTCTATGCGGCTAGCAGGTCATGCGCTCGGGTGAATGACAGCCCAAGCAATGCATATTCATGCGCTCTGCCTTCACAGGTGAAGCATCGCTGAGACTGTTCAGTTGACGATTTGCTCACGACGTGACAGAAGCAACAAGTCAATCGAAGAACTCTTTTGCTGTAATCATATCAAGGTACATATCAACATTGCTTTTATCGGAATAACTGTCTTGTAGAAGCTTTAAACTTTTGTTGCACTAAGACTAAAACCTTTCAAGCTGGTATCATTTCGTAGCAATGAAAAGTCTTAAATATTCTCAGTCACGCGGTTCTAAACTTATCGATAGAACACATATAAAGAATAAGTTGATCGCTCTTGATAATATTTGAATTCAATTAACTGAACTCAATCCGAATCTTTCGTGTTTGATAATAGCATTTCAAAGCTTGAAAATTCAATGTATCAGACCTAAAACTAACGTTGAAGCTTCCAAGTGACATCAAACTGAACTTTCTAAAAGCTTTGCACACATCACACGGGCTAAGCGTAAAGATAATGTTTACTCTCTGCTTAATTTCGAGTTTTTCCTGCTACACAACACGCGCAATATTCGTTTAAATATAACAACTTGCTGGAAAGCCACAGCTTGGAATACTTTCAATGCAAAATTAACACAAGACATTTCAAATCTTTCTGAGCTACAATAAATTCAATAAGCATGACGTTTATGTCTTAGATCAATTCAAAACAGCGGTGTTTTTTAAAAAAATATTTGCGAGTGTAGTAAAAAACTTTTATTCATGCTCATAAATACGCTGTTTTACAGAAACTCGTCTTTCGGACATAGTTTTGTATACATGATTTGATGATATTAATTCGCGTTTTGGATTTTTTCTATAACCGTTAAGATTTAAATGACCAAAGCAGAATACTGTTTTATGACATTGGCGATCAATTCAGCAACGGGTTCTTCACTTCCAGGATCTCGCGACTTGCGGTTGTGAAAAACACAGTCAACCTTGCATTTGCTGTAACAGTTTAAGGGACGCTCTTAATATGAAAACGAGCACTGCGCACTTCAAACATCTTAAAAGAAAATTTCTTTCAAATATTTGAATTTTAAATCATAGCCCCACTTGAAAATATCTATGGCGATGTCTTCCTTTTCTCCATACCAACGTACATTTAACAACACCAATACAATGACTGTTATTTAACAATCATTATTAACGTATATTTAATATTCCGAATGAATTGCCACCCTCCAAACTACCTTGAGCAAGTATTATTATAGCTTGTCACCAAACCTAAAACATTGGCTTTCAACTACCTATGCCTATATCAATATTTCAGGATAACCGTTCCAAACCACACTTATTTTTTTACAACAGCCAGGCGCATCTTCGGCGCTACAGAAGTAAATTTATTTATTTCGATGCAATAGCATTTATTCATGATAGAGATGCTTCATAGAAACACTTTTAAAGTTACACCTGTCAAACTAAAATGAAGAACTTCAGACTGCGACGATCGATTTTATCAGTGCGTTAACATTTAAAGCTGATATACTATTGTTTAAACAGTTTGAACAAATAAATACATTATCGAACTCACAACCACACGAAATCAAAAACCCAATCAGACTATTCTTTTTTTGTACAGGTATACTACCATACCGTAATTTTCATCAATATGTAAACAGACAGTAATTACAAAAGACTCATGACAGATGATAACATTGCCGAAACATCGATCACTGAGGCTTGTGTTCAGTTTGGCAGGATCATATCGGCTGCACGTATTTTTTTTATAAGAAACTAAGGTCCTGTGCTGGTAGGCAGTTTCTAAAATTTCCTGGCCATTATGCTATCAAAAGTTTCTTACATATTTCTAAAATTTCTTAGGTAATTAATTTTTAACCATACTTCCAAGTTAAAGTAAATAGTTCACTCACATTCAGATATAAACTAACAAAGTGATCAAGGAAATTTTTTCCTAGAAAGACTGACTCTGTTGAGATCTGTAAACAGTTAAGCTCATTGAACTTCATCAATGTCAAGTTTAAGTCATTAAAAAAATTTTAAATTGAAACTTTTTGAGTGTGCAATTTACTGAGAATGAATGCAAACTGCATGACAAGTGTAGTGTTGCAATATACAGTGGTGTTAAATGTCAAGACGGTTTCGAGCGTCAACTCGGAAAATTAAAACTGCAAATTATAAAAGTTTATTAGCTTTTTTCAATTTGAGTAGGGTTGTTTCTTACTTGCGAAATAGTGAGCCTACTGTTTCTTATAACCTGTTTCTTATAAAAAATGCGTGTATACCTAAATTGACTATTGGCGAAAAATATCAATGGAAAAGTATCCATGTTTCAACTCAAACAATATGAATGATATTCGTTCATCAATGGAAATCTAAGTTTGTTTCGTTTAATAAATTCGAATTTTAATTATCTGCGTGGGAACACAACCAAGAGTCGGTCTTCTTTCAGCGCCCCTCCAATAGCGAGTTCCAAAGACTATACTCATTCTTTTTATAAGAAACTGGCTATAAGAAACGAGTACTGGATAGTCAAAAAAAATTAAGAAACCTCAGTACTCGAAGCAAAAGAATTAAGAAACTATTAAATCGTGATTAAACTGAGAACAACGAAATTTTGTAAAATCCAAGAACATGATTGCCCTGTTAGCCTAGAATTTGAGACACAAGGGATAAAATATACTTCCCCATCTAAATACAGCATCAGAATGGAGGCGAATCTCTTGACGTGACAAAAAAGGTCACGAACAATTCGTAACATCATTCATAACATCAAAATTAAGAAACTCTTAAGAAATAATGAGTATTGAAATTTTCAGAACATTGGAGTACTCAACATCGACCTTTGTTTCTTATAAAACAATGAGTGTATGTTCACAACGATTGAAGCAATGCAATGCTATGCTCACAACGATTGATGCAATGCTGACAGTTAGATACTTTAGATTTAGTACAAAAAATAGCAAAAACAGTTTGGCAGATGTCGTTTGATAGAATCTGGTCAGTTGTGGTCGGCTTTTTGGTATATGAATCTTTCTACACCATTTAAGGATTCTTATTAAGGAAACAATTTTCTAAAGACATAATGGTCCTTTTAATAGCGAAGTAAATGCGGGAAACATTGTGATTTTTTGGAAATTTGCATCGAATGCAAACTCTCATTCGGTTATTTATGGGGATTTGAAAAGGTTTGAACCATTTAAAAGAAAACATGACAGTACAGTATCTGAGCGTGTTACCATATGACTCCCGCGTTCATAACTAATCAACTCAAGTCACGTGCTGCATTAACGCTACAACATCTTCGTTGCTTAGGTTCTTCAACACAATCTGCAATAACTTGAGCATCATCAGTATGAATTATTAATTTGGTAACATATAACATGAAGAGATATGATTTGATTTATAAGATAACGAATTCCCTAGTAATTGTAAAACGTACTGCCGGAAGAACGTAAAATTCACCGAAAATGATAGAGTGCGATACGCGAGGAGAAGCAACCAAAACATTGAAAGCGAAGCTTAGTGCTACTGTTAGCACCTGTCGCGTGTAAAAATCCATATTTTGATATTCTTATAAGACGAATTTGCGGCACATTGGAGCACAATCTGGGATAGTGTAAAGGAGATTTACAAAGAGCATGAGTTTTCGTGAATTTTCTCATTAACAATGCATGATGATGGTGTGTAAGAGTAGGTGGAACAGAAAACAAGGCTTTCTCTGTAAAATGTTTTTTTTAAAACGACACTCTTTAATGCTTTTGCACCCATAAAATTTGGTGGCTCTCATTCCACAGTCCCCCTGTCTGCGTGTGACTTTTTGCGGCCAGCTATCAGAATCTAAGTTTACCACAAAGCTATTGAGCAACAAGGCATGACTAGACAAAAAGCATTCTTTCCATCAATTTTTGAAAACTAACGAAAGCAAAGATGGTAGATTTTTTACAAACCATAGATATTTCCAACATTTGCATCACAAAATGTTATTAATTATCTTTCTTCTTTTACTTTCTGCTTATTGTATCATTCCTTCTTAATGTCCATCAAAAGAACATTATCCACGCACACACTATTGAATTCTTGTTGCTCAGCACCAACAACAAGAATAATATAAGTATGGCAAATTGATAACATACTAATGCAAAGATCCTATAGGCTACTACAAAAGTTATATCCTTACGTCGCATGCAGTCAAGTTTATAACCAAACCGGAAACCATAAAATAACACCCTGAACGGTGAAAAACGAGTCAGCATTTCTAGTGATATAGGAATGCTCTGAGCGGGCAATAATTAATAGTTTTGTCATTTAAAAGCACAGACAACATATACACTCATTTTTATTAGAAACTGGCGATAAGAAACGAGTACTGGACAGTCAGCAAAAATTAAGAAACTTCAGTACTCGAAGCAAAAAAAGTTAAGAAACTATTAAATCGTGATAAAACTGAGAACAGCGAAATTTTGTAAAATCCAAGAACAAGATTGCCTTGTTGGCCTAGGACGTAAGACACAAGGGATACAAATATACTCCCCACATCTAAATACAGCATCGGAACGGAAGCGAATCTCTTGACGTGATAAAAAAGGTCACGAACATTTCATAACACCATTCATGACATCATAATTAAGAAACTCTTAAGAAACAATGAGTATTGAAATTTCCTGAACATTAAGAAACTGGAGTACTCAACATCGACCTTTGAATCTTATAAAAAAATGAGTGTATTTACTCTTTAACATAAAACGAGTAGGATAAACGCAAGCAGTGTTTCTCTCATTAAAATACAAGATTACCATTAATTAGATACCCACAATCGTTTTATATTTTTCATTACAGGACTTTTTTCTTGGAAGAAACAAAACATAGAATGTCTGCCAATAACAGCACCACGCCAGTTGCTAGCAGTGCGAGCATGAGGGAAAACGGAACCGTGAAGTACAATTATCCTTCGATTATCATCATTGGTATATTGATTGTGTTTGAAAACACTCTCGTCTGCCTTGCGTTTACTTTTAGCCGTAAGCTGAGAAAGCGACAAGCAAACATTTTGGTGTGCAGTCAAGCCGCAGCAGATCTTATCATGGGCCTTGTTTTTGTTCCATGGATATTAGTGGAAAAGTACACGGGCAAACACTACCACTCCGGCTACATAGTAATGTACGTCTTGTTTGTGTCTTTGTTCAATTTGCTAAGCTTGGCACTTGATCGTTACTTGGCACTGATAAAACCACTGATGCACCACTTAGTGATGGATGTGAATAGAACAAAGAAAATGTTGCTGGGAATATGGATAGCACCCTTCTTTATAACCATCCTGCCGGTATCTTGGCAGTATTACGCATCCAAGGAAACTGCAGGCCTCACACAAAAAGTATACTTGTATATATTTTGGGGACTAATGCTCTTCTTATGCGGCAGCATGATTTTCATGTATATTCGAATCTATCGTACGGCTGCAAAGACTATAAGACTCCGACAGAAGAGGATGAACGCCGTAGGAACGGTAAGAGAGAACAGGATCAAAACAACGAGGAAAGAATTGCGAATCGCTCATCTGTTTGGCCTTCTTCTTTTCTTCTTCATACTTGCCTACCTGCCAATTCTATACATAAACCTAAAAGCACTTCTTGGCCTTGGGGACACTCCAATTCTTAGGAAGCTTGCCCTTTATTGCCTTATAACCAATTCAATGGTCAACCCAATACTTTGCCTGCTATTGAAGAAAGATTATCAATTGCAAATTAAGCGCTGGATATGCTTTGAATGGGTAACAGAGCGCTGGAGTGACGAGAGCCCTGGATCTCAGGTCTCGTGTCGTACAGGAGTTGATGACATGGAGACAACAGACAGTGGATCAGAAGGGAAACGAAAGCGCTTAGCTGCAATTTCGCGTAAATCAAAAAGCGTTCCTAAACACAATAAGAATGATGCTGACATAAAAGTACGCTTCGAGCAAGATGGCGTTGCTTTTCTACCCAAGACAAATAAAAGCAATTCTAAAAATGGTATCAGTGAAAACGGAATCAAGATATATTCTCCATCGGCAGACATCAACAAGAAAGACAAAATCTTTTCAAAAGAAGATGATCTCGCGTCAATGGAAAAATTACAAGATGCATACCCGGAAAAGGATAGTGGAAGAAAGGACGAGAACTCAATTGATGGAAATTCTGATAACACGCAAATATTACTGCCAAAGAACACTCTTCTAAAGCAATCGGTCGACGCAAGCTTAATGAGATGCGGAAATAAAACTGAAGAAGACAAACTGGCTATGGATGATGGTGAGAAACATCTGAACACAGGGGAACCACTGGAAAACATGGATTCAAGCGATAATCAGGAAATCGAGACTGAAGACGATTCACAGCCAATTCTACAAAAATAATATAAAAACTCGACAGACGGATTAGAAGCAAGATTGTAAATAGTTATCCATCTCAGTTAGGATTCGATGTTATCTCAAGCTTTCTATGTTTGATGCATCTCACACAAATGAACAACAGGACAAAGCACTTCGCAAATTAATGCGATTAATTGTGGAAAACATTTCCTGTTTAAAATTCATAAAACTCAAAATGGGAGCAGTGCAACATTACAAACGATGCTAAATGTGATTGTTTATAGTAATACTCCATAAGAACTAAACAACTGGTAGGGTTATTTAAAAAATCTACTTTTGCCAGTTATTAACGGTACTGATGATATTGTAATTGGTTTCACAAACAGCAGCCAAATCGGTCGCCTCTCCGCAATGGATAACCCACGATGTACAGACAGTCAAACAATTAAATGTCTTCCCTGTTACAGCATCATCAACATGTTGCAAACAAAAAACCCATCTCCTAAGCTATAATGCTGTGTAATCGCTAAAAAGTCTGCTTCAAGAACATCAGAAAGATTCATATCTTATCACGATGCAGGTGGAGGAAAGTCAGTAGAAATGACTAACAGAAGCTAACCAGTTTCTTATTTTAGGAACCTCCAGCCCCTTTGTTGTAGTAATGTTTACGGTTTTAATTAGACCAGATAGTAAAGCAGCCTCTTGTAGGAGATCCAATTGCGTTATAATTATTATTTGGTATGGAACCGGCACAAAAAATGGCACAAAAAGATGGACCATAGAAGTTATACATCGAGTTCACACATTATTAGTTATTATTGAATTGCGCAAAGCCAATCCCTGGGCTACGAAATATTTCAGCTCAGAATGCTCAGGTTGGATTGTGAAGCTTTAGATTCAGATTTTTCAGAATAAAGATTGACCCAGGCAAATATTTTTCGTCGCTTACATACCCAATTATACAGATTTTTACACAACTCTTGCTGTTTTTGATTTTGTTTACAAACAAAACCTGAATTTTCCTAGTATGTGAGACCCAAAAATTAGTTTTCCCTCAGATTACCTTAAAAAATACCCTGAGCATCCCTATCATAAGTAAACCAAAGTACCCATCTCCCCTCCCCCTAAATTTGCAAACGATACAAACATTATTGCGCAATTACATGAGGATGACTAGCTTTTTCAAGATTTTAAAACACTCAGTTAATGATAAATGTATTAACAAAAAGATAAAAATACAAAAATGATTCCTTAAAATAAAGGTGATGGGAAGTATTATGATGTAACAAAGGCAATAATTATTGATGTCGTTCTATTCTTTTCAATCCTCCTCAGATACTTCTTCGAAGCAGAAACGGGTACAAACCTTAATTTCTCATCATAATAAAAATCCATTGCAAGAAATAACAATTTTATATATACGAAAATAACAAAAATATTTTCAAATAAAATTTTTCTTGATAACAAAGCAAAACCAAACACAAGTCCACCTAGACCAACACAAACTATATCAAACAGAAACGTTATAAGTGCAAACTTCAACTAGATAACTATGCAAAAAAAATCAGACTTAAGTTAACAAAATTCGACCCCGATAAGCCAAATTAAGCGAAACCAAGACATTTCAAACTGACTTAAAAACAAACAAACAAACAAAATAAGGAAATCAACAATTTCATGGCCAATTAATCTGATAATGACCTAAAAATATATTACTCAAGACAAAAAGAAATTAAAACAGAACAGATAATAAACAAACAAAAACAATAGCATTTAGTCAAATCCTGGAAAAAACCGGACCGAAAAACCGGAACAAAAAACAATCCAAAAAATTTCAAAGGAAATTCAAAGAAAATCCAAAGCCAATCGAAAATCAATCCGAATCTAACCGAGAGGCAATCCAAAGCAAATCCAAAAACCAATACAAAGCCAATAAAAAGCCAATCGAGAACCAATGCAGAGGCAATCCAAAATCCACCACAAGCAAATCCGAAATTAATCTGAAACCGAATAATCTCATCAATAGATTCTTTTGTGGAATACAAAGTTTAACACAAGCAGCTTCTTTGTAAAAATGAAAAACATTGTTCCAAGTTTATTGTTCGGCATGATTAACATATGTACCAAAAAGATCCGATGACTAAAAACATCCTCCCCTCCGATTTTTGACCTCATTGCCCGGTAAGGTTGCATTCAGTTCATTTATCCGGACCTGCTTCAAAGCATGAAGACCTCTTTTCCCTAAAAACTCGTTCGCGAGAATCGCAATTCAAAAAGCGATCATATTAATTAGAACATCATTAATCAATATAAATATAAATGGCAGAATTTCGAAATTCATTTATTCTTATCGCTTCGAAGATAGAAAATTTTAAGGGTTTTTTTAAAAAAGTCAAGCCATTGCCAGGCTTTTAAGTTCATTTAACAACACAATGTTACATGAACCGTGTAACTAATAGCAAAACGACAAGACAAGACAACTAATGATGATGTATGAGAATAGTGAAACCAGGAATGGATATGACTAAGTAGAAAACAATGGTATTATAGTTTTGATAGTAGCCTGATATCTTGCAAACAAAATAGTAGCGTGTATACCTTCAACAGAAATAATAGCGGACCCAAACAAGGGCACTAAGGTAAACCGCAAACAATATGCTGAACACCTGGGGTTCAACCGTTCACTTCAAAGGAGTGTCAAAGACTTTGTATAGCGTCGAGACATCATGACTGCAAAGCTTTTTCTTGAAGGCGACAAATCTAAATCAGTTTTATTTGCACTGGTCCATGGAAATTTCCTAATGATTCTACAATCCATTAGCCGAGAAAACATGACTCAGGGCAAAACTCCAAACCACATCAAAATTTAAGCCCTTGCAAGAATTGGGAAAGGATTTAGTCTTTATTTTCTTTTAAAAAATGAGCATGCTAATATCAGTTGAAGTTGAATTTTCAGTTTATTTCTATACACAGGGATAGCTTCAGTCTATACGGATGGCCAAATTAATGGATCTTTCTAGGCCTATCACACTTTTAATAGACGTATCTTGTCCCTTATTAAAGTCTTAATAAATGATTGCAGACAATCTTGCAGACAAAAGCACTCTTTTATCACAAGTTTTACGAAATGAACCAATCTTTGAAAACAGACTTTCGATCAAGGCCAATCCACTGCAAACAATATCTATACTCTCAGATCACAGCATTAAGTGGAAAAGAGATATGTGGAAAATAGGCTGGTTTTGATCAACCTTTACAACAGTTATCGGCGAAGCAAGCTAAAAAATGACATGTTTAAATTAGAGAAAATAGAAAATGGTGTCTCGCAAGGATCCTGTTTAGGTCCTTTCATCTAATTCACATTCATGGTCTGTTTTACCTTGCGCAATCGATGGTAAATAAGAGTGCTAACAAAAAGCCCCCATTTCACAACTTTTTCAGTTTTTCAGTTTAAAATTCCAGGGAAAGTTATTTTTAAGACTATGTTGGTAACAAAGGCAAAGTCAGTTGACCTCCGTTTGTATCCAACGAGAAGCACTTTGACTGTTTTCATACACACATTAAGTGCAAAAAAAAATAATGTCCGCCCATTCACTGAAGGCCCAGATTACGATAGAACTAGTAAACTAAACAGGGACCTTCCAATGATCAGATTAGTCTTTCAAAGCTGATCCGGTCTAAATATATTCTAAATTTTGCTTCGTTCTATCCTAATACTGACGGCATATAGCCAGCTTAAACCCAGGTTGAACCTTAATTTGGATTTCCATATCCAGTCCATTGAGCAATGTATGAAAGCTATCAGACATGGCATGGTTAATGAGGATACGGCAGGAGTCCACTCAAAGTGGGCACTTTTCGTAACCAAGGCACAAACCCTTTGCTTCGATTTAAGGAAATCGAGAAAGACAACTCGTAACATCGAATACAATAGATACTAAAGTGAAATATGAAAATGCGTACAAGAAAAGCCAAGATAATCGGATTGGGATAAAATCCGATTTCGGATAAAAGAAGAATTTAGATTTAACTTGGATTCAAATAAAATGGGGCTTTTGATAATACGAGGATTAGATGTTTCAGAGCTGAAACATAATTTCATCTGAAAGACCAGCTTAAGTACGAAAATTGTAAACTCGAAGAAATACAGTAAAATACCCTTACCTGTCCTTCTAAAATCAGCACAAAGTTTCAATCTTTTTCTGACGCTGCTTTCTGAATGTTTTGGAAATGCCTTCCTTATGTCCTCCATTTTGATTCTGCGAGGATTGTCTGGACTTCTCCAGAATAATCGGTAAATAAATATCTGCAAATATTTATTAAATAATCAACAGACTTGCGTAAATTTCTTTCGTTAAACTATTGTTTCATCTTATGAGTAAAGAGATCTGATTATTTTATTTGAATTTGTCAAAATGTTACAAATTACAGTATTCTCTCCAATTAGCGGACACCGTCGGGGCCAAAGCAAGGTGTCCGCTAATTGGCAGTGTTCGCCTCTTGGGAAGTTTTGCAATGTAAGTCCCAAAGTTAAAAATAGACCCTAGTTTTGTATTTAAAAGGTGTAATCAGTGGTAGCGCTAGGGAAGGCTGGGGGGCTATAGCCCCTCCGTCGGGAGCACCTGCCCCCCCTCCCCCGCATTGAAGGAAATTTTAGGTTATTGTCGGAGCAAATTTGACAAAATAACATACGAAAACTGCATATTTTAGTAATTTTAGCCCCCCTGTCGGAAGCTCCAACCCCTCTGTCGGAAGATTTCTGGCTCCACCTCTGGGTGTAGTCTGGTTAATTAGTGGCTATCGGGTTTAACTTAGACACTAAAAGAAGAAAAAATAACCAAGTTGAGCGTAACACAACACTTTTTCATGGACAAAAAATTAGTAAACTGGGCTGTAAAGAAGCTCAAAGCTGTGAAAAGCCAACTAGATTGTCAAATGTCAAAGTGTTTGAAATAAATATTTGAACAAATATTCATTCGTCTCATTTTTATAGTTCGCTGGCTCCTAAATTTTTGTACAGTCCGTTAATTGGAAAGAAAAAAAGCCAAATTGACTATTTTGTGCGAAAAATATTGTCCGTTAATTAGAGTGTCCGCTAATTAAGTGTCCGCTTTTTAGAAAGTTTTATGAGACTTTGACCAGAAAACGATCGGGGAAAAAATATTTGTCCGCTAATCAGAGATGTCCGCTTTTTATGTGTCCATTATAATAATAATAATAATAATAATAAATAATTTGTTTAAAGTTGGCGTACTAAATGAACGGTTGATAGCTATAAAGAAGCTAATTAAGGCCAACTATCTATAAAGAGTTAGTTGGAGAGAATACTGTATTATCAAATTCGAATTGTCTTTCATGAAAATCTGGATAATTATACGTAGTTTCAGAGCACTAGGATGCAGAGCAAGGTTTTAGTAAGATTCTATAACCGATGTTTTCAGTTAAGAAAGTTGTCATTAACAATCGACAACCAAAGGTGCTGCTTAAGCATTGGATGGTTCAACACCCCAAAATGAAAACAACAAGATTCGTGCAGTTAGCGACAGATTCACTCACGTTGAAACAAACACGTATAGATGACAGTGACTTTCAACACAAGCTTCTAATTTGTGCACTAGGCAAAGGCTTATTTATAAAGGACAATTACGTTTTACTCCCGACCGATCATAATCTGTAGCCGTTTTCAAAGAGAGTTAATTGACTTAGTCACCGTTGCAACTTATGACCTTCTTTTGACTTGAACGTCTTCCTTTCACGACCACGCCCTTTTCAGTGGTCATCCAAAGTCCTAGAGTAAAGAGAAAATGTTCAAGTGGCACACTAATGTGCCCATGGAATGCTTAGTCCAAAATTCGCCAGTTATTTTCCTTCTTTCCTTAGGAAGACAGCTGAATTTAGTCAAGTTTTTAATATTCAGAGCTCAATTTATATTTCAAATCATTTTCTATTAACTTTTTGGTAGGAACAATCGCATTGTGTAGAACTCTTGAATCTAACAATATGGCTTCTTCATAAAAAACAGTAGGTTTCAACTTACTAAACCTATTTTCTTTGGGGGGCATAGTCGGGTCTTTCGCCTTTAGAGAGCTGCACGTTCTACTCTTTACACGCTTATCACAAAACAGACAAGAAGATAATCAGTTTCAACAACAAAATCCCCGTGCATTTTATCCCGCAGTAACAAAGGCCAGTATTTGAAATCACACTTAAACAGAACATAATGTTCCAAAGATCAAAGCGTTAGCGGATAAAAGTATTATGTATACATTTTCTATAATTAATGAATCTCGAAAACATTTGCAGCCTAACATAGTTTGCAAAACACTTTAATAGCATGCATACTATTGAAATATAAATTGAGCTCTGAATATTAAAAACTTGACTAAATTCAGCTGTCTTCCTAAGGAAAGAAGGAAAATAACTGGCGAATTTTGGACTAAGCATTCCATGGGCACATTAGTGTGCCACTTGAACATTTTCTCTTTACTCTAGGACTTTGGATGACCACTGAAAAGGGCGTGGTCGTGAAAGGAAGACGTTCAAGTCAAAAGAAGGTCATAAGTTGCAATGGTGACTAAGTCAATTAACTCTCTTTGAAGACGGCTACAGATTATGATCGTTCTGGAGTAAAACATACTTGTCCTTTATGAATAAGCCTTTGCCTAGTGCACAAATTAGAAGCTTGTGTTGAAAGTCATTGTGATTCAATAAGTTTTATTTCGAACGGTTCAAAATGCTATTGAATTACCGAGCCACTTCCATCCGGGACGTATTTTGAGGGCCTTATACTTTTGTTCCGCATCAACCGAAAGGATATACATATCATCATTTGTGCCAGCAAGCTTTGATGACTTGTCAAGCAGTGGCAACCTAGTTGATCAAGTCTATTTTGAACTGATGTTACTCGTTTAACGTAATTTAACAGGAACTAAATTGCAACGGACGATTATATAAGCAGAACAGTTACCAGATCGAAATTTTAGTTCTAGAAGGTACACATGGCAACTGTCTTAAAGAAGTTATGCAGTACTTGTCCCCAGGCCAACCAACGAACCAGAATCTTACACCGCATTCTGAAGTCGACTTTTTGAAAGGCCATCATAAATTCTCATCTTGAGCGGAACAGTGACGTCATAAGATTACATTCTTCGCACGAAACACATCCAACTTCCCAAACTTTGAGACACCATAACTTTGTAAAAAGCCGTTAATAAGATTTTACTTATCCGACTGCAAACTTTAATGAAAGTGAATAAAATGTGGGTGTTTTTTATTGCGATTGCCCTTAAAGTATAAAATAAACATGTTTAAGGAAAAGGAAAGGCAATTAAACAAAAGTTTTACCTGGAGAAAGTCTCTCATGTGGTTATTCGCCCTTTTGGAGTTTGGGCCGGGTACTTCATATTTTGGACATTCTTGGCCAACGGTGAATATGATCTGAACAGAGCGAATGTAGAAGCTAGATTGGGATGCAGAAACAAGACGTTTTCAATTAATGACAAAGGTGGAGAAGAAAATCTCAAGAATAAAAATTTATACAAAAAAAATTTGCGCAAGAGAGATATTATCTGAAGATCTTTATTATGACCATAAAGCTTTCCATCATTCTTTGTGATCATAAAGCTTTCCATCATTCTTTGTGATCATAAAGCTTTCCATCATTCTTTGTGATCATAAAGCTTTCCATACCCTTTAAAACGTATTTCTGGCAAAAGATCATACACTTCACAGCTAAAGAAAATGTTTATGCCATAGGGCTTGCTGTCAACAACAAGTATTTCACAGACTGAGGGAAGGACTTCTATATCCTAACAGCAAGATGGCACACCTAATAAATTTTCCTAAGAAGAATCCTTAGATCCTTGTTTTTGCAACATACTTTGTTTTTGCAAAAGATTTTTGTTCTACACGTATCGACTATGAAGACAGGATACGTTTTTAAAAAAGTGTTAAAGCCAAACAAGTAACTAATAACAGCGAAAGGATTTAAAGAAAAACGTGGTTGCGACAAAAACCTGAAATAAATAAACGAGACCATACAAAATTCAAGATAACAGCAGAACATGGTTATCTGATCAGCTTTTATCGCATAATCTTGGATTAAATTGACTTATATAGATCAAAGTAAACTCGTTTGAATAGAAATTCAAGGCGCACAACATATGCAACTCGCTTGACTTAAAGTTCCCACTGAGCTTCAGTCGTTTTCTGGCCCTAGAATTGAAGAATAGTCCTTTTAGCTGACCTTGTTAGAGCGTTTAAAATGATCAAATTCACGTACTTTCCATTTGATCGAATAATGAGGAAATCTGTAGGCTTCATTTTGTGGAGGTAGGCAGGAGCTCTGTACATGTTGTTTTCAATGGCCTAAAATTTTGAAAATATGTTAGGCTTTACTTAGTGTCAGTCTTGCAAACCAACCACTGTGAAAGGAAGTAAGTTTACTTCGGGTACAGAAGAGGGCGTATTACCCTAACTTCCTGGTGCACATTTCATGTGATGCTGTCTCCGAGCTGCAGTTTAACAAAAGCGATCTAGTGACATTTTTCTAGTTTTTTAATTTGGTATATTGGGGGCCCTTGCTCAGGTCCTGTGTAAAGAAGCCAGCACAAAATAACGTGACACTGAGTTTTCAAATTTAAAACAAAACATTGATGAAAAAACTGTTTATCTTTGGAAAGTTAGGAACAGACAGGCTTGTTTAATTTTGAATTGAATTGGCTCATAATCCAAGGTATACTTATGCGAAAAACTATATAAACAAAGATGTTCTTGTAAAGCCTAGATAAAAGTTTTCACATGTCATTTATTTTGGAAGGAAATTAGTTGAAGATGGAAAATATTTACCCAGCTGAGGATCGAAGTAGGCAAATCAGAAAAACACAAGCACGTGACCGATATAGCCACCCAGTCATTACTGAGTTACTTTAGAAGAGTGAAAACGAACTCCTTCTGTCTAGACAATAGCGTGTTTTTCGTTTTTATCCCCCAATTATCTGAAACATGTCATCACTACAGTCTTTGGCATAATCTGGGTGATTTTAAAGATTTTATTCGATGGCAGAATCGCTTGTTTCAAAGGGGGCTGGGTCACCTAACCGTAAACAAATATTTTGTGCGGGACAGTGTGCGTGTCTGACGAAATGGCAGACCGTGAAATCTTGATGCTTGCAGCGTGGTTGCCATGTCTGAACAATTCTTAAACCATTGGCTTTCAGTAATGTTTCTCGTTCGTGAACCTGGATCTCCACAAACAGATACGTCTGTGCTGTCCCTACGGTCAAACAGCCCGTTATGGTGTTCACTTCTTCAGTTCTCGCTGCAGCACAAACGGCTTCGTTTTCGTGGACTGATCAAAGAAATTATGTTGAAATATACTATGAAAACAATTTTTAAAGCTTTGACAATGAGAAATTAATTTTTCAATAACAAAAGACGTTGAAATTTTCTCAATGTGCTTCGATTCTCTGTCATATCAAATCTCACTTCAATCAACGCAACAACATTATCCCGCAGTCTTACACGTGACCCAGACCCCTTAAACAGTTTTTTGGGATTCAGGATCGAAGGGGCCGTTCGCTTTGAGGGGCAGTTTTGTTTCTTATGTTGGAAGGAACTCATTGTTTCATCTATCTCCCAATTTTTAGGTTTGCGCCTTACGCAGGCAGAATCACACTGCCACGCAAATTCATAAAAAACGGGACTTTTTGGACGGTAGGAATGGATGGTAGGGCTCTCCTAGTGCTATAAACAATACAAGGATTCACAGCAAAGAAACAATTTATGATTGATTGTTTAATTTCGACACTGACCAGCAAACAATAAGCTTGAAAAAGCTCTTAACTGCCTAAAAACAGAATCCAGCCACATCCCTAATAACCAAAAATCGCTGATTGCAATTAATTACAATGGCAGATTTAAAAACCAATAATAACTGATTAAAACTATACATAAACTTAACTTCTTTCTGACTCTTTAAAAAAATTTCTCCCGACCATCCACTAGTAAAATCAAAATAACATGAATGAAAATTGGCAAAGGAGAAAATTTTGCGGAATTTATCTAAAATGAATCCTCCCTTCAAACTATAAACATGTTAATGAATATTGCCTTATACTGATGTCCTATTGATCAATATATTCTTTAAAAACAATTAAATTCAGCTATACAAAACCTGCATCATTTGTCCAGGCGCCAGCTGTCCAAGGAAAGGCGATGCATGAACATAAACTGTCTCACCAAATTCGAGTTGTGGTGACCCAGAATCCTTGCCATGCTTCTAATCAAATCAGAAATTACAGTGAAAAACGACTAGAAAGGTTTTCGAAAGTAAAAGCAAATATAAAGAAAAAAGGTAATAAAACCTGTAAATCACTTAAATAAGACGGGTCTACTCAAAACATTCAACAACAATTTTGATTTCACTTCTTTCGAAATCCAATACCTTATTGTACTTCAAAAAACATTATTTAAATTCATCAACATGACTTGAAATTTGCTTACAGGAATGCTTTAAAGCTTCACGGATTCTGCCTGGATTGTCTGGGCATAAGCTGGATTTTACAGGATTTCACATAATGTACAGCACAGTTTTACTATAACAAAACATTAGAATTGTGTTCGAAAGCAAAATAACAAAAAATTATACACTTTTCTATTGTAACTGGCTCATCGTCTATTACTCATTTTCTCACAACTGTAACATCGGAGGTAATCAATCATTGCAAAACGTGCACCGCTTTCGGTTTTTACAACTATTTGGCTTTCGTGTATGCAGATTATAAAATACCTAGCTGAAAGAACGCTTTATTTTGTCTTTGGGTCATCTAACAGCTGCATTTCTACCAATCAATTGGTGCAAAAACAATAGCCATGTTTTGCAATGCACCTTTTTTTCTTAAACCGTATTTTCTCCTATAAAGACATCTTTCTTAGAAAGACATCCTTTTATAAATGCCTCTTTCTTATAAACGCCTTTTCTTCAACTAGAAATTGAAACAAAAGCCTCTCGCTATCGCTATCACTCGCTATCGCTATCACTCGCTATCGCTATCACTCGCTATCGATATCGCTATCAATCGCTATCAATCGCTATCAATCGCTATCGCTATCGCTAATCAATTTTTAGTTGAAAGTGATGCAGTCTTTTGTTTCTAGATCTCTTCGTAAGGTGTCATTGCATTCCACTTCCTTTGTGTAAGCAGTCAAAAAAGCAGATATGATAAGCACAAATTCATCTTTGCGTTTTATATTTTCGTCTCCATTCGAGACGATTTACTACGTCTGGCCTAAAAAATGGTGCTTCAATCTCAATAATTTAATCACGACTAATATTTGAAAATAAACGATTCCCGCTATCAATGATTCCTAATTCAATAAATCCTACAGGCGTTTACTACAGAAAATACGGCAGTCTTGGTACCAATTTAGGTACCTCACTTTATATTATCATTCTTAAGTCATGTTCGCTCCAGACAGTTCGCTTAGTAAGCTTTTAGAAAATTTTATAATGCTATAGTGAGCAGGTGGTTGTCAACAAACTTTTAATTCTTGTACAGTACACGTGAAAGTAAAATTAAGGATTTAAGACATTGAAATATAGAACCATGTTAACTGCTTACTCTGCGGTAATAATTTCTCAGCCGTGCATTCATTCCCACTTGAGACAGTAAGGGCGGCCATTCTTCGCAGTATTCAGCTAAAATCAAGTCGCCGTCCATGCCCGTCAAGTCAGCTGGTGTCCGCATAAAAAACATCTCTCCGCCACCAAATGCTTGCCGTTCTTTTTCTCGCTCCTAGGAGAGAAATGATAGATACCTCAAAGCCCTGAATCAAACACACTGGATACACTCTAAAAAACAGTAGATGAACATTGAAAGCCTATTTTTATTCACTTTGTGTTTCTTAGTTTGTTGAATATTACAGGCGAACAGAAGGCTTAGGGGTTCAGTAGACTGGGAATGTAAAACAAGGATGAACGCTACCAGACCATTGGTTTTTGGACTACTAGTGAAAATGTCCTCGGGAAATCATTAGTTATTACTCGTTGCAAGAAAGAAATTCGAATCTGCACTGGTTGAATTGCAAATCAAAGAAGAAGGATTCATTTGTAGGAATTTGCTAACAAAACAAAGCATTGCTATAAGCATTATCACGGCAAATGAAGGTAAAGCCATGTAAATATTTGCTAGAGATTTGTTATGCTAGCGCTGGTTAAATTTTCCAGTGGTATAAAACTAAAAATATTTGCAGCTGATATAACATAACTATGATTAGCCAGTTTATTTGTTCTCGAATAATACCATCTTTCCTATTAGACAATTAGTAATTTAAAATTCGCATGAAATTACCGCTAAAACTCTAAAATACAGTTTCGCATTATCTACGCAGCAGGGACATCTAGAAGTTCGATGAGAATTTCTTAATCTTTTCAAACAAAACTTCCACAATTGAAAATCGCAAAAATAAACGTCTTCTGATTAACTCCTTTGCAATAAATTTCTTCAGCAACTTAATTCCTTCAAAGAGGCTGAATCTAGCAAGGAAGGTTTTCCGAGAAAGGAACAGAAAAGGTCGAAAGAGAGCGAGTAATCTTCTGGCGCCAGTGGCCTACAAAAAATTGAGAAAGTTGAGCAGATCATTTGCCCGTACAAGCTTCATAATTAAAGCTTTTAAACACTCGCGCACAGCAAAAAAATTTGTTTGCAGGATCGCTTAAAATTTTTTGTAAACTGAAAAAGAGCTTTATCGTACAAGTTTACGAATTTCATCGCGGTTATAGGGCCACCATAGCAAGCCGAAAGCACTATCAATTTCTTAATTTCACAATGATTTTAGGGAAGTCCCTTGTATGTTTTCAGTTCAACCGCTTACTTAACATTTAGTAACAGTAGAAGAGGATGTGAAAGTAACTCTTAGAAATATCAAGGCATCAAAGCCCAACAGTTCATCGCAACTGCTTCCGTCAACTTTCACAGTCCAATTTTCTTCTTAAATTTCATAAATCTTGAGAAAACGAAGAGACGGTGCAAGAGCACTTACGAAAAGGCCTCCTGTTTGACTAACCATTCGTGCCCTATAACATTGAAATGTTTCCAGCCCTTTTAACATAATGTTTAATACTTAAGTCAAATTCGAACTTTGAGCTTCTGACTCAACAGTTTTGAAGCACATTCGCCTTAATCCACGTCGAGGTGACTGTCCCATCCGTCCTGGTCCAAAAACGCTCCACCGTATGTCTCTGAGAATATTTTTCCAAGCTTACGTGAGGTAATTTTTGCAAGCTTTACAGTTTTGCGGTTATTATAAACTAATTGATATTACGTTAAATTCCGGTCATATCATGAAACTGAAGTACTTTGTGTCATACAAGTAGTACTTTGTATCAAGGCTGTTTTACGCAATAAATACATCAAGAGTAGAACTGAGGAGAATCTTAAAGCTTTTAAAAAGCAAAGAAATTTTTGTGTGAAACTCCTGCGCAGGACGAAATCTGATTAATATTGGAACCTTAAACTTAGAGACCTTACAGATGACCGTAAATTTTGGAAGACTGTCAAATCAGTTTTTTAAAATGAAATACAAAAAATTCAGCTGTAACTCTGTTTGAAGATGGAAAAATGATAATTAAGGAATTAAAGATTGCAGAAATTTTTAATCATTATTTCACAAATATGACAGAGAGTCTGGGAAATTCCGAAGACCAGACACTGCTTTCGCCAACTAATGGGATAAATGATCCAGTGAAAAAGCTATCAAAAAATATGAAAATCATCCCAGCATTCAAAAGATCAAAGAATGCTTCAAACTGAATAAGTTTGAATTCAAACCAGTGACTTTCAATGGGGTACTTTTACAGATTCAAAAACTGAATTCAAAAGAGGCCTCTCCCCTAAATAGCATTCCAGCTAAGATCCTCAAACAAAATGCAGACATTTTTGCTGTCCTCATCCAGAAGACCTTCGATTCTAATTTATCTGAGTGCTATTTTCCAAAGGAACTGAAAGCTGGTGAGGTCTCGTCCCTGTTCAAAAGTCCGCAATTCACGAACGGGCATTGCGGATAGCTTACAAAGATATGAAATCAGAATTTGACACAATGTTACCCAGAGACAATGCGGTCCCAATCCACATCAGGAATTTACAACTGTTGATGATTGAAATTTGTAAAATAAAATGGGAGCTCAATTCTACTTTCATGAAGGATATCTTTATTGAAAAACACAGTACGTATGGATTGAGAAGCTGCCACAATCTACTACTACCACAAGCGCGCACTACGTGCTATGGCTTAGAGACGATATCGTTTCTAGGGAGTGGATTGTGGCAAGCACTTCCCAATGACATGAAACAATCAGATATCCTCTCCAGTTTTAAAAGGAGAATAAAATCTTGGAAAGGAGAGGAATGCAACTGTAGACTGTGTAGACCTTTCGTGGCTCAGGTTGGGTTCTTGAATGGATAAATGTATTGTATTGTAAATGCCAAAAATGCTGTAAAAACATTGTAAAATATGTATATATGTATTTATACTTAATCATTTTTTATGTTAGATATAAATGTATTTTTAATTTTTTATTTCTAAGCAATTTTAATTTGTAGTAGGCTTGAATTAGCTTTTATTTTGAGCTTTTACGCCTACTTTAAATAAATAGATAATAATAATGGAAACTTTTCATTTTCAATTCAATTAAAACTACAATTACAAATTTCACTATTACAAAGGTAATTTCACTGGTCCTTTATTTGAAAAATGTTGCCCACAAGCCGTTAAACAGCAAAAGCAATGTAACGGATCCTTGTAGAACATTCCTTCAGGTTTAACTTACTTTTCCGACAATTTTTTTTCTGAACAACAAACACCCAAACAGAGTGCTGAGTTTGTGTCCAGACCGTTTATACAATCCGAAATTAATTAAGCAGTCTGTTTATTTCTATTTGTTTATGTTATTGTCACTTAATCAGGTGGGATATTGGAGCAAAATGAGAACAGAGCAAAATGAGAACGGAGCAAAATGAGAACAAGAGGATTTGAAAAGTTTTTTCGTTGCATTGAAAAAACCCACGTGTCCATTTTCTATGGAAGATGGATACAGATTCAAGTCAGTTGACAGGCTATTAAATGGCTGTTTCGTATGACAAGGAAGTCTTTTGATTAGGCTAAAGTACCCTCCAAGAAAGTGAAAGGTGTTTTTAAAAAATACTTTTTACCACAGAGGCCGACTTTTTATTTTCCCAGGAGTGGCTAAAGATTAAAAGCCCAAATATCTTTAAAGAAGGGCTATTTTATGAATTGCAAAGTGCAAAAGTGCCGAAAAGGTTCTTTGGTACCAGGGAACCACAATTGCTAAAAGAACCTTCTTTATTTACTGTAACTTACATCGGAGAAAATCAACTGACTCGATTGCTTTCAAACGAGCAAGCGGCAAAAACTGTCAATATTCAAGTCACCTTTCAAGCCGGTGTCCCTCCAATGTACTGTCAAACTATATTACAGTCTTGCGGTTACACAGACACCCTACATAAAAGTTACTCTTTTTAGCGTTCGCTATTGCGCTCGCTATTGAAAGCTTCCAATTTCTCTAGGAGATTCGTTTACTAATTCAAATTCTTCAGGTTGACCTACATAGGAAACACGGTGATACTACAATCTGGGCTGTAAGGTTCGATATCAAATCTCTTTGATTAATCGTTCAATTTTTCATTATAAAAGAAGACCTGATTGTTAAAGACAATTTCTAAACCACACAAAAGAAACATCCTTTTATCAGAAACACTCATTTTCTTCACAAGGGGCTCATATTATAAGAAACAATTTTATGTCTATAATCATATGGCTTGATTGAGTCAAAAAAAGTCATATCATGTGCCTATGATAATACCTGAGCATAGAGCTTTAAAAACCTTGAACCTTTTTTATACAAACTTAACCTCTTTGGTCTTAGAGCATTGTGTGATAACAGTTCAGGTCAGAGTGATCCTTCTTCGGGGCATGCTATTTTCATCTCCTATCGTATATTTCAACCATTTCAATTCCTTCAGCTACCTTTCTTTAATTTCTGTTTTCAACCTTCCAAACAAGGTTAGAATCTAGAGCTAAATTCATCTTATCGCAGCAATGGCAGCGATTGAAATACCACTGGTACGCACTGTTCTAAAGTTACCTAAAAAAATAAAGCTACATACCTTTGCTTTCTTCTTTATATTTCTCAACAAATTTCCGACTCCCTGCAATCCTGACTTTTCATGAGGCCCTGTCCTCTTTTTCTGGTAGTGTGGTCTGTGAAAGTGTCTTAAATCAGCGGGGGAGAGATATGTCGGGAAAAAAGGCCTTTGCAGCTCCAGTGCAGGTGTAGAATGCTGATGAATGAAAGACAAAGTTGATCAATGCCACTATGAATAGGCAATTCTTTCAAAACTGGAACTTAGCGTGCGCGCATAGCAGACAGCTACAAACTATGACTAAGTTTGGACGAAAAAATAATTGCAGTTGGCAAGTTATGGAAAAAAGACTTGAGAAAACAAAAGACTTGAGGTATAAAATGTGGGTGACTGGCACGACCACCGCAGAACTGGTCGCGGGTTCGAGGTTATAAAAGATTATTAATTGTCAATTAGGACGTACAAACATTTCCTGAAAAGGAGGTCACAGTGGATTCAAGTATGACGTAAGGAAAGTGAGTGATTAAATTTTTCCCGCACCTTTCTGGGATTACATTCCCAATTTATCTGCACTGTCGAGAAAAATAGCAGGCTATCTACTTGTGTTGCTCTTTCAGTCGAGCACAGGTAATTAGTTAGTTAGTTTTTTATGCGTTTGCATGTGTTACAGTAATCCAACCATTTGAACCCAATCACAAACGCATAAGAACTGGAACAAACTCGTAAAATGAAACATTGAACTTCCTCAGTCATTTTATGATAAAAACTTGCATTCTAATTCAGTTCTCATTTTTACACTATGGGATTTTTCAACTTTTAGATCATCAAAAGATCATTAACCAATAATGAACTTTTGAGCTGCAGCAATACGAAAAAAAGTACAAGAGCTTAATGTCCCATTTAATATGAAATCATCGAATTACCAGGTACTTCGACATGGAACGTCATACACTTACTTTTAACTTGACGTCAACACACGTCAGGTACCACCAAGCTTATCAACTCATCTCTGACTTAAGTAGCTTGGACAGTTAAACAACTACACCATAAATAGCGTGTAAAATCAATGCCTCTGTAAGACACAGAATAAACGTACAGAAAGTACGCACCAAACAGATTTTCGGGAAAAATTACAACTTCATAGAAGAAACACGAGCAGGGAAGCATTTCACCCACTGTACAAACCACTGTTACCCGCAATTTTGGACCATAAAAACAGAATCAACTCAAAAGCACACCTGGATAGTGAGGCTGCTCAGGTCAATCTGCAAAGGATTTTCCACTTGATCTAAAAGGAAACAAAATTATATTCAAAGCACGGTGAGAAAACAGCCTCTTAGCCTAGTAGATAGACAAAACGGGGGTTAGAAGGACAACATCAACAATATAGGAACTAGAATGCTAAATACTAAAATTGGAACGGCAACAAACCATGATACGGGATTAGGAGGATAACCGACGACAATAAAGGGGTAGGAAAACACATAATGACATAACGCCTCAGGGCCCGCTGAGAGGGGGCATGGGGGCACTGAGAGGGCCTAGAGTGGGGCGCTGGGAAAACTGCAAACTAAATGTCCAATGGCGACAAGACATTAGGCTGGACGGGGCTGTGGGAATAAAATCTGCTTGAACAATGAGAACAGCAAGCATCAAAAGCAAACCTTGCTTTGGTAAATAATATTCATCATTTGAGAGGTTGAACATATCCTTTGGAGGTTCATTGCTCGTTTGAAGCTGAAAAGACAAATATTGTTAGCAAGGAAATTGAGGTGGCGACTTCAACAACTTAGCTTACAAGGCCTTGTCTACAGCAGCATCAAGAATGGTTTACATCGTTGAAAAAACTTCGTTTGATAAATTCACTTAACAAATAATAGGGGACGGGTCGCGTGTTCACTACTTTAACTAGAAAGCGTTAGACTGGATCCGAAGTTTGCTCGTTACACAGTGGCGTTTGCATTACTTTTGCAAATCTGAAGGAGAACAATAATCAACAACGTGGACAGATTTGTAAAGAAAGTACTCAGAAGACGGCAGACGCTGCGATAAGGGAATCGTTTTGCAAGTTAAATATGCAAATCATATAACATAAGAAGACTGGTTAGTCACAGAGACGTATGGTGAAACTAAGATATCGAATTTGATGAAAATATTGCCCTACTGGGATGATCGGTACTTAGATGGGCTAACCAATGGGAAAGGAAACGGTCTTTAAACTGGATTAAAGAGAGCCGAAAGCTGTTGACTGGTAGGTCAGCAACTACTGGACTTATTCGCACGGCTTATGAATTGGACTGCGTATTGTCAGGAGAGTTCAATTGCCTTTTCAGCTGGATTCAGATCAACAACACACAATTGAATAGTGTATAGTTTCAATTGAATAGAATATTTTCAATTATCTACAATTTAACAAACGCTTTTTGCAAAAAAAATTCGTCAGCTTTAAGAGAATAATTTACGTGTTTATAGTTCACAAACAACGGGTCGTGAATTTTCAAAAGAAATGACTAAGCTATACCACCTTATCTTCGTCCGATTTATGTTTGTTGCCTGATTTTGATTTGCTTTTGCCATCCTTCAAATAAATATCTCAAGATTATTTAAGGTAAATTATTCAGAATATATGCCTTATTTTATAGTTCTCGACAGACAGTAACAAGACTTTGCATCCCCTTCTCAATATTTTCTATTAGTAAAACTTTGAATGAAGTGGGGATAGACGTTGTGTTGGACTAAACATTGATGCTTCCCGGCCTAGTTTCAGAGGTGCGTTTCAACAGCTGTGACCAGTATTACAAAGGCAAAATGAAAACTCAATATTCCTCAAAATGAAAATTCCTTGATTATGAAATATCCTTGATTTGATTTGATTATCAAACAGATTATGAAATACTCAATCCAAAACCAACGATGGATAGAATTATAACATATCTTCTCTCTACAGGACTCAGCAATGATGATGAACAGACCTTTTTTGGTGTGTTTTCCAATTCTGAATTGGAATTGTCAGGAGACGGCTCAGAAGGAATTGTCAAAATGAGGTTCTCATCGTTGGGATCGAGGCGAAACAAAGTTGGTGAAGGGATTCTTGGCATGGCCTAAAAGTACAAAATCATTATTCTGAAAAAAGGATCAAGTTTATTACAAGGCATTTTGGCTTGAAATATTCCATGCTTGAAATATTCCAACCAAAAATAAACAAAAAGAAGGAAAGTATAAAAATGATGATTGATAGAAACACCTTTAACGCCAAATATTAAGTTAAATGTAAAAAAGGAGACAGCTTGCATCGAAAGCAAAAAATATCCTTCAGAAATGGTGTCAATAATACAAATTTTGTAAACCAACCTGATCATCCCAAATAATTCTATCTTCCCATCTACCATAAACCAAATCTTTGTTTTCAACCGGGAAAATACTGAACCAATTTGAGATCTGATTCGATGGCAGTTGTCTGCCGACAATAATATCAGCGTCACTCGAAAAGTTCTTTAGCACTGCAGCACTTGCTAGAGCCTGTGTTGAAATTTTATCAGCTGAACGAGAAAAGATACACCATGATAATGACGAGTTTCATGCATGCAATCGAATGCAAAATAAGTTGAAAATGACGAAAGAGTCGAAGGCATACCAGATCAAGGAGTGAAACCGGAAATGAATGATCTATGATCTATCAATGATCTATGCTTAACTCGACTATGATTCGTCCCTTACAATTAGCCCACGTTAAGGAATCGGAGCCATTGCTTTTCCGGGAAGAAAAGGAATTTTCTTGGAGATTCAGGAAGTAAATTACTTAGTCCCCACAACTGCTCACAAAAAGATTTAAATTAGATGAAATACAGGAGCCTAGTAGCAATGATGCTCATTAGATATTAAGTATATATACTTGATAAAACTTTACTCAAACAATAGTAAGAACAAATAGTAAAAGTAAACATCTATTGGTTGACTTCAACTACCATATAAATAGCCTGAAAAAGTATTCAATGTTTTAAATTTTTCATTGTCTACAATTTAAGGTTTTAACGTGGTCTTCTATAAAACTATGTGAAAAAGCTGAAAAATATTACTGGGAGCCCAAGTTCTACCCTGTTCTCGGCAGGATCAATTATGTATTTCGTCTAAATTCGACAAAAAAATGTTGGAGGTGTAACATTTTGGCAACGTACTTTTTGTGATGTAATCCTGTGATTTTCAATCTGCCTTTATGTAATCAAAAGTTATTTATGGGCGTTCCCTTCAAGTAAAATTGGTATTACTTGTTGGTAAAAGGACGTTTAATGGTAGAAAAAAGGTTGTGGCTTAAAAATATTTGCTTTGCCCCCCCCCCTCCCCTCCAGAGTTTAGTGGCTGGCGCCGCCATTGCTCACATGCTCCTAAACATCGTATTTGATGTTGTTCACACCTATCTTAACATTGCTTTTACAGGAAGGGGTACCAGTAGAGAATTTGCTCAATAAAAAAGATTGAAAATGTCGAAAATGTACTATCTTTTGGGCAGGATATTATGAAGCGGTGGAGATTATTCACCAATAATATAGATTATCTTGGCTTGCTGTATAAGGTGTGCAGACTATAGATTAAGTCCAAATACCTACAGGCGAAACATCAGAAAAATAAAAGATCTGGCACACATTAAAAATGATATATATCCAAAAATAATAAATAATTATAATTATAAAGATTAAAAAAAATGATTAATAAGCAAAAATAATCAACTGTGGTTTCCTAATACAACACTTCTCGAAGTGAATTACATCTTGATTAGAAATGACATGAAAATGGATCAGATTGATCATGCGATAACACACTGTCGATTCTGACAATTTCAAAGGCTTACAAAGTTCTATGAAAACAGACAACTTCAATCACAAGGCGTCGAATTTCGATTCATAAATTCTGAAATGTAACGATTAATCTCACTATCGATAGTTATAGCTCTGACAGACTTTTTGTGTTGACGGGAGTTCATGGCTGAATCATAGAAACTGTCTATTTATAATATTCAATGAGCATAGTTTCGGTTATTGGATTAAAACTTTGGTGAAAATAAATTTAACCCTAATAAGCAAAGGGTAGATCACTAATGTGGGGTAAATTGTGTCAAAAAGCTGTAAATGTAACTTCAGTTTAGCAATGACAGAGAGAGCGCAATCTCCTTAAAACGTACTCTGTACCTTTGCGATATGAGTTAGCCAAATAGCCTTGTAGAGTCCTAATGTTTCCAGATGGAACCCAGCCCGCCTTGCTCTGGGCAATAAGAGACTTCTTCGATGCTTTGTAGTCATCGCTGGACCAAACGATATCCTCCTCCCAAGGGGCCTGCACTATCATGTTGAATGCTTCGTCCGGTGGCATCACAGCATCCTCAAGATCGGTTGTTGCTGTTAACGGGGTTTCCCTCACAGATTCACTCTACAATGGAACAGGATTACTGTTAATATCTCAAACAACAATCTACAATTACCTACAATAATAAACCTAAAGTACTGTAACACTACAGTGACGGGTTGAAAACAGTGATTTTGTGAAATTTTTAAATTACACACCTAGCCGCAAAATTTCAAATAAACTTGAATTTTTATCAATATTATAGGACGTATTACACATCATCCTATAGAATATTTTACAAACATTGCACCTTTGTGGAGGCGTATGTCAATCAACAATGGCAAATATAACGGTGGAATGGAACGGAACGAAAAGTCACCTCCAGTTTTTGCAGCCTGAAACCATAATCAAAGTTTGAGCCATCTTTTGAGACGCCATATCGATCATACCAGTACGAAGCTGGCCCATACCGCCACTCACAGTTGGCTTCTGTCTGCTCAGAATTATCTTTTTCGACCTCTGTGTGTTGTATACTTTGAATCATATGAGCTGGGGCATACAGCTCAATAGGGATGTCTTCGAGGAACCTGACCTAAAAAGGAAGAGAATTAAATCAATCACTATGCTACTGGAGCGATATGGAGGTCTGTGGACAGGAGGCTGACGTATTTGAAAAAAGATATTTCAGAAGAAGAGAATCCGCACCGGGGACCTCGCGCGTTAATGGAGCAAGCCAGAGGAAGAAGAAGAAGATAATGAAGAGGAAGTTTACAAGCAATGAAGAAGCAAACTTTGACGGTGTAATTCAAAAAACAATCCAAGCAGCCAGAAATTCGAGATTTTTGAAACACGCAAACAGCACCTGCAAAAGGCCTCTGACTTACAGATCTGAACTGGGCACTTATGATTGAAGAAATTTCTAAGTAACAGCAGCACACCAGGTAACAGGACTTAAGTGTTGGGTAGTTTATTCGAAAAGCCTAGCTTACTCTTGAATATTTACAAGGAATGACCTTCCACATGCTGATGTATGCTAAGCGCTCAATGAATGAAAAGTTTGTGAAACTAATACAAAAGGACATGTTTAAATTTCCTAAGGACATTAGCGTTAAAACACTGATAAGACTAGGCAAGACTCAGACTGTCCATCTGGATTATAATGTGCCTAAAAAAAGAAATGCTCTCATTTTAGGAAATTTTCGTGTATAAGGTTAATTGAAACTAACAGAAACGTCACCAAAATTGATCTAAGTAAGTTTATAATCAGTCTTCTAACAAGATAATTGACTTGTGTTAAACGGGTTTTCTGAGATGTTCCCAAGATTTTTTTTGGAAATGATTTGATTAACTTTGCAGATAATAACACTATGATATGAAAAAGCGATTACGGCCAAAAAGTCCATCTTCTCGACATAAATTAACACAAGGAAACATTCCAAGATGATAGAACACGTCATCTCATCCGTAAAAAGTTTAATTAGCCAAGCTTAATCTTCAAAACACCTTTCATTTCACGATAAATTGGCGAATTTCTAGACCAGTTTCTCACTTTTAAAAAAAATACAATAATGGTACCCAAATGGATTTAAGACCTTAAAAAAACAACAAAGAGTCAAAACATTCTAAAAAGAGGCATTCGTTCCGTCTTAAATTGTATTTTCTGATGCATTTCAATTATTCATACCCCGAGACCTTGGTTGGAAAAGTAAAATCATCGTAACTACGTCAACATTCAAAGATCAAAGACCAGAGATACTTAAACTTACTGAATCATCAACATCAAAATCTTCAGGTTTGGGGGATGGGGGCGTTTTACACCTAAAGCCCCTTTCAGAAGGTCTCCCATCTCCATCCACACTATGAATCCTCTTTTTCTTTCTCCTTTTCTTTAGACCCTTCCACTGTGCGGACACGTATTTCGTCGGGCCAAATAACCGGGAAAACCGGAGAACTTTTCCGGGTCTGAAGTCCGGAAACATTTCGACAACTGTAGCAAGATCAGTCTTTTCTATGATGCCATCAAAAACAGCTGAAAATAAAATCAGTAAATTTTTAATAAGCAATATGAAGAATGAGGTTCTGCACGAACGACTTGCCCTGCTTTGCAATTAAAAAATTTAATTTTTCTAAAGAAAAAAAAATATATATGACACCTTTGTCATCAGAGATTTTACCACCCACTGCATGACCAGGAATATCACGAGGAGAAGAGTCTGGTTGCATCATATCGGATGAAGAGCGCCTGGTCTGAGCCTTTCCAAGGAGCTGCTCGTCACGAGGCGAAGAAGGTGAGAACATTTCTTCAAGTGCCTCTCTTTCTTTGCGCTCCGCCTCGGATTTGGCAGTCTCGGCAGATGGCACTATGGATGGCAATCCCATCGTATTTTCAGGTGTAGTAGCCGCTTGGCTCTCAGCTTCAAAAAAATAAATACCAAATTAACGAAAGAAATGAGGTTAGGGAAGATAAAGGTCTTTTTTATTCATCTTGTACAATTTAGATCTTGACAAGCGGTGCATTTCAGCGTTACTTCTGCTGTTCCCAAACTTATTGGCCTTTTAAAAACAACTTTCTGAGTTTGATGACCTTTTACCGAGTAAAAAATCAGTTTCAATGACACGGAAAACAGGTTAAAAAGACACTTTTCTTTTTAAAAAAATTCCTCTTAACTTGAAAGAAAACTAGGAGACTACTGTTTCATATCCAATACTATGTTCTATTCTTAAACTGTCAAACTGGCCAGTATTTTATAAATGACTCGGACTGTTTATCTTTGGAGTATTATCTTAGGAGATTTGATTCGAGTGCAGAGAAATTGTAAAAGGACCCAGAAAAGATTTAGGAATATTCTTCAGAATATATACCGATTTGTGACCACTCATTGGGTTTTTTCTCAAATTGGCAGATAAATATTAGTTTTTTTCTTCATGGATAATCATACTTACAAAATAACGGAACTCTTGGAAACTGTTTAATGACTGGCTTCCTTGGTTTTTCTTCCTCTTCGTCATAATCATCTACAAATTCAACGACTTGTTAGCGTTTTCATTTTAATGGCCTACAGTCTTCTTTAATAATGCGAAACACGTGGATCTAAATTTCTGGATGACTTGATTTGCAATAGACTGGGTAATTTTATGTCTAGTCAGTTCCATAAATCTTGACAATGAAAAGACTTGACATAGTCTGGAAAGCTCAACACTGACAGGTGATAGATTTTGGTTAATCTAAATTCAGACCGATAAATCAAACACTTTAACAGAAGTCTTGCAAATAAAGAAATTGCTAGCTTTAAACATCGATTACTTTGTTTCAAATAAGGCACTTCAAAAAGCACATAATTAACACAAAATCTATAAGTGATACGATTTAGTAAGGCTCCAGCTTTTGTTAGTTCAGAATATAAAAAGCTCCAGCATATAATAAAGAATAATTTGAAACAGGTTTTGCCTTCTTTCAACATTAAAATGGCGTAAAACGGAGAGGTTTGAAAGCAAAACCTTTCAAAATAAAAAAGATATTCAAAAGAAGTGGAGCCGTTTCAAGAATCATCCATTGCCGCATAGGGTGGACAGCAAAAGCAGAAAAAACCGGAAACATTTTTCAGAGTGGAACCTTTTGAAGAAGTATCTTTATTTTAGTATATGATAATTACTCTTTTACTGGTTTATCATAAAGTGCTTGATGCTGCATTGGCAGAGCTGTGCACGCTCTAGAATGGAACAGGACAGTTCTAAATTGCTACTCCGAGTTTCACGTTTAACACGGTCATATTAAACGTTAAATACTATGATTGCATGTTCTATACACAAAAAGCGTCTATTTCAGCTTCGGTGCAAAAAGCTTAAGGAAAACTGAGAATTTCGAAAACACATACTGTAAATCCTCGAATAAGCCCCCCTCGAGTAAGCCCCCAATCAAAAATTCATTTTTGCAAATAAGCCCCCGGGTTCTTATTCAAGGATTTACGGTACTTTTGAAAATAAATCATCGCGGGCAGGGATTAATAGGAACTACATTCTGACTGTGACCCCATCCTTTGTATCCAAGTTTGTAATCAAGCTTTAAAAACCAGCATTTTTTTTCATCAGTACATACAATTAGCCGGGATAGAAAAATTTCATAACTTAAGAAAAAGTTTATGAAATCCTTGATGTTTATTGTTGGAATCTTTAAAACATGAAATTTGCAGCAAGTGAAAATCAGACTGACCTACACATCATATTGACCTTCTCATTATGTAAAAAAACAAGGACTACCCAAAAACTAGAAAACTAGAACTAGAAAATGGTTTTTACTCCATATTCCAATATATGTGCCTTCAAAGGATTTCATATGACTATAAACAATTCATTTGAGATTCTATTCCTAGCATAATAAAAGCATTTGCAAGGAATATATAAAAGGGTACTTTTTCCTGACCATAATTAGGTCTTGAAACAAAGTTTATTCTGTATACTTTGAAAAGAGAAAGGTTTCTTACCAAGCATAAAGTTTTTTGACCCATTTCTTTATTTGAATTTAAAAAATATTTTATCCAAGTTCTTTCATTTTAAAAAGGCAAGATAACAGGCTTGGGAGTTTTGTCTCAATGTGTTTTTAGCAAAATAGAAAAGTAGAAATGTTGTATTAATAATAAAAAAAGAGTAAAAGGAGTTTACCATCTTCATCTGTATCATTCCTGAATCTCTCTGCAGCCTGCAGGCCAGCACGAACAAATTTGTCAGCATCCTCATCAGCAAGTTCATCAATGTTGCTGTAGTCAACTGCAGTTTCAACGCTTTTAATAAAGCCTAGAAAGAATTGTTGAAACAGATATAAAAAAGAACCATAAAAAGCCCAAATACTGGTTTAATCTTTAAATACAGTAAGTTTATGTTAAAGAATTCTGGAAATTTCTAGAAATTTTGTGCTACCTTTGTTTTGCATCTTATCTATTCTTTCCATTTTTGTTTTCGTAGATAAACAATACACATAACTATTTTTAATATTTCTAAAATGTAACACTTTTTTAGCAAATGGACATTTTACTGTATATATTATCCTATTAAGCTTTATTTTATTCAAATGTTCAGACAAAAAATATTTCACTGAGGACATAGTGCTCGATATCTTTAGAGTTCTATATCAGTCAGCACTTTTTATTATTACCATAGATGTAGCTTTCAATAATCTAATTCTATCTTAGCAATTCTTTTTTAAATAGCATCTTTATTAATATGAACTTGTTATGAAATCATTAGTATTAATTGAAAGTATATATGAAATGAACAAAAGACAGTATCTGAAAAGTATTTTCATCAGTTGTGGTGCTTCAAGTTGACAATAGGTTGATTGTCAGAACAGCACCAGGAACAGCAGCAGTCTTGTAAACTGTAGTTGGTGTGCTTCAGGGATATTTTATAAGTCCTCTGCTATATATCATAATGACAGATTGGGTTCTGGAAGAAATTTTAAAACCAGAGAGAAGAATGGAAGCAAGAGCAGTGACTATGATAATGGTGATCAGAAAGCACTATGTACAGACTGTTAGATGGCCATGTGGACATTGAAGGTAACTGATGGAGGAAAAATTGAAGAAATACAGGCAGTTTTTTTGCCCACAAGGCTACTTTTTTTGCCCACACAGTTCCAAGCTTTTACTTACTATTCTCTTTCTATTTCATTTTTTGTTTATTTTCTCTAAAGTGATTTTCAATTTCTTTTGTGTGCATTATCTTGATGGCATTTCGAAGAAGCATCTTACTATTCGGTTTCCATCACTCAGTTTTTGTATGTCTCTGTTTTATCATTCAAGCCAACACCCAAGGCTGAGTCATTCAACACCCAAGTAAATGAGTCATTGATGGCTCCCCTGTGTAACTGGTAAAAGAGAGGGGCAGTGTGGGTGAATGACTCGGCCTTGGGTGTTGGCTTGAAAGCACGACCCGATAGCTCAGCGGTAGAGCACTTGACCTAAAAAGTCAGGGGTCATGAGTTCGAGCCTCGCTCCAGTCGGTTATTTTCCCGCACTCTCTATTAATTATCTTTGAAATCCTATTGCCTGTAATGGATATATTTGAGTCTGCTCTCATACGAAAATCAAGTAATGGCAACACAGCCTAAAAAGCTTCTTCTCAAATTCCATAACAATCAATTGATTTTATAAAAACCAAAACTTTATTAATCCTGTCTCCAAATCTCTTCATGTGAACAAGAGGCAGTTTGGACAAACAGTAGCATAACATTTAGAAATCAAATTTCATTTCTTAACACATTATTTAACATACACCCTAAGAGACAACACAGAATCTTCCTTAATTTTTCTACAATTCTATCAAGTAATAAAAAAAGGGACCAGTTCCCTTGCTGGTGTCAGGCAGAGACTCTAGGAAATCTATAATGTGCCTTGGACTATTGAGAGGCTTAGCATTGATCTTTCCTGTATTAGAGTTTAAAGTAAGGCCAGGTTCAAAAATAAAAGATGAGAAACATTATGTTACCCTCCTGATTTGAGCCATCTGGTTCATATTCATGTTGGTTTTCAGAGGCAATGTCTTCAACGAGTGGTCCAAGAGCACCAAGAGATGCCAATTGGCCTAAATGCTTCTTTGATTCCTTAAAATTAAAGTTTTTATGTGAATCAGTATATTGCATTTGATAGATAGTTGAATAAATTGTCTGAGAATACGGAATGTATCTGTATCTGCTGAATCACTGTCATTATTCTTGTTAACACTGATGATTTTTAACCTGTGCTAAAGGGTTTTTCATCAAATGTATGCAAAAAATCTTGAGACAATTTTCTGCCAGTAGATTTTCAGGTTAACATCAGATTATATTGTTGCTAATTGTCTTTAGACATCACCTTGATAACAGTTCTATGACATATATATTTTTTCTTTATTTTAAACAAAAATTTAAAAGATTGAGGTGTGTTTCAGCAGAATGTATATTTGCCTAATTAACCTTAAAATGCTCAATGAAATTGAAGCTAGGATATTTAGCCAAAAAAACAGCTCTACCGAGTCCATTAAAAACAGTTTAAGATATACCAAAAGATCTTACCAGCAATATATAAAACAAACATAACTTAGTACAAATTTTGCTTCCTTTCCGGACTGCAGAGTATGGCAGCTTCCAACAAGATCTCAGGTGGGGAAGAGCAAAGTTCAAGTGTGCACTTTGGTTAAGTGTGCACTTTAATTGTGCACAATAGTACACACAACTATGTTAGATCCTCAGAAAATCAATTGAGAAGGGAATATGAGCAAAGTAAGAAAAGTTATTTTGTTATCAAACCAATGCGAGATTATGTCAATCCAGAAGAAACTTAAATTCTTTATTTGCCCTAAGCAGTAGGACACACCCACGCCACGTCCAGATTTCAAAGCGCCACACTCTTTGCCAGGTGTGCAGGGACATTTTCGAGTGTGCACTTGTCATACTCTGCAGTCTGGCCTCCTTTCTTTAATGCAATGTAAATTAAGACAAGGAGACATACATTCTGCTCATTTCCGTGCATACACAGTGCCTCCTTTTCTCACCTTCCATTCAAATACTCATGAATCATAAAACTTTCCTCCTTCAGGTCCTAAATGATATAACTAGTCTAAATATAAAAATAACATAAGTGGTGTGCACAATTTTTCAAAATAGCAATAAAAGAAAACACCAACATCATCAAGAAGTTCACTGTCTTCCAGCTGTCCTCTTTCATCTATATTTCCAAATATAAATCCTGCAAGGTTCAACCCATCTTTTTCGTCATCTCTGTCATAATCATCAACGCCTCTCAAGTCATCCATTTTCCACCTTGTTGATGGCAGCAATCATTACCAAAATGGCGGCTGGCTGCACTTTCCCCCGACGAATAGCGATTACGAGGCAGGAATGAAGCGAGGCACCATTTAGAATTGCTCCTTTCTACCTTCAGTTTTTCAACGTTCAAATTGACAAAGAATATTCAGAGAATCAGTTGAGAACAATTTGAGCCACCGGCCTGCAATCTATAAGAAAACAGTAAAAATTCATTAACAAAAAAACTGCAAAACCTCGAGATGAACTGGAACACGGCAAGCTGGAAAAATTGTTGGAAATTCGGGTGCAAAAATGATTTTAACTTGTTTACCAGGCTGATAGTTCAGCTTTTGAACATAAAAGTTGCATGTATTTTATATAAAATTGTTTAAAGAAATGCAAAGCATACAATTTGAAGCAGTCAGTGACATCCTTCCCATGGATATTTAGTTATGCCTATCTTTAGTATCTTTTCGGCTGTGTCACCTGCTAAAAATTCTCTAATCGTCTAAAATAGTCTAAAAATTTTTCTTAGTTTGTAAATATTGTATACTGTAAAGACCTAGCATAATTATAATTCATATGTAGCATCTTATAATGACAAAATTTTGTGTTCTAGATTAGCTAAACTACCCACAAACTTAGCTCAAGAGATGCTGTTCGTTGGCTATGTGTGGCAGAGGTGTAAACATGGATGCAATAATTAGACACAGAGGCTTAAGAGAATGTTAAAGAAACGGTCCCTAGTGTTCTTAGATCAAGATGTTGTAACCCTAAACAAAAAGCTTTCAGCTATTTATAATGTGCAAAATAATTATTTTGTTGCTAGAAAATCAGCTTTTGAATGTCTGCTTGAAATTTTTATCTTACGGTAGAGAAGAGGGACGAGAACTTCAAAGATGAATAGTCTTCGCACGTCATTGTGACTCCACATCTAACCCTGTTGAAATGTGCTGCTATTAGGGCTGTATACCCAATGGGGCTTTGAATGATGATAGATTCTGGACCAACTACAGAGGATTTGGACCTACATTCTATATAAACCTTAGTCTACACTCTGCCACACATAGCCTTTGTATAAACCTTAGTATGCCTCGGTTTTCAAATGTAATATCATTAAGAATTTTCTAAAGGCCTTCTGATTCTGCTCATTTTGTTACTATTCTCCCTGCTTTCAATTTCCAAATATGGTGCAAATGCTGACATTAAATCTTTTGATACATATTATACATAAAATAGCAAAGGACCTAAATTTGGTTCTTGAGAAACCATTTTTTGCAAATTTCTTTAGTCACTTTATGCAGAGTTAACTTTTACAATAAATATTTAAAGGTATTTGACACAGGTAAAAGTGGCTTACAGCCACTCGATCACGAGAGGTTGACCAATAAAATTGCTCACAGAGAAAAACACGTGAACAGTCTCGTGACGGTTTTACGTGAGGAATTTTCAATTCCTTTCTTGTACGCGTGCTCTAATCAATTTGGCCTAAGTTATTTTTGGATTCGCTGTACTTATGCATGTCAAATGCCTTTAAGTGAATCTGATAATCAATCAAAACTTCACAATAATATAAGTTTCAACCAGTCTTTCATAGATTCAGAAAATTGGGGGAAAACAAAGTATGGTTGGCTCTGACTTGACGAATCTTTCTTAACACTGTGTTTGTAAAGTTGTGGTGCGAAGAAAAAAGTAATTTGTTGACTGTTGACCTGAAGTATTACAAACATCGCACGAAATGAGTAAGGCATATTCAAGAGTACCATCGCTATGATTATGTTAATTGATGGATATACTATTAAAATTTATCGACCTTTTCAAACAGAGACTTCGGAGAAATAGTAAAATTGTGCTTAGATAAAAGCGTTTCCAACTTCTGCCTGTGTAAGCTCTTATTCAATGGGATTTATTAGATTATCTGGCTCTAAAGCTTAAGATCTAAAGCAAATTAGAAAACAAAGGTTTGGCATCAAAATGTCAGAAGAACATTTGTTGGGCGCATCAGAAAGTTTATATTTAAAATTGGCATCTCACATTTATTTTAACAATATTTGTTCATTTTTCGTTGACTCCTGCGTAGAAATCACAGATTGAGTTTTTGAAGTTTGGTAAAGAAATTCTTCACCTTTCGTAATACCTTGCCAGTCATATTTTGTCCTCAACACTTTTGACATCGAATCTGAAGCTTCATCGCGCCAAAGCTCAGGATCGGCTTCAGTCTGAATTGAATTTTTTTGTTAAGCTCATCAATTTTTTGGACATCATTTTGCAGGTTTTTGTTTCGATGGAAGCATAACGTGTCTGTCTGCATAGGTACAACTTTGGTCTTTCAAAGCAATGTTCCAAGTCACAAGAACTTAGAACTTATTATCATTTGGTAGTTTCTGATTGTAAATTGTCAACGTGCACCAATCAACATAATTAATGAAGATAAGAACGTTTGAGCAATTTGTATCGCCTTTTCTACGAGAAAACATCTCTATGGTGGATAAAGCCTCCTAGTTTGTTTTTTCTTACTTTGACCCTTGTTGATGTGATCTACGATAAGACGCTTATTCGTGTCTTCAGAAGCGATATATTACTATCCCCTGACTTTCAATATCATTAGCTATTTCTCAAGTACATCTCCATATGAACATATGCATCTTTGAGACCTATGACACATAGACCAATAGAATTTGCAATGAAACAGAGTTTTTATTATAGCAAACGAGATCAAAGACCCAAAATCTTATCTTGATTTAAACATTAAACCATCCCTGTGTTCTTTTGACGGGGCTCAAGCCGTTGTTTAATCTGAGTGCTTTAAGACCGTAGGTCATTTCTATGCCTGTCGCTACACAGAGAAGACCATATAGGTTTTAACAGTCTGCTGCTAAACCCTGTTGCCAAGTTTGAACATACAAGATGGTAACTACGGAGCTTGTCTATTTCTGCTAGTGGGAAGGAAGTCCAGGTGCAGCAACTCCAATGAAGGTCTAAACGTTCCTCCAGGTAAGCCGTGAATTGCTCAGATAGAAATTTTCCTGTGTGCATAACGGTATTGATCACCATTTCAGCATGAAAGGCAACTCTAGCGACGTGACTAACCGTACTGAAGTATTAAAATTTGAGGTCTGTGATCCGATAGTAGAAATATGCAAAGATTGTAAGGAGCTCTTATGCAAAGATTGTAAGAAGCATTTGATAGCATTCTGCACGATGATATCATAGAATGGAGATACGATTAACAAAAACCTTAGTATTTAACCAGAAAATAAATTCACCAAATTCTCAGAAGAATGTCCAAAGCAAAAAATTACCATGCTAGACAAGAGGGTTTGCCGACCCCCTGAACCCCTATGTTAATGCTCTTTTATATTAGGATCTTGTTCAGAAGAATGGAGTTTGCTTGTATGTTGTGTTGTACGTCAGTTGGGTTAGTATCACGAAGAAAAAGGTAACCTTACACTGCAACCTTCTCACTCTACAACTCCGTACGAAGTATCAAAGAAGTCTCGTCTGGCCTATTTGATTACCCATCCAGGCCAATGGTGCCGTGGAAATTTGAATTTTCCTGAATGAGCAATTTTTATTAGTCTTTTAAAGTCGGTGGATAGTTTGAATATATATTACAGAGAATCTCTAGCGCAAATGCAATTACGGAGGGTGTGGTCATGGGTGTGACCATGGGTGTGGTTTTGGGTGTGGTCTTGGATGTGGCATCTATAGGTTGCATACAGCACAGCCTCCTTTCCTAACTTTTTAGGACGGTACCCCTGATCCATTACCAAAGATTATATTGTCGAAAACATATTGACTGTCTACAAAAACCAGTTCACCTCTTTTTCCATTTATCATATGCATTGAGAAGCTCTTTGTGCTATAAGCACTTTTAATGATTGGTTCAACATACAAGAAGGTGGAATGCTACGCCGGTCACAAACGTCATTCAAAATAGGTCAGGGTTTCGCCATATCTTACATAGGGGCATGGTAAGTCGCCAATTTTATTCCAACTCTCATTAAAATTTTCTTGGTCCATATAGGTTTTTCAGTGCAATTTGTTATATTTGAAAACAGAAAATCTTGTTAGCTGTTGTAAGAGAGGAAAACTCAAAGGACAGTTCAGCAGTGGAATCTTTTACTTACAACACTTACAACGAATTTGCACATAACCAATTCATAAGCTGGTATCAAGTAGGCCTTCGATGAACAAAGGTGTTGAAATAAAGTTACGTGGCAGTTTGGAAATGTGGGTGGCATTATCTTAAGAAGAAAAAGTTGTTCTGAAAAGAGAGCGGCTCTTTCTGCCATTCAACAATGTATCTACAAATGCTCCTTCTAACAGCATTAATATTCAGTGGTATTTAGTCAAACATAGCAATACCTAGATGTTTGTGATTGAAGAGGTGGGGGGGGGGGTTGCATGATGACAAATAAAAACTATCTTTGTAACCAAAAAAAGAGCTATCGTGAATTTAGTCTATCTTAAAAAATATTTTTTTTCCCCCTGTATTAACGGGCCTGAAGATGAATTTTATTTTCGTAATTATTGTTTTGACGTCACATTGTAAAAAACCTCGAAAAACTGATAAAATCATTTGGGAAAGTGATTCGATAAACTTGCAGCTAAGCTTAGCATTGTTAATGTTTGATTATGATGTTTACTTTCAATTTTCACCAAAAGTTGTTTCCTGGCGCTGGCTAGGGTGTGGTGTAGACAATAGTGGCCCTAGTATTTTCTTTGACTCCTCATTCTTTATTCTAAATCAGTTTGCAAAAATAAAACATTATCAATAGAATTTGCTTTATCTTTTTGTCATAAAATGCAAACAGATTTTTCTGGAACTTTTCTTGCCCTTCATATCACGGTTGGTTCTGAACTCTGCACCAGCATATTTAGAATGCGTTATCTTGCTAAACTTCAGAAGAAGATTCCCGAGAGTACGAAAACGTCTAACAAAGCATGTAAGCTCCGTGTCCTTAGGTAAATCTTTTCGATTGGCGATTGAAGTAATGATTAAATTTACATTTTCATCCGAGAAGGTCTATCCGGAAATTACGGGTTAAAAAATCTTTTGTGATTCGAAACGTTTGGTTAGCTGATTTGAAAATACATCTTGTTTATAATTATGGGTAAATACCTATACTTATTTTTATACTTGTGTTTATACTCTTGAATATAAAGAAATTGGTAAGTACTCAATATTAGTTTTACACAGATAGTGTCAGCTAGATCTGCATATTATTATCTAGTTCTGACGTCATTAAATTATTGCTGCTTAAAATGATTACTATATGAAAGAGTTAAATAACTATAACTAGTTAGAACAAGGTTATTTATTTTGGTATCTTTGGGACTCAAAACTTTCCATTCGATACTTTTTGGGGCTGTTGAATTTTCATTTGATATTTCTTTAAGGGAGCATTGCCCAATGCATAGCCCCACCCCCTTTTGTTAAAAGTTCAAGTTACTTCTTTTGGATGTCATACGACACTCGCTGCTTATTTTGACTCTGGGCTGGCTAGCCTTTATGATAAACCATGCTATTTGCCTGATATTTTATCATTTTTACTTTTTTTCTTCGGAATTCAATAAACTTCGCTGTTAAAAGCACCGTTCCTTGTTTTCGATGAACAGTCATAAATCAAAATATTTTGATCACTGATTCATTCGTAGCACTCATTTAAAACTGATGTAACTGGACAGGAATTTTTCATATTGCAAAGGAATTAGTTTGTTTGGACTGCTGTACTAAATCTAAGTCATAAAACAACTATACAGTCTTGTTTATTAGAAAATAAACATAAGATCAAGAAGAAATTACTCCGTCTTACCCATACTTTAGGAAAGATTACTATCGGTGAGTTCGAATTTCAACAATTTTCTCGAACTTTTCATGATGGGTGTTTGTCACATGCGCGAAAAATGCTTGAAATGCACACACAAAAATGTTGTTATCAGATTATTTTTCTTAAAAAACATGAATCTAGATTTCTTACAGTATTTATGAGTGTTCACAAACAAGTATTTGCAAGCCTATATGTCTCCATAGGAATAAACTGAGAATTTTTTAGAATTTTACCAGCTTTTTTAAAATAAATCTCGTGTGACTCTTTTCTCTCCCACATCAAACAGCAAGTACACAGTAAACAATTTTCACGATAGATGAAAGGGACAGTTTACATCATTATGTTTTGGTCATTGTGAACAGTAATTTTGATTTTTTTTTCTAGACAATGACTAATAAAATAGTTGAAACTGAAATTACTGGAAATAGAACTCTGAAGGCTGAATTATAGTAATGGCATCTCTAAATCGGACTTGATTGAAGGTATCTATGTTAAGCTGTCCCACAGGTAATTCACGTTGTCACGTGCGCAGCAATAGCTGTATGATGTTTATCCATTAACGTCACTTTGTGCAATTTAAGCGAAAGTAGTTTAATGGAAACAAATAGTTTTTGGTCGAAAATAAAATGGATATGACTTTGTCGGGAGCCGTTGAATGTCGTGTAGTCGTATAGTCGGATTAGGGTATAATGTGATCCTCTTAGTGGTAGTACGTGCCTGTTATAATATTTTTACCTTTATCTATGAATCTTGTCACAAAATTAACAGATGTCATATTGAATACAAATACGTTTAAAAGCCCATTGTTCTTAAAATTGCAGTTGTATGAACCCGAAAAGTATGCGGAATCACTACCACATCTTTCTGTCAATAACATCCACCTAGCTTGAGAGATGCCTTTCAAACTGGCTGCACTATTCAAAGTGATAGCCCGATGGTTTGGAATTTTATTAACTTCTCCATTTCTTGATAAGGGGTGTGGCGACGTCTGTAAAGTTTCCTTTGACTTTGTTCCTAGATAGCTGAAAAACTATCCAGGGCAAAGTTTTCTTGATATTGTTGTCTGTCCCTGATTGCTTGGAAAGCCATTCGCAATAAGTACATATGTTTGGTGAACAACTTTGGTTTTAAAAAAACTTTGAAAGGAAATAGTTGCTTCTTTAAAGCCATTTGACGTATTTTCGAGCATTTGATTAAGTAATCGGGAATATCTTAAAAGAAGCCTTTGAAGAAAAAGTTTTGATGGGTAGATTAGTTGCGATTTGATTTGATGACAATCATCCTTAAATTGTGTGCTTTGTTAGCAATGCGGCGATCCTTCGCCAGTGTCTTAGTTCTTTGCATTCAACCTCTGTTTGATTACCATCGAATAAGCAGTGGAAATATTATCTTTACACCCAACGAATCAATTTCAGATGTTATTCACTGAAGAATTTGTCTTATCTACAGCTGGATTAAGTCATTTAGGCTCAATACGGATTATGCTTTAAAAGACTAGCTAGAAAATCAAGCAGGACAGGCGGGCTCTGAATGGTCACAGGCAGGGCATTTCTTAACTCTTGACTGCTTTATTTGAATTGCAGGACTCATATGCTGGCATTATTCTATCGAGATTAAAAGCATTGCAAGAAAAGTATTTTATGGTAAGTTTGAATGTTTTCAAATCGTGAATTTCCCACAAAATAAGGCGCCCTGCTTGAAAATCTCACGAGTATTATGGGCATTTCTAAGCGAATTAATGAAAAATCTTGTTTCAGCGAGAATGGAAATGCTTCCATTTAGCAGATTGCTATTCGCATGATTAAATAAATGGTAACCAGAGTAAAAAAGTGATTTGGCTACTACTTAAATCGTAATCTGTAAATGCAACATCATTCGAATTTTAAAGCTGTAATTATTGCCCAGAAATGCCTTGGGAATTTTAATATCCTTAGCAAGGTTTGAAGAATTCACCGCAAATAATTCCGGTGCATTAGTCCAGGGTGGTTACCATAAATACCACAAATGCCGAGCAACGAGATTCACTGACATTGGCTGATCAACGATGAAGAGGCAAGCAATGCAAACAGCCATTGCCTCAGAATAAATCCTTTATTATGAAAGATGTTATCATCTGCTACACATGTTCAGCAGCAAATGGCACACCGATAAATAAACTAAGCATATTAAAAACAGCAATGCACTACACCAAACGCAACAGTCAATGCATAATGTTTTCATTGCATCTTTTCATTATCTGATGTTTTTAATTTTGTTGCAGATACCCAGACATGATGATGAGAAGAAGAAAATCGACCATTACGCCCCCAAGCTCCAAGGTTGTGTCAAAAAATGTATTAACAAGAAACTGCATTAAGGAATGCCCAAGTGAAAATTACCGCAAGACAATATACAAATCAAAATCATTGCCGTCAGACCTTGAACAGCAAACGAAGCGATCATCCCTGTTCGCTGGTCCGAGATTCAAACTGTTCAATAAAGGCTTGTTAAAAAAGACCATTTCACGTACAAAAAGTGTCAGTTTTCAACCAGAGGTGCTACTGGTGACGGCAGTGGCTGAAGATGACATCGAAGAATGCGAACGGATTCTGCAAAAATGCAACGTTGATGTGAACTATAAGACGGCTTCAGGACAAAGCTTGCTTCACCATGCAGCTCTGTCTGGCAGTTTTAACTGCATCAGACTGCTGATAGAGCACGGGGCAAATGTGAATGCCATCGATTGCACGGGGAAAAGTGTACTGGATGGAGCGGTGAGGAACGGCCATTTTGACTGCGCAGCAGAACTGATTCATAATGGCGCGATGGTCGAAAAACTTGCAGTGGGTGGGGATCATTGGTGAAACGATGCAAATGGAAATAGTGCTGTTCCTATCTCGAAAGTGGCAAAATGCTTAAAAGCGATGGTATCTTCAACACCGTTGTTTCTGTTTTCATTGGCTTGGTTTCAGTGCGGCTTTTATAAAAGGCGTAGAGCGCCAGATGGTACCAAATAGTGCCATAGAGAGAAGACGGGAGAAGAAAATCTGTTTCAAAGTAGATGACAATTTTAGAGAAATGGGAGCTTGTTTGAAAAACTAGTTCACAGTCTCTACTTCTAGACATATATTTTGACTTTATTAGTAAGAATGTAATTAAAAAGATAACCGTTAACGTTGTAGAGCTCTTTAGCATTAGGCAGCTTAAATATCAATTGGAAACCATTAAGCCCCGTTAAAACGCTCTCAACATTGCATTGAACATCGCTCAACCTTTTTACAGTGATGTTCAATGATGTTTAGTGATGTTGAATAGGTGTGTTAAACGCTCTCAGCATCTCCCAACAATACCTTTGACAATCAACCTTGCAACATTTCTAGACACTGCAGAAAACTATTTCATACTTCGACGTTCATGTTTGCATTCATACTAACTGCTCGATCTAAGTTAACTTCAGCAACTTGCAAGTGTAAACTCTCTTTACGTTTTCATACTTTCTTATTATTTCAACTGCTTATATTACATAGATACCTTATCAATTTTGATCAATTTTGAAGCTGAAAACTGAGGTTTCTGTGGAAATGGATAAACTGGCGTTATTCTTTTCTCAAAATTCACTTTCACCTTTTATCTAGTTGGAAAGTAGATAGCAGATAGCAACAATAAAGGAATAAACAGCTTTTTCGAATTAAATTTTCTTTATTTTCTTGAAATGAAAGAAGTTTTCTTGTGTGGTCTTAAGGTGTGTGACAGCTTAGGAGTCATAAGGGAATCGTTTCCTTGACTGCAGTATTTCATGAAGGAGTTGAACTTGAACAGTTGAAAGAACACTTAAAATTCATCTTCTATTTTGGCTTTTAATTCTCGACTCATTCCAGCTTGATTTTGAACGCAGATTTATTGGAAGAATATCGTTTTCCTTAAAATGTAATTAAACAGTATAGTATAGCAACGCCAGTTCAATCGAAAATGTTTAAGGAACAAGTCAAATGGTGTCAAATGGTCGAAAGACGTTTTTCTCGCATATGATGTAACACCAGGGCCCACGCCACAAATTTCGAAAGTGGGGGGGGGGGGGTAACATAGCCTTTTCGAAGGGGACTCAGCTGCGGGGGCAGCCCTTTGTTTACATAAAGAGAAGGACAATAGCCCCTTTTTTAATAAAGCCTCCTAGTTGGTTTGTTAAAAAAGACCCTTGGGGCCAAGGCTAACGAATTAACCTTGAATTAAGTAGCCCAAAATTTGCAATATTTGCTGGTTAGGTTGGCCAGAAGTTCCTTCTGAAATAGAAATGATGGTTCCTGAGTTCTTCGTTATCAAGGTTTGAACCCTTCAAACTTTTATCAAAACACTTATCGACACTTGCGACCACCTTCTATGACTAAAAGTAGATGTTGTGAAAAGCAAAACGGAATTTCCTGTTTTTCTGTTACATCACAAGCTTAAACTCAAGTCATATTTTCAACATTGATAATTTAATTACAATATATACTGAAATATAAGAATGAACATACTATATTTAAATGCAGTTATAAGGATTCAACTTATAAATAGGATGAAGTATGCATATAAACTTTTAAAATGAGTTACGCTCATTTTTATTTTCAGAATGTTATATTATAATACAAGGTAAAGTTTTTACACTATACCAATATCACTAGCAAAATGAAATAAACAAAGTACAAATTTACCAATTAGAGCTGACAAACTTGCCAAATTGATTTTGTGTTATTGGCAACAAAATCGTTTGCTACATGACATCGATTAAAAACATGCTGTATACAAGTTACAGCTAAAATCGGTAGAGAATTTAATCTCTTTTGTGTCATCGTTGAGCGCAAGAATGTTTTAATTCTCCGTGCTAATGGAGAAGAGCGCTCTGGCGTCGTTGACAGAATCCGCTTTCAAAGGGTGATCAGGTCCTGGTCCACCTATAGAATAGCAACATGAAAATCACTACTCGGCGTTATTGGGCATACCCTCTAATTTCAATCGTAATTTTGCTAGGTCAAACCACGCCGTTCAACATATTTCCTTCTTTCATATCTTATTGCAGCTTTGACATTTTCCTTCGCAATAAAATGGGGTCCCGGTGGCGTGGATCCTGAATTCTACATAATGATGCGGCTAATGCCCTTTGCTGAAGCTTTTATTTCGTCAAAGATAACAGTTTAGTTACTTTTTAGTTACTTTAAATTTGCTGGATGCACGCAACAAGACCTGCGCGTAGACTTCCACATCACTTCTTTTCAAAATTTTCTTCTGCTTTCGAAATGGGTTTGCAAAGGTGACCAACCTGAGCGGTCCATCATGAATCCCCAACCTCGACCTTTTCCTACTCACGCACAGGAGCGTAGGGGCAAGATGGCAAATACCTACTTCCTTTTGCAGGCAGTAAAGCATTGTTTGTAGCTCAAACTTTTTGCCCACCTGCAAATATTGGTGTCATTGAGCCCCTGTTTCGTGCAAGGAAGAGGTTTTTGACAACAGACGATATTTTGTGGCAAAGCAGTAGTCTTTATCTAGACGTGCCCAGTATTGCAATGTGCCGGTTAATAGACTTAATTTTATATTCTTGTAGCACATATCTCTATTAAAATACCTCACACCTGTAAATACAGAAAACATTGGCATCTATTAGTATTCGGACTCCAAAAACGCACAATTAGGTACCCTTTTTAATTTCAGGTACTTGGATAACGCATTTCGAAGTTGCTTACGATAACCTCGTATTGATTCATGACTGCAAGCCTCGCTAAGATGCTTGTTAAGATGCAACTAAATTTTCATAGAAATATATATAAGATAGAAATATACCTAAAAAGTATTCATGTTTTTCTTTCTTTCAAACCCGACTATACTATATGACTTTTTCCACTTTCCTTTAGCATTTGAAACCAACAAATATTCTAGCACGTCATGAACCTAAAAAGGCATTTTGACAAGTGTCTTACTCAAAAAACATTTTTCATCCAAATTCTAAGCGCAAAAAGTACTCTGTGCATTCTTATTCTGAATATATATCAGTAACCTACTCCCAGGAACCTTGATGTGACAAATTTTTTTAGAAAACCTTCAATGATGGCCGTCTCAACCATCCTTCAACTTAATTAAATCTGTTTAAATAATTGCTGCCGCTCATTTATTTCGAGTATTTCACCTAATTTTTAGAACGATTAAAGAACATGTGAGGCATTTATTGCTTTGCTTCTGGTTGCAATTTCTTCTTTGGTCTTGCCTTTTTAGCTGTTGATATTATGACAATATGACACATATTCTAAACTATACTATACGCCGATCACATCAATTTTTCCCATGATTTGAATCGGCAGCTTACATAAAAACGTTACCATAGTTTGCCAACTCTAAGCTGATAAAAGGATACAGTGCGGTTACATTGTAGAGGTGAAGATGCAATGCTACGATTAATAATAGGAATTTCTGTTGGACCAAACGTTTTAGGCATAGAAAAAGTGATTTGTAGGAGCCACCATCACAAAATGTTCTGTGTTACCCGAAAAAAGAATGCGAAAAAAGAATAAGATAATGTGAAAAGAGTTTTTGATGAATGTCTATCGCTGCTCAAAGTTTTTTATATACATATCAGCTTTGTCTTCGAAATAATTTTGTCTTTGCAGATAGTGGAAAGGCATTTATAAAGAAGGTTTCACGTGTCAATTAAATCCTGCCTTTCATTTTAAAGGAGTCTTAATAATGCGTACAAACTGTAGAGTCGGCAAGGGACAGTCTGTTTGATTATGCTGCAAAGCATGCCAAAATTACTTTGGGTATATCAGTGGTACAGACATTGCCAGTTAAAACAAATAATTTGCTTTGATGAGATAAACGAACGTAATCAAGGCCGGGGTTAAATGAAATAGCTAAAATCTTGACTCTTTTATGTCGAAGTAAAGAGAGCGACAACTAGAGATTTCCAGGAGGAATAAGCCCATAAAAAAATATCCGAGAGATAAATGGTAAAATTGAGCATCAATCTACCCCTAGTGTATCAATTTAATAACCTAGGGCAAGCTTTCTCGGTAATAATTTGACATTAATGATCTAAAGCTTAAGATAATTAACGATTCAAAACGAAATTCCTCCTAGATGGATGGGAAAAGATGAACCATTCTACGGTAGTTCTATCGCCTTTCAACTGGTTCAAAAAAATTGAATAACTACAGGAATAATTAAAGGGCTAACAGACTTTAATACTCTTGATTTAAAAATTCTAAAAATTTTTTAGCTAAAATCCAAATGAAATTCTAAGAGTCATCTGCGTTTATCTTCTCTCTACTCTAGCAACTCAACGTGAATGAAAAAACTTCAGATCCTTCTTCGAGGAGCAGGTAAAAACGAACTTTTGTTGATTTCACAGGGAATCATTTTGGCTCAAGACCCCAGATGGCACATTTGTAGTAAATGATGACAAGTTGGTGTAAGAGAGAAAAAGCAGCCATGCAAACTGAAATCTGTACGCAAATTATAACCAAAAGCAACTAACGTTGCCATATCGAGACATACTAAAACAATTTTAACACAACTCAATCAATGTCATCTTCGTTTATATCACAATCGTCAAATCCTCTTAGAGCACTGTCAGCTCCGTAATGCAGTTCAGGTTGAGTAAATTTACTGTTTAACTGGTCTTCTTCCGTAGTTTTGTCTTTACCTGAAAGATTGTGGTTTTCTGACCTTACTTGGTTGTCTTGTTCATTGTCACGTGATATATTCTCATATGCAGATTTATCAGCACCCATTTTATGCGAATCTATGCTTGAATTGAATTCAATTTTGTTCTTCACTTCTTTATCTTGAAAATTGATATTCGATTTTTTCATCGCGATTTCGCTAAACAAGGGGGTGATATGTCCATCAATAACTTGCTCCAAGTTGTAACCGCCAGACAACTGCGCTGTATCCTCCTTTTGACAAGGATTTGAATCAATCATCTCCGGTATGGACCGGTGTGCGGAATCCGAGGTGGAATCAACCCGATGCTCATTGAGTGAAGCCGGTTTATCTCCAGAACCGTGATCCTGCTTTCGTGTATATTGCCTCAAATGATCTTTACCTGCAGGGTTTTCCATCGACAAATTGCTATATTCTTTGATACCACTGTCAACAGACAAATGTCTAGTAGGCAATCTACTCTGAGCGGTAGTCTTGTCTTTATTTCCTTCAGTTGCAGTGGCTGAACCAAGAGGAAACGGATAATCGGCCTTTAAATCGTGAGGGGTTTCCCGCATTCGATAAACGAGGACGTAAGCTGAAGGGTCTATCACTCTTTCATCGTCAATTTTCACAACATGATCATCGTCAAAATACCTCCATCCTTGGTAGCAAGCAAATACAGTCAAATAAAAGATGCTTTCAAAGACAAAGTAACGCTCATAACAACAGAAACTACGGCAAAAGCCAAAAAGAAGGCAGTTAAAAAGATCCAGTGCACAAAATTAACGAACAGCTTTGTGTGAATAGCTATTTTTTCATTTGTTATATTGCCAATGAAGAAAATACATCAATGAATTTTGATTCGAAGAAAACTTGTTGAAGAGAAGGGCAATTCAGAGCATCGAGTTGCATAATAATGGATCGATTCACAGGACCCTAAAATGAAGGAAACTTACTAGATATCCAAATATCTGCAAAGAGAAGAATAAAACTGTTGTAGAATTGAAGCCACGCAAAATGAAACTTAGAATTGCCTAAAACATACCGATGTCAGTTTGACCTTGCTGACTAAGACTGCGGACCATGCATGTGTAATGACCGATTCCCATCGACCCTTTGTGACAAATGACTCCAGTCAAATCGTATACAGGAGGTGTTGTCAATAAGCCTCTCGTCTCCTCAGCGATGTATGGGCTCAGGTCCAGACCACTGCAAGACAGATACGTACGCATATTGAATTAGAACTATTGCACGGGGAAATGTAAGAGAAGCAATGTATGATACGAGTATGGTGAAACTTTGCATGCTTGGAAACCAAGGTCTTTCGGTTAGTGTCTGTGCTAACTTATAGCAATAATTCTAATGTCGTAGGTGCTCATATCATGTGCGAAAAAAATTAAAATTCTTCCAATAATTTATCGTTCAAGTAGATAAATAGTTTTTGACTAGATAGTGTTTTTGAACTTTGGAATACAACTCACCCATTACTTAAAATTTTGATGAAACTTGAACGTCGTGAAGCAGTTAAAAGTTCAACGTCTTTGACAACATTGACAAAAGCAAAAGGCAATGCAGGCCAATCAGGATAGAAACGAGATAATTATTAAGGATAAAAAGAGGCTTACCATGCATGCATTCATGAATAATGAGAAGACCGCATGAAGAGACGTTCACAAAGGAAGCAAAGATGTTTACGAAACTTACCAAATAGGATAGCTGATTCCTTTGGTGACTTTTTGCCCGTACGACGCAAACGTGAATCGCTTGAAATGTACTAGAAGAATCGGCGGTGGGTAGCTTAACGCCATTTCCTTCTTGACGGCCTGAATAGACTTGCACTTGGGGCATTTCCTAAGATACAAAAAACAAAATGCTTAAAAAAGGCAAAAGCCAGGTTTGAACCTCATTTTCTACTTCATCCTAGAATCATTTTCTATAGCTATCCTAAATACAGGGGAATATATGATCCACACATCGATGGTGTTATTATAGTAAATGGAAATCAAGAGTATACAACAGAGTCTGACAAAGCAACAACAGCAGTGGTGTCTGTATCAGAAGCGAGGAAAAAGTATTCTTACAGGAAGAACAAAAAACAATGCTCAGAAAGAAACTTGAAATTATTCACCTTCAGTTGCAAGAGAAAACTGTGGTACAAGAGCTTGGCATTAAACCTGGCATTGTTAACAAAGACATTTTACAAAACCAAGGAGGGATCAAGGTAAGTGCAAATAGGAAATATTCGGAAGTAAGACATTAGACAACACGTTTTTTCGTTTAAAAATGCCGGGAATTCTATTGGAAGCAAATCATAACAAACTAGCCTAGAAAAGGCAGCTGAATGGCACTTACCATCCATCTTTTTCATGAAGTCTTTCAGGCTCCAAAAACATTGAGAAGCAGTCCTCGACGGAACATTTATCAGAATCAACGGTTTCATCATCTTGGAGGCTACTCTGACGACGTCTGAATGAAGCATACAAGTCTTTGGTGTCTTTCTCTTTAATATGATTATTTTGCCATTCAATTGCAAAATAGGCAGCAGATAAAACGGTGTCTGCTTTGAAATCGTCACTGGACAGCACAACTGGTTCCTGATCTTGTTTCATGAAAGCTTTAATTATGAACTCGTCACTTGTACTGAAGTTGCAAGCACCCTCAAGCTTCGAGTGGCGCTTCTTCTCATCCTTTCCGCCTTCCTTTGATTTCTGAGTGTTCTCTACAGTTTTTGCTCCTGTGTTCAACGCTCCATCACATTTATGACTCTGTTTCCTTTCTTCAGGTTCGACGTCTGATGGAACTGAGGCTTGTTTTTGACATGCTTCTGAGTCGATGTTCAACGGTCGATTCTTCTCGTCAGACTCCCCAGCATCCCCTTCATCACTATCTTTATCGACAGTAGAAACGGAAAAGCGGGCATATTGTAATGCCATTGCTGACAACGTGTCATATGAAAGCTTCTGCTTTCGCAAAGTTACGAAAAAAGGAAGACCAATCGAGTCCCTCATACCTTTGCGACAATCGCGTCGGTGCAAGGCCCAGTGTTTACTTTGGCAATCCTGACTACAATATGCAATATACAAACAGCGAGCGCACCGTTTCAGTTTAACCTCTAAATCGTTCTGGGACTTGCTACAACTAGCACATTTTCCGGTTTTTGTTGTATTAATGACATTCTGTCTAAATGGTAAAGAGACAGTATCAGCCTCTTTTTCATCTTTTGTTTCACAAACAATGACCTGCCTTGAATTTCTTATTGCTGTAACTGGTGCGTTTTCGTCTACGGTGACACTACAGGATCCGCGGGAATCCTGAAAAACCCGCATGCAATTTGCAGGAATAGAGACAACCCTTTCAAGAATGGTCAAAAAATGCCAAACCTGTGCATGAGAGGATGACACTTGCAGACGAATCCTTTCAGGTTGTCGGGTTGGATCTCTAAAGAACATGATTACATGGAAATACTGTTTTGACATGGCGATTGGAAGGGAAATTTGCCCACAGGCTTCATAGGTTGTGGATACCTGCAAGATGAAGAAAATTCATGGAACTGAATAAGAAATAAAGAAGTAAAGAATCTTAAATGAGCATTTTCGTTCTAAAACACAAACCACAATAGTCAGATGCAATGAGTGTTTTTCTAGATTAATATCTTTGAGCATCAAGACCTGTCTCTTCAACTGTCAATATTTTACAAAAATGCACCAAAATGCATCTGCCGTCTGCCATTCACCTCGAATTGCGATATAATCTACGTCATAAACACACCTTGCGACAGGCTTGGCATGTAAGTTTTGAAACCATCTGTCCATGGAACATTTTCACTATGACTGAGTTATTCCTTCTGAAATGATCTTCCCAAGCAGTGTCTGCTTTCTCATTTATGGCTGGGCCATCTTCATCTTTGCTGGCACTCTCGTTGCTTCTCTCTGGCCTACTGCCCTGGTTCATGTCCTAAATTGAATTTTAAAACAATTTCAGAAGCTACAAAAAGCCCTTCTCTGAATTCCTGTATTTTTCCTGCTTCATTGAGTACTTTTCGCAACAAGCTTATCAAAAGAAAACTGATAAAAAATTTTTCGATTAAAATAAATCATTTCGCTCTTTTTCATAAAAACCAGTAAATCTAAGTTCAGGCTGATTGTTCTCAATTTTTTCGAAAATCTGAGGCTGGATTATTCTTAATTTGCTCTTAAATTAACAGGGTGTAAGCAGTGCAATTGCTAGCTTTTTCGCTCAAGGGAGGTATTCAGGCCTCATTTGTCAACAAAGTGAACGAGACAGCCTTCATTTGCCGACAAGTTTGAATATTCACCGAAAAAGCACCCACATATGGCTAAGTATTCTCGTTGTTTAGATGAAACTTGTTAAAATTGCATTTTACAGTAGCTCAGGCTCAGCTTGTTCTTAATTGGTTCTTAACTTTTGACCAATTTTGAGGCTCGTGTTCTTATAAAATTGTTCTTATAAAAAGAAAGAGTGCAGATGACAGATATCTATAGAGCACTGAAAACAATATCTGAATACCTCATGTAGATTGTCAAGAAGAGTGGCAAAAAACTCCTGGGCATCACATTGTTGGAATCCCATGAACAGACTGCACCTTTTACCCATGATGTGCTGTGTAAGAAAAACACTACACTCGTAAGCATTGCGGCATTTACTCAAGACATTTGAGTGGCTGTCAAATCAGGTTTAAAAAGATACATCTACAGAACATTTGCTTCAATTTACAGGAAGCCATGCTCTCGATTTTAGTTGTACTTGTGGATACTAACTGAATTCAAATAGACAAAGACAATCTAGCCAGCTTGCATAAAATTAGTGGCGACGACGAGTGCAAAATTATGAAAAACATCTCAGCCTCTAAGAAACCAGTTTAAAGTTAAAACACAAGAATGAACGAAAATTTTCGAAACGTACAACTTTTTAGGATGTTTAGGTCCCCATGGGTAAATTATGTTAAATGTATAAAAAGGGAGCATAAATATAAATAAATCGGTAATTTCGAGGCTGAGACGCCGCCTTGCAGTGTCCTGTCATTTTTAAGTGTACTCAACTTTTTACATATTTCAGACGTAAAAAGGGATGTCTCAGATTAGGGTAACATAACTCTGAAGCATAATAGTAAAATTTGATTTTATTTCGGCATATACTTTCATTTTAGCAAAAACAACATGATTAATTACTATCAACTGATATCCATATTTGCTTCTCAGGGTTTCTAGTTTACAAATAGCAGCCATCAAAATGTTTTCCTTTTCTTACAAAAATGGCCACCAAAACCTTTCGCTTGAATAATGTCATAGCGTTATTACATTGCACAATATTTTACGTATTCTGAAATTAACTGCTTGTAGCAAATGGATTTTAAAACATATATTTCTGTTAGAATGGTTGCCCTGCTACCTTATCATTGGTCAAGTATGTCCTTAACCTTTTTCTATCAGATCGGACATTAGTGCGCATTTACAATAAAATCAAGTAGATTCACCTTCAGTGCTTGTGGTCGCACAACAGTCTTTCTTTCACAACACCATAAGGCCTTGATCACTTCAGCAAATGCTTTAGCAACATTGCCACCAGAGCCCATTGGATTCTGCGTGTTCAAGGAATTCAAGAAATGATCATCTAAAACAGAAATGGCTAAAATCAGAGATGAATAAACAGCATGAAAGAGCAGAGCAAACAACTCATATGGGTCAAAAAGTCATCTTTTTCATTTCTGTCAGACAGTGATAACAGTAAGGCTATGAGCCTGGACTACCTCAGGCATTAAATGAATTACATCAAACACCTTAGGTTGGACTTATTCATTGATAGTTGTAAATTAATTCAAACCGAATGCATTTAAGACAAAACAGCAAGAAACAGGTCCATTATGTCAATAATAGGTCCATTATGATGCAAAAACCTTCGATATTTTACCAGAGCTACTTTGAAAGGGTTATTGCCCACAAAAATGGAAGATATTTTGATTTGCACATCAAACATGAATTAAATGCATTTTCAGCACACTGAACTTCAAGAGTGAAAGGACTGGATACTAGCCCAAGTGAAAACATAAATTAATTTGCACAGGAAAAGATAGTATAATTAAAGGGCACAAGCGTGGATAGAAAGTATAACTCAAGGGCACAGGCGTTCTTGCCCTTGTCAGAATGCAAAAGCTGTGCCATTAAACAAAATATGAGCAAGCATATTCCATGATAACTTACCAGCAAAATACTCCCGTATCTCTGGGATATTAGCAAGAACTTGGATAACTACATTCATGTAGCAGTTATTAGCATAATTTTCAAGGCCTGTTAGGCCAGCAGTTACAGTTTTGTTTAGATTTTTCTGAATGTTAATTTCTTTTGTTGTAGAACTAGCTTGTGGCTCACAAACTGCAGTTGTTTCTTTATCCACTTTGGTCTCTTGGTCCCCACTCTTCTTTGAGAATGGAGTTGATTTTCCCCCTAAAAGCATCATGTTTTCTGGGGAACCAAATTGTCTTCCTATACTGTCCTTTGATTTTCCTGCCATTGGCCTGTTCTTCAATGGTAGCTCATCTGCAAGCGCATCTTTTGTATCTTGTATTTTCCTACTTTCATAACATTCATTCTTATTATTGCTGATTTCACACAATTTGTTAACAGATTGTTGGTTGTCAGCATCACAAGCCTTTTTCCTGTCTGTCGAAATGAAATGATAAATTTAAAAGGCTTCCAATATAGGCAAACATTAAAGACCAAATTTTCAGGCCAACATGAACATTTCAGGCCAAGTATGCCCAATCCTAAGGCCCTATTGATGCAAAAGAGAGGGGGGGATTTAAACCAATTATGTAATTAAATGGTCTAACTAAATCTTCAAAAAATGGGTAAAAATGTTTTGGGAATGTTTATAATTGGTTGGCATAGACAATACCTGTTACAGCCTTCCTAGATTCAAGTGATACCCAGTGACCTGGAATTGCTTTCATTAGCTTCAATTCAATGCGTGTCTTAGAAACAGAAAACGAGCATTTTTCTGGAACGATTCTTGCACTGAAAAGAATTCAAAAGATAATATATCAGTTAAGGAACCACAGTTTTTTGAAGAAGTACAATATTACATAAACTTTAGGGGAAACTTGTCAAATTACAGAGTTCTCTACATACACAGAAAAACACTAAATTTACAGCAATTAATTTTTGTAAAAGGCTTTAGGATATTCTGTTTAAGAAAGCCAGCTTTAGAATTTGTTTCAATTTACTTTTCTGAGATGATCTAAAGTTGACCAACTATCATATCTGATAACTGACATACATAATGAAATCTTGTTATCTTCATCAATACTTTAATAAAAGCTTACAAAAAGACAAATTTTGATAAGCAACTTGGATATTAGGATGAAAGCCACTAAAAAATTGCCAAATTGGAAATAGAATATTGGTACCTCCAGCCCATAGATCAATGCCAATTTTTAGGGTCAATAGTGAACACTCTCTGCACAGTGCCATAAAATTTATAACAATGTACTTTCAATGTACTTGGCATGTACTATGTGCTAAACAGTCCTGACTAAGTGACAAGAGTAGCATACAACAACCTTGCATATCAAAATCTAAGATTGTGCTTACTGAATTCAGTAAAAACGGCAAAAGAAGAAGAAGAAGAAGAAGAAGAAAAAGAAGAAGAAGAAGAAGAAGAAGAAAAATAAGAAGAAGAAGAAGAACAAATCCGTGGGTCAATGGTACAAGTCAGTAAAATGACCAAACTTTCACTTATAGTGAGATGAGTCCTGGGCTCTCTATCATCTCTGTCATAGAACTCAGTGTGGGTCTTTGTTCCACACTCTTAATTATTTAGTCAGCAAGAACAATTCAAACTAATGGTTAATACTAAAAGTCTCATTAGTTTTAATCAGTTTTTGCTGACAAAGCAATTCAAATTAGATCCTTTTACACACACTTTGTTTGTGTTACACACACAATTACACACACAAATTTTCAAGCAACATTTGGTATAACTAAAGCCGGAGTCAACTGTCCTGCCCTGTGTTGATCATCAAATGTCTGTCATATAAAAACTCTGTAGCCCTGCAAACCTCAAACTTGTTTTGTCTGTTATCAACTTGTGCAAGATTACTTTCACAGCCAGACAAAAGATGCTTAGATGGAACAAAATAATGCATCGTGAGATTTCTGAATTTCAAAAATGGCTACATAGCCATGTCAGAACAATTTTAGAATCTATGTCAGAAAACCATTGCATTCAATACAACTAGATAGCCTTGATAAATTGTGGCAGGAAATAATTAGAAAACAATGTGCCCATTCTTTGTGAGCTTGCAAGAGGATAGAACTAAACTTCTTCCATATCAGAAGTCTTTGCAAACTAAAATGCCTTGAACTAAGAGAAAATTATTCCTTGAATTTTATTATTCATGTTAATCAGACTAGAAGTAATTTAACCATTTTGCATTCATTAAAACATAATGACAACACTTCTTTTCATGATAAACAAAAATCACATGAAAACTTTAACAGTAATCATTTATCTGAAACAGTAATCATTAAAAAGTAAATGTGAAGCATTATTCTTTTCATAAACAACTTTTGATTATGGGGATGACAGAAACACACAAGAAACTTTAAGTAGAAACACATGAGAAAAGGAAGTCCTTTCCCATGGCAAATACTTATAATGTTCATTGCATAAAAGAAATATATATTTTGGTTTTTGAATTAATGGCATTGTTGACAAAGATTTTCCATTTTGTTTCAAAAAGCTCAAATTGCAAAAGGGATTAAAATGGCCTCCTTCAAAGTAATAATCAAGCCCCTTATTATTCAACGGCACTTGATTTATCTCTTTCAATTCTAGATTGATTCCAACAAGACAATTTGGCTTCAAGACATTAATGTTGCTCCTTCTTCTAGCCCTAGAGAAAATTGGTTTTTATTTTGATGTGTTTTACCAGTCTTGTCCACCGTAATGGGTCAAGGTAATCATTTAGAAGAGCTGTTGTGACGACACTTGAAAGCAATCAAACATGCTTTCAAGTGTCGTCACAAATGACCATAGTATGGGCTAGTATAGTCTAGTAAATTTCATTCCTACATCTAAGGCTGCGGAAACCATTATTATACAACAATTTGCAATCATTTTCTAGCCCGTTGTTTGAGAAAACTAAGTCGCATTTTTTATCATGGACCTGCATTAGCATGCACATGTTTCTAAAATAACATTTTCGAATGATAAAATAAGCTGCATTTTTAAACAAAAGGCTTCCAGTTTAGATTTGAGCCTCATTTATTCTGATCTACACTCCTAAATTTGGTGTCTTATGCAAAAAAAGCAAAGGAGTCACAAAGGATCTTGTCATATTCCTGAAATTGGGCAACGCTATTTAAGCCCACAACAAAAAGCGTGCGAAATACCTTATCATCAGGCATCCATCATTCAAAGGAGCTACAGTTTTTATGTAAAAGACTTTGCCGAAGGCCCATGCTAGAAAGTTCCCTTTCTGTGTGCTATTTGTTTTACACTAGTGATATCAGGATCCAGTTCCTACTGCAAGCTGGGTTAAAAATAACGGGAGCACAATGCAATGCAAAACAACCCTCCACATAGGGGCTTACACAATATGGCATATTTTCCTGACTAGAATGTCCTGTTCTGCCACAAATTAAGCAATGTTGTATTGTTTTCATATGAAAACGGAAAAACTTGGAAAGCGGCAGGTTGTGACAAAGGCATGAAATTTTTAAGGGTAACACTTGGAAACAAACCGCTCTGGATCCAAAGAGAGGGAAATCTGCAATAGTATTGTTCTGAAACATTTTGTGCCATTATCAAATTGTGCCGTTTTCAAATTTTGCTGTTTTCAAAACTGTTTTCATATCCCTTCAGATGAGACACAACTGAAAGTTGGGGCCAAAATATTAACATTTTTCAAGGGTTTCATGAAGACTGCCACAATCATTGGTGGTAAGAGGGATTGCTGGGAACTGCATCTGAAATATTTTCAGTATCAAATTTAGTAAAGATCCCTGGCAATAGTCTTAAGCTTTTCTTTATTGTTATGCCGCCAGAGATATCTATTATTAAAGTTGTGTGACATTGAAGAAATGACTTAAGAATGGGGGTTTTTAAGGCTCCATAAACTATCTAATTAAACCTTTTGAAGAAATAAGACAAACACCAGTAGCACCCCATCACAGACCTGAAAGAGTCTAGGGGTGCGACATGCCAAAATTGTGATAACTTATTCCAGGAAGGCCTGAATTATGTCATTGATGACTTCATTGTACAGAAATCTGTATATTTGTAAAAATTTAATAATAGCAATTAAGTTTGATCAAATCATGAACAGCCTTCATTGAACTTAATTGACAAAATCTGTTTGGCCCCCAGGATGATCGATTAATTAAACAGAAGAAATTAATCAAATCTAGACACCAGTTATGACTCTGGAAACATTTCAAAAGGCAAAACTGAAATAAATAAAACAAATACCTTGTGTGAATAGAATATGAGAATGCTGTAGGCTTGCAACCATCGATTTTGGGTCCATGAATTTTGTAGAATTGCTCATTTCTAAAATTAACAAAAAATTGATAGAATCTGTTCAATTTGAGGTTGGCATAGCACATGAAATTTGAAATTATAATGACAACTGATTTCTAAACATGAAAACAAGGAGAAGTTGATCTTGTTGTTAGATAACATAACATAGATTATGCAAAAAACAGTGACAACTAATACTAATGAAGATGGAAAAAATAACTTAGATCATTATTATTCAGAGATGAATTTCAACTTAATTTGTAATGTTTGAATAAAGCTTTTGACAGTGAGATGTAAGTTCCAAGTTAAGTTTAAATAAATAGATTTAAATTAAATCTTTTTTTCTACTAAAATACCTATTCAGATTGTTTCCATGTGGTATGTTAGAAAACCTGCAGTGCAAAAATTTGTCTCAAAATTTTTCATTGATACAATTTTTGCATATTCTTTAAACTAGACTGAGATAAAACAAAGAAAACAAGAACAAACAAAATGGGTACCTTGTTTGAAAGTAAATTCCCAAAAATTCCTCTTCAAAATTAACTTTGCAATGAGTTACATCTTTCACATAGACATGAACCTCTATCACATCATTTCCCTAAAAGTGCAAATGAAAAAATAAAAATAACAAGAATCACAGGCAAATAAATTCTGTAAATTTAATATGTTTATTTTTGCCACAAAATATATCTTTGTTTAAATTTTTAGCCATAATTAGATCTGTCTAAGGTGACCATTTTTCAACTGATGATCGAATTTAGCAAACTACATGACATGAAAATGGAAAAATAGCTCTGCTATTCATATAATAACAATAAAAGAAAAAGCACAAATGGGTGAAATAACAGACGGTAAATATATAATGATATAATTGATATACGGACGGAAGCAGTGGAGTTGTCTTGTTCATCAACGAGCTAACTACAACTTAATAAAATCAAACTTGCCTTTGAAAACCAATCATTTTTCATAAAATTCAAGGGCCAATGTTCAGCTGCTGTGAAGAAAAGGATCGAAAATTATCAAAAAATCAAGACATACATTTAGGCCTGATGCGTGACGCAGGATATCAAATCTGCAACATACTCCCAATTGCAAACACCTTTTCTAGGGTTAATACACTCATTCCCCTCATTTTAAAAAGGTGATTAAAATCGAACTTGCGGGATGAAGCAAATACATGCAGAAATGCACTTTGTGCACTGCGATGTGCACTTTTTGTTTGAGAAAAATTTAATCTCTTGCTTAGCCACAAGATATAAATCCTTTTAGGAACTGTAATGCATATGGCAGTTTTTGTAACAAAAGAAAGTTAAAGCAGCGCTCTGGTGAAGTTTACACCCACCATTTCCTTACCTTCAACGTTCTCCATCACGATCACGTTCCTATTGCAAAACGCAAGAGTAATGTCCCACCATTACATTTTTGATTTCTGTTCATTTCTGTGTGACGTCACTAACATTTGCGCATGCTCATATTGATCTTATCCCGTGATTCTTGGAAAACTACGGGAACCATTTCCAATTTCATTCACTTGCTAAAGCAACACCGTTCAGCCAGGGACATTCCTATCCCCTTGGACTGATTTTATCGGGTTTGCTCATTTGACATTAGTTGCTCGTCAATTTAGAACGACCTATTACAATTTGTGTCATCTACCACAAACGTTGCTTAAAGTTGAAAAAGCCGTGAAAATAAATACGCTTGATCAGTCTGCAACTAGTAATTTCTGTGATGCAATATCAAATATTTTCATGTTAGTTATTATTAGCATCTTTACAGTTGTAATTCCAATATGTGAAAACCCTCATATTATGGCTAATTCATTCCATGGATTATAAAGAAGTCATCATTAAGTAGAAAATATTTGGGAGCTGAAGGGAACTTGCAAATCATTGAAAAAATTGAAACCCCACGCAAGAAATATTGGAAAATACGTAACCGAATATCAAATGTTCAAGAGCATTTGATCCAACAAAAAACCTAGAAAATAAAAAGGCGTATCCAATGATTCATAACAGAGGCGTTGCCGGCCCGAAGACTTGGGGGTAAAAAAACAAAAGTTTTTGGGCAGAGTTGCTGAGAAAAGATTGACTATGACCACGCCTCTCAGACAACTGGAAAAAATTGGAAAAAGTTAAACTCTTTATACATATATACCACTTATACTGGAATGAAGAGGTCTGTGGGCACATTTCTAGTGTTGGCTTTTTGCGATAACATTATTAAGATAGGTTATGGCCATTGAAAAGTTTAAATGATATTTCTTTATCACTGCAAACAACTTTCACCCTAGCTACAACTCTCGTTTGAAATCGCAATCCAAAGTTGCCTACGCCGTAGGAAGTTATGATGTATATGGAAAATTTGCTTCTATTCAATTGTTATCAAAAGTCATACCTGCTTCTTACTTTGGGGGTCGGTGAGAAATGACAATTTTTTATAATTAAATGGCGATGTTGTAACTAGTTTGTGGACCTCTGCTCTAATGAAATATCCATTCCTACTTTCATTAACATCAATCTATGCATTTTTGCAAGATGGTGAAAATAAATAAACCAGAAAAGCTTTGGCAGCATCGCTCAGGACTACTCTGATCATTCAAGCATTCAAAGAAAATAAAAGGAAAGGAAATAAACAAAATTAAAAAAAACCAAAAAGGGGCTTGTTTGGAAAAATTGTGTTGTATCGTACAAACTGTTACCTTTTATAACAGGGAATATACACCAATCGCATAAAAGCAACTTCTAGGATTGCATAAGTTAGATCATTCAATACAGAAAGAATCAAATCTGTACGCAGAAAATTTTCGGCATGGAGCGATAGGTTTTCCCTAAGCAACTTGTTCTGATAACGCCCTTTAGAGTACCACAAATGAATCATCAGACTTGATTGGTGCCTAAATATCGATGTTAGATTTATCTGATTTAAGTTTATTCGAAGCTGTTGAAAAATTAAGTGTTATTCAAAATACATAAATTATCAATAGAAGGAAACATTAGGTTTTGTAGATGGTTAACCTGCTCCCTTCTTGAAAATAATACTTTTTGGGTACATGCAAAAAGTCTGTAGGGTTGTGTAGCCTCCATCCAACCCATCAGAGAGTTTTATTCTTTTTGAAGTTATGAACTCAGTCTCACTTACTTACAGTTACTAATCTTGTATCTAGATATAGTTTAGTATATATCTGAATTTTTCTTTGTCTTACATCCTATTTCAACAAGATGTCACTCGATAGATAGACATAACTATCAATGGAGACAAATGCCCCTGATTTTTGAGGAACTTGACCCCCCAGCTGTCGTAATTTAAAAAGGCTTGCGTTGTAATATCAAGCTTTGAATTAAGATATCTAGATTGATGGCTCATATGACACTTCATTTTTACAATGCACCATTGAAGCGCAATGGGCAAAGATTATGTATCTAGATATTGTCCTGAATCTTGAAAATTAATTAATCTTGTTTTGAGAAAGTTTGCCTGCATATGCCACACTCGGTATAAAGATCATCGATTATAAAAGGGGTCCCTGTGTGATTACGAGATTCTCCTTTGTTTTGGGAATTTAGAAATGGGCTTTCTTCATCTTAGTCGGGCAAAGCTCCCTAGCCCTCCTTTGTTCTCAGGCCTTGGGTCTTGCCAGATGCTTTCACTTTGGCTCTTTGCTTTCTGTTAAACTTTTTTAAAATGTCTCGATGTCACGGGACTGATGACGTCATTTAACGGTAAAAAATGTCACCTGGCAGATTATGAAAGCCTGGACTCCCTACTACAAGAATCCGTTGAGGAAGTAATATAAACATTAGCTTGAATGTCAGATTGTCAGCCTATATGTCCTGTCTATGTTGTTTGAAGGGAGCATTATCGCAGCCGGTCACTCAACTTCCCAGCGGCGGATCAAGCAAAACAAATAAACCAAATTAATCAGCACAAAAGATTATTCAAATAAAAACACTTTCAAGTCAGATCGAAACTAGTATCCTTTCCAGATGTTCACTTCCCCTTTTTATGTCGTTTCGTATCCATATAAAGCATTTAATTCTATGTATTGTCTTTCAGTTTCCAGGGGTTAAAGAAGAGTTTTCAACATGTACAATGAGCTAGCAACAAATTTGATTGATTTTTCAAGTCCCTTCCAAGTAACCTAACAGTTCAATATCTTAACAGTTCAATGTAACTCTTCATAAATGCCACAGAGCCTTTATGCACGATCTTTTCCCTTATCGCCAAAAAACGGAATTCGATGACGTCATCTCACGTTTTGTCATACATTCCTAGTCACTAGTCATCTTAGATCTGATACTCTTGCCACGTCGCTGCCAACTGGAGGATGATTGCGCAGACGAAATGACTTCCACTTCTGCACTTGTATTGCGATTGCCATGAACACCTCGCACGCGCACTTTGGCATCAATGTTCTCTGACCGGTGTGAACCGAACAGCACACTCAGGACCATTACAAGGAACACCACTGCCACTAAAGTGGCAACAACTGGAAGCTCCCTCCTACACCATTTTTCAACTTCTTTTTCAGAGAACATCTCGACTGACCAATTTCAAAACCAAACTGACGATTCAGTTCGATTCGGTTATATCGTTTCGGGATGGCCAGTCAATGTGGAGTGAAATCGAAAGCAAGGCTGCAATTACACAATAAAATGAAAGCGAAATGGAATGGTTTTTATTTATGGTGAATGGCAGCGGGTCTCTGCTATGCAGGTCTCACATAATTACCTACACTTGACTCCAACAACAAGAAACTGCGTTTGCTTCTCGGGCAAACGAAATTTAGAAAAGAAAAAGGAAACATACGTACGTTGTTCACATGCTTTTCTGTTTCAGAATTTCTCAACTATAGTATCTTAAATCCTGACCATGAAAAAATACCGAATTATATCCCCCCATATCTGTATTGTTCTCCATACCGAACTTTTAGGGCGTGAACTAAGTCCCCCTAGTTTATAAAAGGTCTGCGAGTTGTATTGTCAACAGTGTGGCAAGAGAAAAACAACAATATTGCTCTTTCGTACATAAGTTCAAAATCTGTTCCATCCGTTAATTAATAATCTCATTGCTAGGTGTTACAAACTTACATTAAGATAAGAGATGAGAGGAACCCTTGTAAAACCTCCATCCCACCCCCTATCATAAGTAGCACTAACTGGACCCTTGAGGGCTCAATACATTCAAGAAATTAACAGCCTTTTTCTTCAATAAAAGGCTAATGAAACCCGAGGAAAAACCGTTAGATGGACTCCAGGAAAAATGCCTACCTGCAAAAACTGCTAAATTATACGTAGGGACACTTCTTTGAAATTCCAAAATGAAATGTTCGAAATGAATCGACATCTTGCAAATTAGTAACCACAAAACACGATATGACGTCGTAATCATCGATGGTAATAAGACATTTTAGATAAAGGAGACACTACGATAAAATTACAACTAAACGTTCCCACGACTAGTATTACAAGAATTATTCACATAAACATCTCTTACAAATAATAAAGTCACATCAGAGCACAGCTTCATACATACCACCCTCTACCGTTTTTTAAAGATTTCCTCTACACGTTAACTTAAGTAACTCAAATCTTCCTCTTCGTCTTGGTAGTGTTTCCACATCCCTCCTTTCACTAAATCAAATTACATTGAGCCTACATACTTAAAATGTAAATTGCTACAACGAATTGTCACGTTACGAGATACAAAGAGCCCTGTTCACAAACATTTAGACAGGGTAATGACAATGCAATACAATCTAAATCATCTCCACAAGTTTTGTGCAGTCAAAAATTTTAACTTAGTGACCTTCAAAAATATACAATCTCTGCCAAAAGTCCTTGGAACAACGAGTTGCTTAAGAACGATGTTGAAAAATTTCTGTTTCCGACAAAAAAGACAGACACAGCACCCCTTCTCCCCAAAACAATGTTGGTTGTAGAGGTGAATATCTTAGTTATCTGAAATGAGGCCATTGGGCAACACCGAGCCTCTTAACTTCACATACAACAACATTTTTCAACGGGAGAGAGGGGTGCTGTGAATGAAGCAGCATAAAATATTCAAAAATTTAATGTATTGTAGCAAGCCTTTTGGCAGGCATTGTAGATTTTAAGACAGGTAATCTTCTTTGATGGGGTACTTGGGCACTAGCGGGGTCTTTTCGTGTTTAGAAATGACATTTTAGCAAGCTTAATAACGCCGATCTGGTTAAGGTTTTGGCGTCATCCAACTGCATTTAATAACATATCAAAAATAATAAGATGTGATTCCCTGTTAATCTAAATGAACCAAATTAATGCCATTACACAAGAATAACTTATAGGATGCAATGCGAACTCAACAATCTACGAAACGTTCAACGTGCAATATCGCCTACGACCGGATCTTAATCGAATACTCTACTACTAAATTTATTTTTTTAACGCCTGACAGGACCAGCACGCTCTCGATTTTTTTGCCCCCGTGTGTTATCACTTCGACCCTCCCCAGTGTTCATGCCCCCGCGTGGCTTTTGTTGACCCGCTTGTCCTCCTCTTGGTCTATCTCTGTTCGCAGGGGGTTGTCCCTGACGTCCTCCAACTGCCCCATTCCGCGGCCCTGAATCGTTTCGTGCCTTCCCAATAAAATCTCGACGAGGGCCTCCGCGAGAGAGAACGGACCCACTTGCCCTCTTCTCTTCAACATTGATTGTCACCTTTCCAAACAAAATCGGCTGAAACACGAGAGCATAGAGTAATCAAACAGGGCACTGAGATATCGTAACAGTTGTCAGGAAATAACAGAATATTTATAACAAGGCGGAAATAAGGAAAACACTGGTTAAAAAAAGCAAATTTGAAAAAAGAATACGGGAGCGAAAAAGGTTAGCAGAAGTGTGAGTAAATGGTAAGCACAAACGGTAAAAATGGACCAAATGACCAAAGAGCAACCGGCTGTGATGTCTTTGGTACAATTCATATTTAAGAAACTCTTTACCTTCTCCTTCTTTAGAATCTTCTCAGCTGGTTCTGGCGCATCAAATGCAACGAAACCAAAGTTCTAATAAAAAATAAATTAGCAATGTTATATTTAGCATTGAAAATTTGGATTTTAAAGAAAATGAAATCATTTTGTAAAAGAGACAAGAAAGAGATTGTCTCGTGATACATACCTTTGGGTTGAGTCTGACCTCCACAATGTTGCCATACTCTAAAAAGCAAGATTGTAGTTTTTATGTTGTTGTTCCAAGGTTGAGGTATAATGAAAAGTGACAATGAGAAACATAAAGGAGTTGATAGAACGTTTAAAAGGAAAGAAGAGAAAAAATTTGAAGTAGATCTTTTATACTGAAGTAGATTACGTAAAGACTTTCACTAAAAATTAGATCCCTTTTTAGCGTCAGGTAGGCAATATACGGTGTAATTCCATCAGGCACAAACAACGATGACCACAGAAAGCTCTTTAGACTCCGCTAATAATTATCAAAACACTTTGCTCCTACCTTGGAAGATCTCTCTAACGTCCGCCTCTGTGATATTGTTTGGCAAGTTTCCAATGAAAATTTGGTGGTTGTCGGGGGGCGCGCCACTGAACTTTCGCCTGCCGTCATCGCGAACTTCTTTCCGCGGTAGTTCTTCACGACGTCTTTGCGATCTTTGCGGCAGCGGTGCAGTTTGTGGAGAGGTCTAAAGCAAGCAAAGTTTATTGAGGATTAAGGGATAAAAATGGAAGCATCTAGTTTAATTACGGATTTATATCGGTGGCAACAACTACCAATTATCTTTTTCAATCACACACAGCTTTTAGAATAACTGAAATCCAATAAAAAATATACAAATTAACAAATAAAGTCATTCCATTTGGCTTTCAGAGCCCCTTCAGCCAATGGAGAAACCATTTTCCTAATGTCAGAAAGGTCATTATGAAGGCAATTGAAACAATTAAACCAAATAAAAGATAACGTCATTGTATAACTGTATCATAAATAATTGAAAACATTATTAAAAGGAAATCTCAATTGAAAATAAACTCGAGATTTCTGTAAACCTGAGCCAAGATATCATTTAAAATAGAAGTGATATGTAACAGGTCCTACTATCAAACCCTAGTCATTGAGCAGTGCTCTGCTAGTGTCAGCGAAAACCTGTTGGTAATCTGGCATGCAATATACGCTCAATAGTCACGTGGTTCATATCGAGTTCTAGCAGCATGCACCAATTCACGGCGAACTTGCTAACTTTTTACCAAATTTACAATATCGGATTTAATGAAACACTATTTAAAAAATAAGAAATTTATGTCATGAGATACAAATGCACGCAAAATAATACACACCTCTACTTGTTGATATTTCACTAACGCGCATATTCTTTTAACAATTCAAGCAATGCGATTATGATCTTAAAACAGATTTGCAACGAAAATCGAACGAGAAATTAGGACTTGAAATAAATTTATGTAGGTATTGACAGATTAAATGAATAATCTTACCATACGCAAGCTTAGATTGGTGTGGTTTTGTGGTGCAGTAGTTTGAGATGTTTTTGTTAGACCGCTTACCTGTGGCTTGACAACTACAGGCCTGGAAACACTGGCATTAGCAGAAGGCGGTGAAGTAGCAGGGGTGTTCTTCTTGGCCAGCGCCGCCCATGTGACTAAAAATCAATAACGTTAAACAGATTAATATCATTTTACAGTAACCATTAAGCATGGTTGTAATTGTGTGGCAGTGTAATGCCAAGCGGTAATTGTAAGAAAGAAGAAACGTCAATGTAGACATGAATATACGAGTCTTTCTCAAATATAAAGACAGTAGCTTAACGAGAGCAAGAAAAGTATGTAAAAGAAATTCACCTTCTTTCAAAAACCTCACAAAGTAGAAGCTTGGAAGAAATAATTCAAGAAAATGCTAGGGTTTATAAGGAGACGTAGGACTTTACAGAGCCCCATCCTAGACCACAACGACCTCAGTTGACTGCCTTGACAAGACATTTGGGTCTAAGAACTCGGGTTTATTGGAAATTAAATTCAAGATAAATCTATTGCTTTCCTACCTGGTTTAGCAGGCCCCTCCGGCTCATTGGATTCATACAGCATTACATCTTCACTCACAGTTTCAGAAGTGACAGCATCTGGTTTTTCTTCCTCACTTGCAACTTCTTGATAAATAGAATTGTCCTGTGGGGCTATATCCTCATTTGATGCCTTTTAAAAGATTAATAAAGCTGGTAAAAGGTTAACAAATGAAAGAGCTGCTTAGTATACGTCACATCAAGAGCAACACAAAACCTGTGTCCATACTTCAAACAAATAAAGTCATTCCGTCAGGCTTTCAAAGCCCCTTCAGCCAATGGATAAACTATTTTTCTAATGTCAGAAAGGTCATCATGAAGGCAATTGAAACAATTAAACCAAATAAAAGATAACGTCGTTGTGTAATTGTATCATAAATAATTGAAAACATTATTGAAAGGAAATCTCAATTGAAAATAAAACTTGAGATTTCTGTAAACCTGAGCAAAGATATCATTTAAAAGAAAAGTGATATGTAACAGGTCCTACTATCAAACCCTAGTCATTGAGCAGTGCTCTGCTAGTGTCAGCGAAAACCTGTTGGTACTCTGGCATGCAATATACGCTCAATAGTCCTGTGGTTCATATTGAGTTCTAGCAGCATGCAGCCCCATCAAAGAAAAATTAAATGCCCATAAATGCCATATATGGTAAATTGGAAAACAAAAGAATAAATTTCTATTGACCAAGTGAATGATATTTACATCAAGATTTTGTGTATTTAGAATAAATGTTGACGTAAGTTGGCAATGTCACCCAAGATTATTGTGAGCAATCTATCACAATGAGAAAATCTTTGAAAAAGAAAAACCGCTAAGTATTGCTTTAGCAGTAGTTAAAAGGAAGAGTTGTAGCACTAGGAGCTACTACCTCAGAATCCAAATGTGGCTGGCTGGCATCTTTCACTTCAGTTGTAAAGTGGCCTGCAGTATCATCAACAACCTGCTCTTCTTCCATATGGTGATGACTCCCATTGGTAAAACTAAAAAATTTAAAATTTATATAAAATAATCAGACCCTTGAAAATTAAAATCTTGAAGTTTAAATCTAAGAAGTTGAGAACTTTTGATTTAATAACAAACCTTTGCGGTATTGAAGTTTCACTATCAAAATGATCAGCTGCCTCTGAAATTAGACCAGCTTCTTCAATAGAAGCAGTCTCACTTGGTAGAGCTGGCTGCTCGAAAACTGAAGTAACAACTTCATCTTTAGTCTCCTCATCATCTGCTGAGCCTGCCAAAATGGTAATAATTACAATTCAACACCTACATTGACACAGTGAATGTATTTCTCTAATAGATAACTAGTTTTTATAAACATATACATTTGTGATGAATCAAATTCATTTAAAGATCCAAAATGATGCAACATATGCTCCAAAATTTTTGTTCAATGCTGACACTGCGTGTTGAATAAGAAAGCAATTTTTCTCAGCTAATTATCACAAGTTACTTCTTGAATTGATTAAGAAGAATCAAACTGTTAAAATTTGATTGCCTTTGGTTTTTTGTTCAAATGTACAGACAATGGGTTTTATTGACATGCATAGCTTAAAACAGTTTAATTCAGGACCAAAAATATATCAAATTGGAACTTTGCCTCTGTATGTGTGGCATACAAAAACACAAAGTAGGCCAAAGGAAAGTCTCCAAAAATATACTAAATTGCGTGTGGTACAATATAATGCTATAATAACAATCAATGTAAGTAAATTATACCAGGAAATTTTTTTTAAAAATAAATAAATTATTTTATTTGTTATTTATTTTAAAAACATTATTCCTGGTACAATTTACTTACATTGATCGCTATTATTGCAAACGAAAAGTGGCTTCAAACCGTATTGAAACACAATAGAAATACAATAGTAATGACTCATTTGCTTTGTCTAGGCTTTCTTGCTCTTGTCAAAGGTGGTCTGGTTTCAAACAGTAGACTAATTCAACCAAGAAACGGAGAGCAAAAGGGGAAAAGGGGAAAAGGGGAGAAATATCAAGAAGTTAGACTATCTTAGTTCTTGACAGGCAACTGGTGCCTGATGACCAAATTAAGCCTATCACATGAAACTCAGAGTAGCAACTTAGAACCGCCTAGTCCTATATACTAATAGCATGTACAGCATGTAGAGCACTTTGTGACAGATCAGTAAACAGTTATTTTCATCAAATTCAGCAGGCCTGGTCTTTTCAGGCAAGCGATCACCCGCGTGCACCTCAGCACCCTCCTAGATCATTTAAGAAGGGTCATTAATTGCCCTTCTCACTTGCAAATTTTACGCTTATTGCCCACCTTAGAAATTAATTGACATTTAAAGGGGCTGTGTCACAGTTTTGAAAACAAACCAAATACATGGGACATGACTTGCACATCAGGATAATGGTGGATGGTTCTCCAGTGCACCGATAAGGTCGATAAATTGTATTTTCTGAGCGTATTTACCGAACATGGAATGGACAATTATTATGTTTCTGCATATGTACCTACTATCCAAACGAAAAGTGCATGTTGATTTGGTCTAGACTAAGGAAATGAAGCTTCATTCAATCATTGGCAAAGATATTCCGCCTCTCTTGGTGAATTTAGATGGAATTAGACACTTTACAAAAAAATTATTACTCCAAATTTGTCCTGCAAACTTTAATAATGTTTTTCACTCATAATTTACATCAGCAAGGTAGGTTTTTAGTGTCATTTCAGTCAATTTCTATAAACTGCTTCCTGCGAGTTTTTGTATCCTAGCTGTAAAAGTGGAGATCAGACTCAACCCAAAGGTATGTATCATGAGACAATCTCTTTCTTGTCTCTTTTACTAAATGATCTCATTTTCTTTAAAATCTAAATTTTTATTGCTAAATATAACATTGCTAATTTATTTTTTCTTAGAATTTTGGCTTCATTGCATTTGATGCACCATCCTTTATCCAAAGAAATATGGTGATAAGACTGAAGAAAGAACCTTTATTATTTGTTTCCTTAAATCATAAAACATCCAAAAATGCAAAAGCTTCACATGATGAGAATGACACAAAAAACTGTTTTATTCCATATTGGTTTACCTATTTGATGCAGGGTGTTTCACCCAAACAACTTTTGGAAACTGGTGTGTTGCCACGAGGGATGTCCCTTGTGACACAGCCCATATAAAGCTAAACCTATTTGTCACATCTTAAATATCTTTTTATTATGTCTAAACAACAAGATGTCTAAATAACAAAGGTTTGCCAGGCAGAACAAAACATAATGCAATTCAAATCCCGTAAAATACAATATCAGAGACTCAACGGACAAAACCTTACTTTGGCATGGGATGTTAATGTTAGAAGAGGAATGTTCAGGTTGAAACCAAACAAGAGTAGCATAGAAAGTTGTAGGGATTAGTGAATAAGAATCAAATTCAAGAATGAATGAATTTTTTGGCCATGAAATATAGCCGATAGAACTTTTAATTCAATTCGTTTGGTTGCATAAAGCACTTGAAACATTATTTCCTTTTCTGTTTTTAAGACAACTTTCTTTCTAACTTGCATGTCCGTAAAATTTTACTGATAAATTTACATTTTGTTCAAATCATCTGCCTGAATCCAACAAGGGGGTGATTGACCACCCGCCTGCTCAAAATTCTTACCGTCAGGTCTGAATTCAGCACATCTGTGATTTGAAGGGTTCAGACCAAGCTATACCCCCTTGAAGCATGCTGCTTGTTAAAAAACACTGTTTTAAAACTACACCAATAAATCATTCCCTTTGAACGTGGATGACTATTTTCAAATAGCTTGTACTATTTATAATCTAGAAACGGTTTGGATATAGAAGGACACTCACAATAATCTACAGCATTTTCATCTGTTTGCTCTTCATATTCAATCTCATCATCTTGATAACGAAATATGTCATTAAAGACATAGAAGCGTTGTGGTGCCTGAAAGAACAACAAGGTCAGAAGTGAAAAATTGGCTCAACTTTATTAATTTCACAGCAAAAAAATCTTACATATTATAAGATGACAGCTATCATGGTTGATGACACAATCAATAAAACTAATAACAACATGATTTGCTTACCTCTGCCTCTAGAACAAATGTCTGTGTGAACTTTCTCATAGGCATGCCACGGTTAGAAAGCTCTCCAGCCACCTAAAAAATACAGTATGGATATTAAAACTGGAAAAAAGATTAAATTAACATTGGTTTGATATCTCTATACCTAGGGGTTTATGATTAGAAAGCTGAAATAATAAAATGGTAATAAAGCTGAAACAACAAATAGGTAACAAACCTGAACAACCACACCATCATTACTAGTCCTTTGGCTATCAACTGACTTGATTTTCGAATAGCAATCCCTAAAATTAAGATCCATTATCTTGTTGTGGATGGCCTAAAATGCAAAGGTAGTTTATGTTTATGTACATATCAATCAAACAAACCAAAAATAAAGATTTACACAGACTTTATGAAAACATGCAAAGAGCTCATAGGAGAAAAAACAGTCTCGAAAAGGGCAAACAGAAGACAGAACAACTAGCAATCAAAACATCACATCAAGTGTGGTACAAAAATATATTAAATGTTTTATTAAATGAAAAGAATCACAGTCATCTTATTCAGCTTTCAAAGCCTCAACCAGCAGGATGACTATTTCAATAACACAGTAAAGGTTCTTATGGGATTATTATGCAAAAAATTAATATCAAGCTGCAATAAGATCAAAATGCAACATAATTGACAATTATGGAAAACCAAAAAATGAAGTAGAATCATGTAACTAAAAAACTGTATTTTACATAAATGAAAATATTCTTTAAGGAAATCTCAATTGCAAATTAGACATATAAATACTGAAAACATGAATAAAGATATAGAATCATATTGTGCATCTATAAAAGATCAATAAATATAACATATAAAAGATTAAGTTGTAACAGGTCCTACTATCAAACCCTAATCATTGAGCAGTGCTCTGCTAGTGTCAGCGAAAACCTGTTGGTACTCTGGCATGCAATATACGCTCAATAGTCATGTAGTTCATATTGAGTTCTAGCAGCATGCATCTACATCAAAGAAAACTTGTGAGCTATATATGGTGAATTAAACAATAGACATCACCATCAATTTGTCTTACTATTTGAAATTAAGTTCAACGCAGACTTTAGGCTAAATTTCCATTTACCTAATGCAACATAAATGTTCCAACACCATATACAAATATATTATATTAGGTCACCAACATATTTCTTTAGACTGAAATCTAATTCATTACAAAATTACTTGCCTCTTGACCAACAACTGGCTCAAATGGACGGTTAGGAAGGTTGGCATGAGTGAACAGAGAGTGCTTCATGTAAAACCTATTGAGACATTTTGAAAAAATTAGTGTCACACTAATCAAGAGAAATGATATATGCATTTATATAATTTACTTCTCATCATAATTATTATATGACTGTCTCTGGTGCTCAACTTAATTTAGCAATTAGTTAGACTTACATAAACAGACCATTCGTAACTCTGAGTTTCATGTAAGCAATCATCAGGTAATGAGAATGCAAACCAACAATTCTATATTCTTAGATATAAACTGATATAGAATTACCCTTTGAATTCTTTATATTCGAGAAAATTTTTGAATTGATTTCTAAAGAAATTTTTATTGCAAAAGGGGCACAAAAAGGCAATTTATTGTAATTGCAAAAACGATAGATTTGAAACAAAGTTGGTGCACGGTAGACATTTACTGCTTTCTAATGTTTACAAACAGACAATTAACCTTCCCAAATAATCTGAACCCTCCTTGAATGGAATAAAATTTGACCTGTTCTAATGACATTATCTAGGACCATGGATAATACATACTGCTAGGAAACAATATTATTCTTTTTACAACACTGATGACACAAGAAGACAAAGACTGTCTTTCTACATTGACAAATTGGTCAGAAACGCTCTTAACAAAAAAAACAATTTGCAACTGTATAAAAGTTCAAATCCACTGCTTTTTTTGCAGATTTCTGTGTAAATGACCATTATTCAGTATCACTGGATATATCTAAATTGCGCACAATCTTTTGCCAGTACAAAATTTGACAGTGGCTTTGTAAAAAGCAAACATTTTACAGCATACCGAAAAAGCTTTTTCATCTGACACTCCTCAGAGTAAACAACATGAGAATAAAGTTCCGGTTGTGGATCAAAATAGGCCAATAAGAAAAAAATGAGCACATGACTGGTAAAGTTGTCCAATCAGTACAGCGTGCCTATAGAAAAATTACCACTGGAGACAAAAAACGTACACCTCTTTTCTAAACAAGAGCAGCTTTTTCATTTACTTGTAAATCAATTCATAAACTTTTAGGCAAAAAGACAGCCTGGCTCTGCCAACTAACTGAAACATTGGCAAAATCTGGGTTATCTAAAGATGTCCAATGGTAGAATTGCTTGTTTTAACCATGTTTTTAGACCTAAAAGATCAAGGAGGCTGTTCTCTGATTCTCTGAACAGGGAAGGGAATACTGGAATCAGAAGTAGGCTAAAAATAAAGAAGAATTGCTGACATAAAAATGGAACTCACCAATTATATTAACCGTGATAATCAAAATGAGATGTCTTAACACAACAAAGACAAACACAAGAAACATAAGGAATACCTGTGCAACTGAGTTGGATCTTTATACAGCATTGTGTAGTACTGACGGACAAATTCACGCCCAATATATTGTGGGGTAAAAGTAGTAGCCATCACCATTTCTCCTGATAAAAAACAGTTTTTAATATTCTTCAATACCCCTCAATTCATCAAACAAGTTTATGTGTTTAAATGGTGTCAAGGTGATATAGAACCTGTCTATTGTCTCTTATCTAGCGTCTGAAAAGGTTAATATAATTGCCAACATCAGAAACAAAATCATTTTGAATAAACAATACAGTTTATGGTTAATAATTTTGACAGAATTAATTTAACATACAGCCCTTGGGTATTACTTCTTTGCACACAGATAAAAAGTGAGTAGTTGGCCCCCAGAATACATATATGTCATCAGTAACTAACACTTGAAATTAAGTCTTTCTTGGTTCCCTGTCTTCACAAAATTTTCAAAAAGAAAAAAATTTCCTTTACAATGTTATAACTTAGGTTTTAAGAAGACCCTCTATGCTCAAGCAATAAATAATCAATCTTAAAACTGTTCTCATTTCGAATTTAAAAAAATTTTGAAACTTGCTCTATTTCATAATAATAGATTAAAAGAAGAGAAAACCAAATACAGGGCATAATTCTCTCATTTATAAGTAGCAGGAGAGTTTGGAGCTTTGGGAGAGAAGGTGATCCTTCTTTATATATTAACATGGGCATTGACAAAAGGGTAAGTGGCTACATAAAAAATTAATTTAATTACTATCTGGTAGTGGGAACATTGAATTGAAGTGTTAACATTTTGTCCAAAGATCACACATACCAAGCAGTCCTGCCTATATTAGTGCACCCTAGCATCTCCTCAATCACTCAAGAGAGGCAGTCATTGGCCACTTCTCCAGCAACTTTTAAGTTAACTGCCTACCTTGGATTTTTGGTGGCATTTTTAATTAACAGTTTTTATTACCACCCTTATTGTCTATTCATTTGGAAAACTTTAACTTGTTAATGACTTATTCTAACATAGTGCATTAGCTTTCAAACATTACTGGTAATTCACAATTTTTCAAATTGGAAGAGTCTTCTCTGTGGTTTTCAAGGCTTGTCTACATGTATTGGACTTTTTTGAAACACAAATATTTTTATAAATACAGATACAGTCTTCCTCCTTTGATGAGTATGATTCATTCCTGGTAATATTAGGGGTGCGATCGCACGCGCATGCCTCCAGACATGCCTAAAACTCCCAAGGCGTGCTTTCTATCGCACGCGCAGTTCCGCGTTTTTAATTACTATTCTTTTTCTCTTTTGTTTCTTTCAATTTCTTGTTTATTTTCTTTTAAGTAATTTTTAATTTATTTTGTGTGGGTCATTTTAACTCTTTACTTTGTTTCCATTAGGCCCGATTTCCATTACTCTGCTTTTGTGTAGTCTCAGTTCTCTCACTCCGTTCTTTTGTATTCTCGTGAGCACATTACCCTGGACCACTTTTATTTAGTCAAAACGATAACGTGGGTGTTTCCATTACTCCATATTTGTCCGTTCATATCCTTTGCTCGAGCACTTTTTGAAACTGAGATTGAATGACTCCATTTTCGATTGCCTCTGTCTTCGCTGTTCCCAATAAAACAATGCGTATTTAAACAATTCAGTTTTGAATGACTCCACTTTGAACAGCGTTTTTAAGCATATCAATGAAACTCAAAATCTAAAAGAGATTCACTTGAATCTGTTCTCATACGGAAACAGAGTAATGACAACAGGGCCTAAAAAACTTGTCTCCTTTTTGTTGAATTATTCTGTTTTCAAGAAACTTCTTCTAAAATTCCATAAAAACTTTTTGGTATTATGGAAACCTCAAACACTTTTTCAAACACAACTTCTAATACAAAGATGACATCAGGTCTAAATCGTAAGGTCTCCATTTTATAGATCGCACATCATTGCACGCCTAAACTTTTCAAGGCATGCAATTACCAGCACGCTGCCAAATTTCATTTTACCAGGACTGATGATTGCACCTGCACGCATCAACGCAGGCATTGAGCAAAAAATGTCAGCAGTTTGACACCCCCATGAGTCAGACATTTGACCATTTTTTCTGACCTTCTTAGTATAGTAGTTTTTCAACAAAATGTTGAAAGTTTTGCTTCCAAAAGTTGAGCAACATTGCCTTATTCTTACAATATAGCTTTTTTGGGGAGATATGATGTCATACACAGGCCAAAAACTGCTTATGTGCAACTAATATAACATACAAAAATTCCCAATCTCAATACTTTGTGGCTTGGAGTTATTAAAAGCACCATTCAAGGCAGTTTTTAAGAATACTGTCTTTTTCTTTTTGGTTCTTTTCACTTTTGTTAATTGTGTCTTAATTGTAATACAAACAAGTAAAGGTAAAAAAATCAAACTGCTAATACCTTCCATAAAGTTGCCGAAACTAAGCTCAATTCAAGAGCTAGCAAAATATGAAAGTAAGGGCGATTTTAATTCACAAAAATTCATGCAATGCATGGCAATACAAGTAACGTTTTCCCACCAAACCACCCACCATAAGTAACGTTTTCAAATATAAACTCAGATAGGTAACATAGGCTCTTACACAAGCTGGAAGTGGAGGACAAGAGCATATTAAAAACTTATAACAAAAGATTTTGTAAAAAATATCTTTTTTTCACAAAAAGGAGGGAGGAGCATGGCCTCCTGGCATTTTGTTGTTGGAGGCCCTGGGTAAGAGTGTGAATTGCACGCATGGAGTATATTATGCGTGGGATACAAAAATATAACTAGCAAATGTATAATGTCTTTAAGTCTTATTTGCAACCTACAAGACTACCTTACAGACATAATTTCAAAACAGAATGAAATCATATAATTAGAATTAAAAAAATGATTTCAGAGGCTGGACCAATACAGCATTACTTTATTCTTCAGCATAAATGTTCAAAGAGGTATGTTGATGACAAAATCAAATAAGCATTTTGAAAATGCTTGATGGAAGAGTTTTCCAAATATGTCAATTATCAAGTGCAAGTTTCAAGTGAATATTCATATTGTGTTGCGTTGCAAGGCATAGCAATTACTCTATTAAAAAAGAACCAACAGTGAAGTTGACAGCATAGAAGAAATTAAAGGAATTAGAGATGAAAATGAGATTTGAGGAAGGATGAATTTCATGCTGGCAAAGAACACTAGATAGAAATTGCTGTTGACTCTTCTTAGCAGCAGAAAATACTTATATATGTAATGAATAATTGCTGCTTTTTTGCTTTTTGTCTTGAAAACCTTCTTGTCTTGGATATGTTCATCCTAACTTGGGTGGTGTTTTAAAAATCCTTTCAAAGCATTTTATCCATCAATTATACATTATGTAGAAATCACCAGTCTGACATGAATATGATCTAAACATCTAAGAAAAAATTAAGATCTAAGCAAGAGGAAAAGCAACATCTTATAAAATGTTACCCATTTTTACAGTTTTTATATACATCTAAACTTGGACCTTTGCAAACACATCACAAACTTGCAGCAAAAAACATTAGGTTGCCCTTGTTGCTGTATCATTACTATTCTTCTTTAAAGGCATAACTTGGCAATTGTGTGCATGTGGACAGTTTTGTGACCACCTAGGTTTTTGACAGGAATCAAAAGGAGCTACACAATATTCATGGAAACTTCTTTCACATGAAACGTGTTTTTAAGAGGAAAAACTATGTAAACGTGAGTTAGATCACTATATAATAAAACTTTATCCTGATCATAAACTTTACAAAACTTTGAATGTGGGGAATAAAATGGGTTTCTTTCACTCAAAGAGATCCTCAATTTTGGGGAAATTAAGGTTGTAAGATTCGCTCTCTCCGCATCACCAAGTACAAAATGTACATTAAAGGACAAGCAGATTCCAAAAACTTACTTTCATTCTAAAGTCCGCGCTTCCTTGAGCTTACAATCAAATAAAATAATGCTCCAACGTGAAAATAAATTATTAAGTAGCAGCAGGCTTTATGAAATCTTCTGCCAAAAGAGGCCTTCCTCTTTATAAAATCTCGCAACCTTAAAATCAAAAGTCCGCCAGAAAAACCTAAGTGTGTCCATAATTATGGAGCAAACTAAAATAAAAAGAATTCAAGCAGCACATTACTCTGAACGTAAATTTCCGGGCAAGTTCACTTCAAATTTCTTGAACAAACAAGAAAGCAACAGGGAAAGGGCAGGGCTACGGTGCATACACCTGGACCTATGAGACGAGACGTAGGCCCACGTACATTTTGACACTTGATTTGGGTGTGAAGACAATCCAGCAAACGGTACTCATGATAACATATTCACTCCTTTGGAAGCAAAATTAACAAATCGGTGGAATTTAGATTGTGACAAAACAATCTTGATAATTGTGAACAGTCTAAGACCTTCGAAACTAGATGGAAGCGACTCTGACAAGCGACGCGTGATTGATGCTCTATGGGTATAAACTCTTCGTAACTGATCAATGACATGGCATGAAAGAATCTCCCACTTACTTCGATTGCAGAATTACGTTCAAAATCTTCGATGGTTACTTTTATTGACTGCGTTGATGGAAAACTTTGTAATGCACAGTTTATTACCAGCAGAGTTGTGCATTTATTGTCCACAGGCACAGGCCCAATCCACACCTCGTGTTCAACTTCCCAAAGAGATGCTGTCCTCTACTTGCGTCACCTTCCCGCGGGTAGATTGCAAATAAACCGCAGAAAAATCCTTCGTAGCGACAAAAGCACTCATCAGTGTCAATGTTTGGAGTCTGGATTCGAGGGGATACCTTTTTGTTTGAAAGTACGTTTGAAAGCCTTTATTTAGGGGTATCATTTTTCTGAAAAGTGCGGAATTATCTTCGTCAGTTTTTGAAATATGTGCGGAACTATGGGTACCATTTTAAGAAATATGCAGAATTATGGGTGCCATTTTGAGAAAATATTGCAGAATTATTAGGAGGGAGATTTAGCAGTAACGAAATGAACGCAAAGTTAGAAATCAAAGAATGAAACATATGTGTAATATTGAGGTTTTTGTTGCCAAAAGACATGTACATTTTTTTGTAATTTCATTATTCGCTTTGCAGAATAACGGGTACTGTGTCATCATGTTTTCTTCAGATATGTGCGGAATTATAGGTCCGAATTTTTTAGCCAAAATCGCACGTCCCCGTCCAAAATTAAGCTTAGTTAACCCTCTGAGGGCCTGGAGCACCGGCTATAATAATCCTAAAAAAATGTCCTTTCTCTTGGTTTTCAGCATGTTGAGCAGAATCCAAAATGTCAACCTTCCTCCGGTCAAGAAAATCTTACTATAAAAATTTCCTCATTTCTATTGGGATTAAAATGGGCATCGTCAGGAAAAGGGTATTCGGTTAATATTGATCTCCTATCCTTGCAACTCTATTTTCTAAAACTTTTCCAAAAAAAATTCTAGCTTGTTTTCTTTTATAGATGTTTTTAGAGATTGATGTAAAGTTACAGGCTTATATCAATTGGTAAAAAATCCTGTCATAATTTAAATATATAAATTATAAAAGCTTCATGTCTAAATTGTACCGAGCAAAGCAGTTTTGCGAACCCGTTCACATAAAAGAAACTGGAGGTTTTTGAATGTTACTTCGTTTTTTTATTTTTTTGCATGGCTGAAAAGCAAACCAAATAAAAAATTTTCAACTTCCTCTAGTTTCAAATTTCTTAGCCATCTTCCTCAATTTCTCCTTCTTTGTTTCTATAACCGTCCTCCGGCCAGTGGCAGTGAGGTTTCCCTGACTATGATGTTGAAGCCACTGAAAACTTTTTAGCCCTCTTATCTGTACTGCAGTATGCCTCCTGCACAGCCCCTGCGTATTTCCACAGCCTTCCAATATTTTTACGGCATCTTTTTTGTGATGCTAATCTGCGACCATATGCAGTGACACAGGCTCTCTCCCGCACGAAATTGTCTTTGGAGTATATTTTCCACATAAGGCAGGCGCCAAAAGCTCGTCCTCCTCATCCCGTCAACGGCATGCATTTTTTAATTTTTCATGCACCGAACTTCTTATCATTGTTTTCCATCTTCTAACTTCAAGTAGGAGATTTTCTTCGAATCTTAGTTGCACTTATAATTTGTTGCTCTTCGTGTCTTAGATGCAAGTTGTATAATAGTGCTATCGTTTTAATAAGAAGTCTTTAGTAACACATTTTCTCTTTTAAACTTTGTCTTATTTAATTTTTTGCCATTATTTTAAAGTAGCCAAATTTGAAAAAGTCCATAATCAGCTATCGGGTCGGCTATCGGCTATCTGAAAGCATACAAACCCATAGAAAAGTTTAGGATGGACAGAATTCTCCATTGATTGATAAGAGAGTGCTTATGATAGTTGAGGTAACCAAAAAAGCTCCGGCGCAGCAACCTCAATATTAGCACTCTGTCTTTCAACTTTTTTGTCTCTGTTGTATTTATTGAGCATTTCTGAAGTTATGGCACTATTTAGCTAATGCACTTTTTTAAAGCACCTTCCGAACTCCAGTGGAACATTTGAGAGATCTGAATAGTTTTAGATTCATAAGAAGATTTAAAGGGATTTTCGGATTTCGAAAGGATTTCTTGTGGATCTTTTAATTCCTTTTGGATTCTCAGAGGATATTTTGAAGGGATTTTTTGAAGTGAAATGTCCCTCGTATAAAAGAGCATTACAATATTACAAACGAGAACATAACAGTAACATTGATCATAATCTGTAAAATATCTCTGAGATTTGTTCAGTATCTTTTAGAAACTATCGTGTTGTTTTGTTTATCATCTTCTTTTCGAGATCTTATCCTCGAAAACTTGTTTAAACCTAGAACACTTTTCTTCGTCGAAATCTTGTGTAAAGCTTGGGTGAGAGCTGATGTAATTCGATAGTTTCACATACAGTTAGTTTGATAGGTGCGGTCATTAAATTTGCAAAATATGATACCAAAATTTTCAAAAGTTTTGAATATGTACATTGATAAAAATTCCTTAAAATAAAAACTGATTTCTAGTTCTACCAATATTCATCTTCAAAACAAACTCTCAGCATCAAAATACCAAGAGGCCACATGTCCAATGAACTCAGTAGCTGTTGTGGATAGAAATCACTGGTATGAAACAAAATTAACTGTAAATGGTAGAAAACTGGTTGGTCAACGACTAAGTTCACAAACTCTGCAAACCACTTGATAAAATCTTGCAGAAAATGCTTAAGTTATCTACATGGCCGAATATGTATAAGCTACTATGAATTTTAGGCTGATCGAATTCATCTTTGCTATTTATTTAATTATTTCTCTAAAAATTGAAATGTTTATTTCGTTAGAGATCAAAAGGGTAAGGGTATTAACGCAAGTGTAATCAAACAAGGATCTATGATCTAAAGATTGCGTCATAACCAACCAATCAGCGCTCACCTCGTAATTTATAATCTGTATAATTTTTGTTGACGTCTTCCTAACACACGTAGGGCCTAAGTTAAGAGAGAAAAAGAGGGGAAAACAGTTGGAAACAAATATAGCGAGAAAATAGAATAAATCAAGATTTTCATCATGAAATGTGACTTGTGGATTATTTACTCAGCTATAACTGGTTTTGCAATTATCGAATATGGACATTTGGTTGAAGCTGGTAAAGACTACTACAAAATCCTTGGCGTTGAAAGGGATGCAACCGACAGGAAAATTAAAAAGGCATTTAGGAAATTGGCAGTAAAATACCACCCTGACAAAAACAAAAGCAAAGGTGCCGAAGCTAAATTCCGTGAAATTGCAGAAGGTATGTTTCAATTATCAATGCTAGAGGGCCTAGAGTTATTTTACCAAACAAAAAGCCCTTGTTTCCATAAGATTTTTTCCTATTTATTTAGTCCACAAATCGCATGATTTTAAAGTTCATGTTTTCTATATTGTGCAAATCAAAAAGTTTGATACCAGGTTGATCGATTGACAATGCTTAAGACACAAATTGAGTTTTGTTAATAAAATAAATGCCCTATTTTTCTTGTTGGATTTCTCTACAGTAAAATTTCCCCATGACTTTTACAGCATACGAGGTCCTATCAGACGAGAAAAAGAGAAAACAATATGATCGATTTGGAGAAGAAGGAATGAAAGAACAACCTGGATTTGAAGGATTTAATTTCAATTTTGATGACCTTTTCAAAAATTTTGGTGGATTTGGAAATAGTGGAGGTCAAAAAAGAAGGTCAAATGGTGGTGGATTCAAGTTTAGTTTTGATGATATATTTAGCCAACATGATGATGATGATGATGAGGACAGCTTATTTGGTACTGCACACCATGGTTTTGGGGGCCATGGGTTTGGGGGTCATGGGTTTGGAGATGACCTTTTCTCTTTTGGCTCAAAACAAGAGACATTTACCAAAACTGAAACTCGGTCATCAGGTGAACATTTTAGCATCATTGAATCGTTTTTTATTAATTATGCTAACATGTTGAATTTATGCATTACCCCCTAATTTTCTCACAGACTGTGATGACATGAGATTTTTAAAAGTTGATGTTAGAAAAAGGTCAAGCCTGCTTACAGGCTAGAAAGGCTTTAGGGGCAATGGAATATATTATAGATGAAAGCAATGAAATGGAACATAAGGGGTGTATATCATTAAATTTGCCTGCATGTATGCTTTGCTATGTGTTAAACTATAATTCAGGAACATTCTTGTCTCAACAAATTCAGGAGCCTGGTAATGTCATAGGCTCACATAGTCTTGAGCAGGAACTGGGAAAGTAGGGGGGGGCTGAGTGGGTTTAGCCCCCCAAAAAATCTCCAAAATGTACTTAAAACCATACAAAAAATTGCCTTGCTCTTGGTTTTTAGCATGCTTAGTCCCCTAAAACCTTTTAGGCCCCTCAATCTGTAATATGCTCCACAGTCCTTGTTGAGGCTATTCCCTTTACTCAAAACTAAAATGTTTTGATTTAGGAAAGCTGTTTCAAGCTTTGACAGTTCAGCTCTTATCATAAATACAAAACCCATGCATGCCTTGCAAATTTCACAAGTTGCTTTATAAGACAGAAGAATTTTGCAAATTAAGTGAATTTTACAGTTAAGATACCTAAACACCAAAAGGACACTCCATACTTTCATTCAGTTGACTTAGGGCAAGAGAACACAGATTGTGTTCAACAAATGATAAAATGCAGCAACTTACTCAGTAGAAATAGTTTAAAATTGATTTTGCTTTAAAAGGCATACTTGTATGTTGGCTCCAAGCCTGGTTTTTCGGGCGTTTATGATGCCAACAAATCTTCTATAAAATCCCCAGCTTTCTCTGTACTCTTAAGAACTCAAGTACTATGTAGTTTAATCCAATACATCAACATTTCTTTTGAAAAAAAACATTTATTTGCAAATTCTCAGCTGCACAGTTTCTTAAATTCTCAAGATTGCCTGATCCTTACGGGGGCTATAGCCCTTACCTGCATTGCTACAAAGTTCAGATAAGTTTCGCATTACTTTTTTTGGATTATCATGCTTTTGATTTTAGCTTCAATTTATGCTATTTAAATAAGTTGTATGAGTGTTTATTTACCTATGTTATTCACCAACTAAAGAAGGAAGGGATGATAAATAAAATTTCATTATATTTTAGGACAAACATGTCGAACTGTCACAAAGAAAATGGGGAACATGGTAACAACTTATACACAATGCTCCTAACAGTTTTTCATAACTTGGAGTTAATATGCTGTTATATAGTATAAGGGCAAAAATACCTTGTACTGTTGCCGTTAGGTACACGCTTTTTTATAAGGAACCTACCTCAAGGCCTAGTTTCAAAAGTTCCTTTTTGTAGACCTCAAATTATCAAATTGTAGTACCAAAAGTTCCTTAATAGTTCCTTAATTTGTTTTGACTAAAAAAACCTTTACACTCAATAGGGAGGGGCGAGACAGCAAATACGAAAACTACTCAATGCACTTGACACACAAATTGCAAACAATCTATGTGACTATTGGCTGCAAATGAATGGAAATGGCTTTTTAGTTCTTAATGCTTGCAGTTATAAAAATTATTCAAATCGAAAAGTTCCTTAGGGATTTCAATTTTAGTAGTATAAGTTCTTTAAATATTTTGGCCTTCTACATATAGGTTCCTTATAAAAAAAGCATGTAAATGAATATTGATTCAAAGTCTTTCAGTGTAATCTTAAAGCCAAGTCAAAACCAAATCTGAAGTTAGCATTCAGCAAGTGAAGTCTTTTTCATAGCAGCTGAAAACCCTGCTGAAATGAGGGCTTCGAATCCTGTCATGATATTGTATTTCAAGTATGACCAAAAAATCTCTTAAAATTAGGTTTTGTTTGATTGAGCTTGTTTGAACTGTTGGATAGTGCCCTAGCCAGCAAAAAATTACAGTAGTAACAGTCCTTTGCCTTTACATACATTGAAACCTTTGAATCAGAATTACTGTGAATCTATACAGCCCTAGCTGAAATGTGTCATCTGTTTTATTGTACCATTTCATTTATTTAAAAGTTGATAATGTGCAGAAATATGTTGTTTTTATAACTGTCTTCTGCTTTATTCATTGATGCCAATATAGATCCTTCTACTGGTCTGTTGGTGGGTAAATTAATGTAGAGTAAACTGACATCAAGGCTTAAAAGGAGCTTTACTGAACAGAGATTGAAAGGATTTTCAAAGTGGGATAGCCATAACCATACAAAGTCTTAGTGACTTTCGGTGCATATCTTGATGTCCTAAAAAAGATTTGCTACATCCAATATCCTTACAAAATATTGTATGACAAATATATGTAAATAAACATGTTTCATGCCTCAAACATATTTACTTGAACAATGTTCTTAAAAAACTCACTAAAAGGCTTAAAAAACTTTGTTCTTAAAAGACTAAAATTTTGCCATCTGACTAAACACCAGCCAAACATCAGAAACTCCAGACAGATTTCACACACCAGGTCCCAGGATCCTGCAAGCTGCATTCTAGTTTATTGTATAAACAAATATTGAAATAAGGGATATGGTTACACTTTGTAAAGTAAAATGCCAACCTGGCTTGCATTTACCCTTTTTGAAACCAAATACTTGTAAAGCAGGGGCAAACCAAAAAAGGAGATAACTTTGTCAAGGCTATTTCATTTCAATACAACATGATTTCCATTTCATACTTCTTCTTGTACAGGTGGCTCAAAAGAATCTCTAACAATTTTAGTGCCTGCATCTCCTGCTCCCTCGGTTGTGGTTGTGACAGTGGCTCCCTCCCCATGCATTTCCATCAATCGGCCAACTGAATGAAAGTAAAAGGAGAATTAAAGAAACTCATGTGATAGGGGATGACTGTACTATGAAATGGTTACTTATGACATAGTGCAGTTCTAAAGCTTTCTGAAAATGACATTTATAATGCTGAATTAATTATTGCACCACAACAAGCAAAATAAATGCAAAAAATAACCGGTTTCTGAACCAAGTTATCAATTTGAGTTTAAGAAAAGTGTGACAAGAATAAACCTAAAATAAGACTGTGAAATATTGTTATCAGATCCTGTATACAGTTCTATCATCATACAAAAGTAAAAAAATTCTTATGCACTCAAGTTCTTGTTGTAAGAAAATGTAAGTGTTAATGTTAGAAAACAAAGCTTTTAAGAAATATCACATGTAATGCATAAATGGAAATTTAAGCTGCTTATAAATCTAGCGAATTCCAAATACACATGCATCACTTTTGGCAACAGGGAACGAGAGCAAAGAACATGGTCAGTTCAATCTCTAGCAAGGTTGCCTACAAATGCACTAGGGACATAAACTATTCCACAAAATTGCTTGTAGTCTTTGAGATCTAAAAGATCAACCAAATTTATAATTTTTCCATTGGACATTTACAAGATTAAACTAAAATAATGACAAATTTAGGATGATAGGCAAAGCCTGGTCATCATTTTGTCAAGCAGTTTTAGAAACACCCATCTACATACAAATGAAAAACCACTATTGAGTAGAGAGGAGAAGCTTGTTTCACCCTTGGACTCCACAAGTAATATTTTCAATAGGCATTTTGTTGTGTTCGGATTGGTCTACTTTGATCCACAACCGTGAATATATATTCCCTAGCTTTAAGAGTTTTTGAAAAATATGATAACAGATGAAAAGATTTACTAGGTATTGAAATGTTTGTTTTTTAATATAAGGTTTATATTTTAGATAGCATAGGTAAGCACCCCCTATAAAAACCATCGTTTTTGAATGACACATTGAATGATAAACAACAGCCTAAACACCAGCTACCAGAAATACTTAGAAACACAATTTGTTTCCATCAACTTCAAATAGGCATAACAGAGGAAAATATACTTACAGTCAAACTTTGGCTTTTTGAGACATTTGACTTTGCGAATATAGACTTCATGGATTGGATAAATTGACTGGCATGACTTTTCAATTTCTTTGCTCATGCTGTCTGGGATCCTATGCTCAAAAAAGGAGATATTCATCAATACTTCAGTATCAAATATGAGCTGTCAAGTAATTTCAGATGACTAATATATCAGACTTTGCCTCTAATTCTGCATTTGGATACTAGGTTGGAAATGTTAGTGATTCATCAACTTCTAGTAAAGATTGGAAGTGAAGTTCTATACATGTGCAATTACTTTGCCTTAAAGTAAGGTATTGACATTGTGTATGTAAAAACAGGTATTTTTGTTCAGTTTATCACAAAAATTTACCCACTGATACATTTAATTTTCTTTTGGCAACAGGGAACGAGAGAAAGGACAAGGAATAGGTCCAGTCCCTAGCAAAGTTGCCCTCTTTGATACTTTTTATACAAAATAGCAATAGTATATATATATTGCAAACAAGTTTCTGAAACTCACAGCTTTTTGACAACTTCCTTCAGATCATTTGAGGTTACTTCCTTTGAAATAATGTCAACCATCTTCTTACGAATGGCACGAACCTGACTTGATTTAGCATAACATGTTTTTTTGATTTGGTTCATTCTCTTTTTGGTGAATCCAATACAAAATACTCTCAAGAGATATCCATCTGTTGTCTTCACATCAATATGAGCTTCAATCATTGTCTAAGAAGCCAAAATTAAAAATAGGTTAACAGACATCATCATTTAACATTGATGCATCAAGCAAGAGAGGTCTTCTCTCTTTATAATTCTTTAAGAAGTTTGATGTTTAATATTGTGGTTTAATGATATGATTGATAAATATCTGTATATATTTGTTCAAATGGGTATGAATGGGACCTGCCAACAAGGAAATGTCAGTTCAAAGCTTACTTCCACCACGAGGCTCACCAAAATGTCTTTACAGAGCATTGATAGTGATGCTTCATAAACAAAATTAGATGCTTAACTTTCATGGAAATGCTTGTGGTTACTCACTTTTCAAAATGTCAAGTGAAGGAAAACTACACACTGCCCCTTTCAGACTTGCATAAAAAAGTTACTGTTTTCCTCATGTTCAAAAGAAATTCCAAAAGAAGCCTAAAATAATCTGAACTGACATCTGCCAATTGCATATTTTTGCCCACATATGCACTTTTTTAACCCTTCTTTTAGAAAAGTGTGTTTAAATTCTTTTTCATTTTTATTGGAGCAGCAAAATAATAAGGCTTTAGTTGGAAAGATATTATCACGCTATATCAAAAAATTAATAATAATTTACAAGAAATTTTTTAGGATATTTATCTTGAGGAAACTTTGCAAAATACATGTTTTTCCCTCTGTAAATTTAAATGCATCAATGTATGTTCATTAACCTACCTGCCATTTCTTGACAAGTGATCGGAGTTTATCAGTTGTCATATTGACACCATGGAAGTTTGTCAAGCAGTGGCGTCCTTGTATATCTTCAACAATAAGCTTGAATTTTCGGAAAGCTGAAGTTTCATCTGACTGTAAATCTGCTTGGCTGATTTCAAAAACTCTACCTTTTAGTCCATCTGATGCAATCTCTGTAAAAGTGGGTTCAAACTTTGTTAAATGAACTTTGAAATGTGGGCAAAAGATTTTCCTTATTACAGTTTTTGGGGATACTTGTACTTCCTAATAGTTGATAGTTACCAAGTAAAAATATAAATATTAGGTCTTACCTAGTTAATTCATTTAACATAAGGTCATCGCTTGTTCTTAAATGTTTATTTAGTATATAAATGTGTTTTATGCTATATATAGCTTGCAGACAAGAAACGCTTTAATGAGGGAGGTTACTATCAAGATTCCATAAAAATACTAGCTTGCAACAATAAATACTATGTGACAATAAAACTTGAAATGAGGGTAAAATTGTACAAGAAAAATAAAATAAATTTTTCCTTATTTTCCTTGTACAATAAATATATATATACATTTATTTCAGATTATACTGAGGTTACAATTAGTTGGCTAAAAATTGCCACTTTCTGGTTGAAAGCAAGAATGATTATAAATATGCAATCTAATATATATACTTATACTTATACAATTTTTGCAGAGACTCATAGCCTCTAGCAAAATCCTACAGGGATCACACAGGTAAAAGGGAGAGCTGAGGGGCAAAATCTGAACCTCATCTGACCAAAATCTGCAAAGGGAAAAATCTGACCACCATAGCTCAACAGCGACAATAGAAATGGTTGAGACTTGCTTGCAGATATAAAACGGGTATACAAAGGCTATTTTACCCATGCAGCAGATATGAGGGGACATTTCTATGTATAGATTGCTTAGTTTCTTCATTCACTAAACTGCTTCTAAATTTGAGAAAACTTATCAGCAGAGCCATTTGATGTGTATTGTGTTGTACTAATGCTTTAAAAGTGTTTTCCTACATCACATAGAATTTTGAAGCCAAACGAGTATTCTTTTTCATCATTTTGCCATCTACTAACACTATCTGCATTTGATATAACTGTGGGGTAGTTGAAAAGGAACAAGCTAAGTCAGAGAAGGTTTTAAAAAGAACAAAGAAGCATCATAATAACACTAAATCAGGCAACATCTGACTCCTAAAGACAACAATATTTTTGCTGTAATTCAGCAAGTAGGCCAGCAAATAAAATCACAAATGTTTCAGCTTACTTGTCCCTTGGGTCCTTGTCACTGGGGTTTTGCCAAGGTTTCTGTTGGCAAAAAGTGCGGGAGCCTTGACATCATACCAATCCTTTTTCACGAAAGGGTCAATACTGAAGAATGATAGAATTTTGTCAGTTCAATAATTGATCAACAACAGCAATGTAAGGTAAAATTATATGAAGATGAGAACAAATTGTATTAAGAAATTTGCAATATCAAAGTTAGCAAAAATCGATGGATAATACGGGTCGCTGACTAGACAGATTTCAGCAATAAAATAGTCACTGGACTATCCAAGAAGCTAAGTATTAGTTTAGGTGTACTTTAAAATCAAACTTGACTAAATAAAATAAGTAACACAGTGCCAAGAAAAAAAGCGAGTTAACTGCTCCAAAAGAATCCACTCAAATCAGTATAATCGATCAAGGAGGTCACTATTTTGATGGCAGAATCTGAACGATATACAATAAACTTCATTATTTTCTTATATTATAAACTCACATCTTCTTTTTAGTTCCCTTTTTTCCTTTAGACAGTCGCTTGTTCTTGCCGACCGCCATGATGTGCCTAAAATTTGACACTGAGAAGAGGGCTACCAATTCCGTTCCAGGCCCTTACATCCTCGTGGAGAATATGCGGAGGTGCTACACCAGAGTGCTAAGGCAGGAGCTGCCCTCGTTGTGAAGATCTGCAGTGAACTAAGGGAAAATGGATGACAATCACCCATTTGAAGTTCCAAATTGGATTGATATTGACTCAAATCAAGAAGTTATTGCACAGAAAGTATTTTGCCAGATTCCTAAACCTCCCAGAAAAAGGAAAAAAGATAATATTGTACTAGAAGATGTAAACAATACAACTTACCTGGACGAGTTAATGCTGCCAGAAGATCCGAATGAGAGACTGAAGTGTCTACTTAGTAAATTGCAAAACAAAAACAAAAACATAACTTGTAATAAAGGCAATAAAAAAGAAAGCAAAGTATTAAAAGATGGAATCAAAAAGAAAACTACAACTTCGACTTTAGAAGTTAATGGCAGCGTTTCTGAAAAACCTCAGAGAAAGAAGAAAAAAAAGAGACTTGCTAAGAAATGTAGTTTAATTAATGCTGAAAGTATGGAACAAAATAATGATTGTGATTCCATGTTACCAATAGCTAAAAGGAAAGAATTGCCTGAAAAGTTAGCAAACAAGGAAGAAGGGAAACCTGATTTCCCAGCTGTAACCAGGGATCAACCCACTGTTAAGAGGATTAAGTCAGCAAGTAGTATTTCAAGTACTATTTCAGCTGAAAATGGTTTAGACTTTTCTGCTAAAGAGAAGTTAACAGGAAAAAGAGATTTTAAAAGTAAACTGAAATGCAAGTTAAGTGGTGCACAGTTTCGTTGGCTTAATGAACAACTGTACACAAAGGAAAGTAAAGATGCCTTTGAGATGTTTTCACAGGATCCAGCTTTGTTTGATATATATCATCATGGTTTTCAAAGTCAAGTGAAGTCATGGCCACAAAATCCAAATGATTTAATGATAAAATATCTGAATGAAAGGTAAATTCTTACTAGGTGTTGCTGGTACAATAAATAAAGACTGCCAAATAAGCTGGAGAAAACTATTTATCAAGTTATATACAGTTGAATTCCATTTAGTAGTACCCCAGATAATTTTGATTTCTACTAAATTGGACTAATTTTCAATTCCAATTGGATTTTCTACCCTTTTAAGCCAAAATTCATACCCTGGGTAAATTAGAAATTGGCTAAGACAGACAATTTTCTTACAGCCTTTGATAATATATATTTGTGGAGATTCATCTGACCTGATTTAGGAATGTAAGACAATTTTGACCGGATTCTCACAGTTCTAGAATATCATAGTTTAAGTGTCATATTCAGATGTTTAAGAATGTGCATCAAAAGCCTTTCTGTGATACCAACAGCATTAGACTTATCAGGCCCTTTCCTGCTCCAAAATTAATTTTGATTGATTGGCCAAATTTTTTGAATGATATGCCGATTTGTATATGTCTTAAAGGGTGTTCACCGGCTTAATAGCTTGTTCTTAGGGTGTTCTTGGAGTAATCAGCCTGTTCGTGGAGTGTTTAGTCTTTTAGAAATGACGTTGCTCTAACACAAACATATGAAAATTTGCTTAGAATGTGAATAGAGAGCCTTCTGTCAGTAGTTAGGGTCGGATATTGTTGTAAAAAGCCAACTTTCATTACCAATTTCAGAAAATTTAGAAAGTTTGATTTTAATAGATTTATGTGTAAAACCTACTCAGTGTCTCAAATGTGTGTTCTTGATTGATGCAATTCTTTGATTTAAAAACATGAAATCTCCCTGCTTTATCTGAAACTGGATTGTAACTTAATCACATTTATTTTGCAATATTGCAAGGTTTTGTAGAAAGGGATTTTGTCTATCTGTCCATTTTGTTTTGTTTAGACCAGCAGAATTACTTGTTGCAGACCTGGGGTGTGGTGAAGCAAAAATTGCTCAAAGTGTCAAGCAAAAAGTGTACTCCTTTGATCTGGTAGCTCAAAATGAATATGTCACTGCTTGTGACATGTCAAAGGTAATACCATATCACCAACCAATTTAACTATGACATTGAGTGTTGATTTTGATATTCAATAATCATTAATTCATTGAGTATTGATTTTTTAAATCAGAGACAAGGACTGTGTTCACTGCTTAATTTGATCATTAGGCAACAATTAAGAATTTTCAACAGAATAGTAAACAGTAAATTTGATTTATTCAGCCAAAGACAACACCAAGCACCATAATCTTTTGATTATAGTCATAATAATCAACATCGCATTATTTTGATGAAGTTATCTTGTATCTTTGTTGTACTTTTATAAAAAATGTCTTGTTTAGATACATTCTGTCAATTGTTCTTCTCTATCATGTTTCTAGCCTTTCCTTTATTCCCCAAAACATTATTTGTTAAGAGAACATGGCTATTAGCCATTTCAACCATTCTCTTCCTAAAATCTTTGTCAATTTACAAACCACATGCAATTTTTAAGAGAAATGATGTAAAGCAATTTGAACTGACTGGAGAGGGGTGATATGACTAGTAGAGTAAACATATAGCCCAAAAAAACATAAAGGATGTACTTAGAAGAATTAAATGCCCTATGTTTTTATTATTGTTAGTGCTTTGAGTAATTCTAGTACTGTTCAAGGTAGTACCAATATAATAGAGTTGAACAATCTCACAGGAAAAATCTCACTAATTTTATTTTAGGTACCACTTGGAAATGAGACAGTTGATGTTGTGGTATTCTGCCTGTCTTTAATGGGTAAAAACATAGTTGACTTTTTGAAAGAAGGAAACAGAATTCTGAAACAAGGGTATGTCCTTTTTTTACCTTTTAAGGATGAAAATGGAAACATAATTGATATTATTTAAGAGTACAGTTGCAAAGGTCACTTGATAAGGTGCCCCCTTGCCCTGGTGCTATAAAATTTTTGGCATGCCAGCAATCATAAACATTTACAAGTTACAGCATGCAAAGGTATATGATCCATAAAATGTAGATCTTAAAAGTTTTATGAAGACCTGATAGCATTTTAGATTTAATTTATACTCTTGTGAAAATATTTGAAGGCTTTACCACTTTATGGAAAAGTGTATTGAGGTGTTGATAAACAAAGAAGGTTTACATAATTTTAAAAGAACAACACAATTTAACACATACTAATGTGTCAAGCATGGAGCTGTAAAATTAGTAAAGAAATGTTTCTAAGGATCTGTGACCAAATTGCCAGGACTTTGTTTCAACATCAGAGCATATAGAGATCCAAATGAAATCAGGGTCCTTTTTGAAAATGGTAGAAATACTGCCGCAGTATTATGCGTTCAAAGCTTATTACCTTTTTCGCTAGTTTGCAGTTAAAATGGTGTTAGAGCGACTATTTTGATTAAAGCTCCTCTGTCTGGCACCGCTGAGCAGGGGTGGGGCTAGGGGGCTTTAGCTTTTGCAAAATATGCCAAATATTAAGTAATAAACTACCAATAAAGCCTCTTTTTATACGGTTTTAGCCCCCCCCCCCATCCACTTCTCTCAATGCTCTGCGATGCCTGTCTTTTCTCAATGTTAGCAATCTTTTTTTAATTACAAGAATTAAGAAAAAAGTGAGCATTTTTACTGTTAATTTTTACATGAATTAATACTTTTTCTCATAGTTGATATGTCATCAATTAAACTGGAGAAATTTTGTTTGTTTTGTACCTTCTGAAAGCCTTGATTTTGTGGACAACTTTGACTAACCCAAGGATGGTTTATAAAAAATTCAGTTATCTAGGAATGGTTAAGAAAAATTTAAATAAGTTTCTAAAACTAATTTATGTTTCAAATCTAAAGATACATGTTGCAAATCATAATGAATCTATTAAATTACCAATAAATCGTAATCTTGCTTAATTTGATGCTTTCTCGTTATCATGCTTTTTCACTGATTGAACTGTTTCTTTTCTTTCAAGGGGTGTTTTAAAAATAGCTGAGGTCACTAGTCGCTTTTTGGATATTCAAGAATTTGTCAAAGATATTTGCGATCTAGGGTTCAAATGTGTTTCAAAAGTATGTTGGAGTTCTTATGATAATATTTCTACTTATTTTGAGAATTGAAGATTAATTTTTCAAACACATGTTGAAAAAATCCATTATTGTGCTGCAAAAGCTGTTTATTATTAGCAATTTAATTGAATTTTGTTGCAATTTTTGCATCATTCTTGACTTTCAGTCTAATTTCAATTTCTAATGTATTTAGGCATGTTTCTTTAATTTGTAGAGGACTAATTTCTGTTATCTAGAAAATAGATAACCCTTGAAATAGTCTTTGGTTTTTCCTTGTATGTGATAGCATGGTGGCCAACTTTTAGGATGGCAACCATGAAGGATGGCAAACTTTTATGATGGCAAACTTTCATGATAGTCAGCTTTCTGTTAGAGCTAATGCTACAAATTATATGTCTAGTTTCCTGACTGGATTTTTTTATTTTCATTTCTATATAATGTAGGGTTTCTCTTTGTCAAGAAATTATTTTTCTTTTAAAATTCTGATCAACAACCTGGTGTTTCTCTGCAGGACTGTTCAAATAAGATGTTTGTATTGATGGAATTCATGAAAGTGAGAAAATCCAAATCAAAAACACATTTGAACATCAGGTTAAAGCCATGCATTTACAAACGTAGATGATAATGATTTCCTTCTTGAAGTTATTTATCAATTTGTGGTCTGCATTCATTCACATATTGGTGTATTAATACCTTTTTTGTTGAATTTTTGTGTCTTGTGACTCTGTTTTTGTGTTCCCAATTTGGATATTTTTGCCATCATTTACAGTTGGCTGTTGATTGCATTCAGTGACCAAATTTCAATTGCATGATATTGTTTTGTACGCTCTTCTCTTGTTTTTTGGGCTTGTCTTTAGACCTGTCAGCCTAAAATTTTAAAAATCTGAAGATTTTAGATTTTTTCTAAGAAAAGCTTCAAGATTTGGCCAAAAACAGGGAGATCACCAGAATTTATTGAATTGTATAAACAACATGCTGTATATATGAAACATTGTGCTGGACAAGCAAGGCAAAAAGTTCATGACAAAAATTATAATTGCTTTTTCATGATGATTTTGGTTTTTGTGGTTGATTTGTATTGAGAATGGCTCAGTAGTTTGGCTTGCTGACTACAGATCCAAGGGTCCATGGTTTAAGTCCCTGACATGCAAAACTTTCTCTTAGTGTAAGGAGAGTTGTCACCTCTCTGTAATTCCAAGCGTAGGACTCACAAGGTGTGTTCACATCGAGTGGAAGGACCAGGATACTGCTCGATAAGCATAGCTTTTCAATGTCCTAAAACTACCTTCGGAAGCTAGGTAGCAAACATATTTTAATTCAATACAATCTTGAGGATCTCCCGGGGGGGGGGGGGGGGGTACAGGTTCCCATGTTCCTTTCGAAAAAGCAATCAATGACTGTTCCCTTGTTCCCTAAATCAAGGGATATTATTTTTTTGGGGGGGGACTCGCTTTGTTGACAAAATGTCCCTAAAAGAAAAAAGACATCTTAAGAAAGTATTTTGTATATCTTTTCCCTTGATTTTTCAATATTCTCAACGCTCTAAACTTTTCTGGGTAAGAAAAAAGACGTCATTCAATAATTAAACAGAATAGGGCCTTACAAGTCTTTGATGATGCTTGCAGATGCTCGTGTCGCAATAAACAAGTACAGGAAAGTTACTACCTGAGGCCAGGGCCGTCGCTAAGCACTTTCGCTTGAGAGGGGGTGGGGTGCCAGTTACCAATTTGCCGACAAAATAGGGCATAATCTAAGATATATCCATTTCTGGGTGTGGCATTTTGACGCAATTGATTTTGTTTATCAAAGAGTATGTTCTCGTTAGTCAATCATCGCTTCGATTTTCGAGTAACTGAGGGTATTTTCTTCGATTTTACACAGGGCCTTGCCCCCCCCCCACTTTTTGCAAAACAATAGAGTTTTTTTCAAAATCTTTTGTGATGGGTGTTAATTTTTCCCTTG